GCTCCAACACCAATCATGCTTGCAACTAGGATTGTAGCGATTGCTATGATTTTGAGAGGCAAAGCTTTAGCTTTGTTGACGCACGGGTTCGCTGACTCGGCTGCACATTCATCCGGCGCCGTTGAAGATGCAGGAGAGATTGCAAAAGAGACAAAGATGAGTACGAGGAAGATTGTTTTCATTAGAAGTGTTGAAGTTGAAGCCATTTTTGTTTTTTGTTTCTCTCCTCTTTGGAGTTTTGTGTCTTGGATTGTTTAATGTTTATGTGTCTTTGGACTTATTGGATCGGTTTATATAGTAATGTGTGCCGGCTGTTTCCATGCCATTTATTGTCGCTGTTGACGAAAATTATTGATTAGTAGTACTAGTATGCTGTTTTTGAACACAGCTAGTATGTGAAACGAGAATAACAAATTTCTAGTCCAAAAGGAAAAACTTACCAAGAAACAAATATTTGAACATAACTACTAGTAGAGTACCCGCACGTTTGTGCGGTGTGACGTTGTTGTTTTGTGTAGAAAATTTAAACCCTAAATCCGAACCCGACAAAAAACCCTAATCAAAAAATTTAAAAACCCAAACTTTTTTAATAGGTCTAAACATGAAAATCCGAAATAAAAAAATCCCGAAAACCCTGACTGAACAAAAAAAATCTGGAAACTTTTTCACCCGGAACCCGACCCCAATACCTAATCAAAATTTTAAAATACTCAATTTTTTTAATATATCTAAACCCGAAAACCAGAAATCTAAAAAATCCGGAAAACCCTAAACTGAAAAAAAAAATTGAACCTAACCCGAACAGAAATTTTCAAAGAAACCCGAACAATTTCTATATCTCTATATATATCTCTATAAAATTATGTCTCAGATTTTCACCCAAACCCGAACTTGTCTATAAAAACCCGAAAATCCAAAAAGCATATTCTATTGATTTGGAATTATCGTTAGATTATGTTTTTTTGCAGATTTTTAAGAGATGGAAAACGGAAGTTTTCTAAACCATCGGTTTATTTTAAGTTATTATTCTTGTATCCAAACAATTTTTTCCATTTATTCTTCTATCCAAATAGATTTTTCTCTTATTCTTATATCCAAACAACTTTTGTTTCCATTTATTCTTCTATCCAAATAGATGTTTCTCTAATTCTTGTATCCAAACATTAGAATGTACTTCTCAATTAATAATATAAAGATAGATCCTTTAAAAAAAAATCATCAGGAAAATGCCATATGTTAAAATATTTGTATAAGTTTAGATAATTATTTTATACTGTGTATGTTATATATATATATATATATGTATATATATGTGCGATAACTGATTGCTCAGCAACTACAGTCTTTTGTTTAAGGCATCCTAATCATAGTCAACTGCCAAGATTAATGTTTTATATATACCAATTATTGTATCTTGTAACAATTATTGAGAGATTAATGAATAATGACTTAGCGAATATTATTTGACTTATAATTTTTGTAGATCTTAAAAATCCACTAAAGAAAAGAAACTACTAGTCTGCATCATTGTAAATGTAAACCATTTCTATAAAAAAATGCATTGTAAATGTATTATCTTTTCTTTTTCTTTTTCATTTTTATCTATCTATTTGTTTTTCTAAAGTTAATCATCACCCTTCTTTATAAAGTAAATTATCACTCTATAAGAATTTGACTGAGAGACTCATGGACATCGCCTCTATGACATTAAGTCCACCCTACACCATATAGATATTTTCTCAGGTATTTTGAAACCCATACTCTTAATTATTCGGACCGAATTTCAATCTTCAACTTTTGAAGAAAAAAACTATGAATCTCTTCTATAAAAGTTGTAAGTTTGTTTTTTTTCTTCTTTTCACTCTGTTTTCTTACAACAACGGCATATAACAAATCTTTGGCTATCAGTTTGGTGGAGGTACAAATACTACACTAAAAACAGGGTTTCGTAAACACTACATGGTATTTTTATTTGAGAAAACAACTATATTTGGAAACTAAGGTTTATGTAATCGTTATCAATGTCACATGAATGATGAATCACATCCATTGAACGAAGTGGGAATCTAAGGCTCCGAATGGTGACAATATATTTAGCGGTGCGGAAAAAATAATTTACATATGTGGTACGGTTTAATTGCAGTGCGTATGAAAAAATATATTATGCGGAATAAGTGCGGTTATTACATAATAAGCGGTATGGAATAATGTTTGATTGGTGAAAAATATAAATGAATTTTATTAATATATAAAAAGTTAATACATTAATTCTGTAATTTATTTTGATAATTACTAATTATAACTAAAATTATATATACCACACATACTCAAGTTATATATTTTTTTCAAATTTTTATTACTCTAAAAAAATAATATATTTAAAAAAACGCACTTACAAAAGCCACAAACACACACGAAACCATGCGTTATTACTATTGCGGGTATATCACCATTTTTCTTCACAAAACTGAACCGCACTTTAGCTTTTAATTTTTTATTATTTTGTTACAGAAAACACACCGCAATTACAAAAATGTGTTGATTGGTGATATGTGAGTGGACTCCACTATTACATATCAAAAAACGCCCCGCAATTGTAAATAACGCAGTCACCATTCATGGCCTAAAAAATGCAACTTTCATGCCTTTGGCGAGCGGTCGAAGTCAAACCCATGCGTCTTCAATAGTTTTTTTAGTCAACCCTCGATAACGTTTACTTTAATTAATCTTGTATTGTAAGCAACACTAGTTATGGCTCGATTAGGTATATTATAGCTCTGTTCTCCAATAAGTGTCTTTTAAAATCATTAATTTTTTTTTTTTTCAAAATTTTATTATCAATTTTAATACAATTTTCAATCAATATGCAGAATTCAAACTGTTAAAATAATAAAAATACATTAACTTTTACATTGATATGTGAGAAAAATACTTATTTGTGAATAAAAAATATTCTCTAAAAAACACTTATTAGAGAAAAGAGAGATTAGTTTATAGGATTTCGACGAGCACAAGCTAACACGTGACGAGCTCGTGCTCAGTGTATGATGCATGGAGGTAAATTCCTCATTTCTAAATATTGCATGAGTCTTTTTTTTTTTGTTAAAGTAAATATTGCATGAGTTATTAATTATATGATTACCTCTATTTGTTTAGTAACCATATCAGTGCTTTAATTTTGAAAACAAGTTTCTCCAGGTTTAATTTATTCAACAACCATAAAACAGTTTTTTTTTTTGATAAAGCAACCATAAAACAGTTTAAAAATAATAAAGTAGCAATCATTAGAGGAACGACTTGTAATGCATGTGGATGAACACATGCAATTTTGAAAATATAACTCTATTTTTAACATTGTATTCCATGAATTTGGGTAGAAATGTTATGTCATTTTGTTTCCTTCTGCTAACCATATGACCATTTGTTATATTTCTATTCGAAAACTTCAACAACAACAACAACAACAACAACAACAAAAAAAAAAAAAAAAAAAAAAAGTTTCCTACATACATTTGCTTCAACAGAATACTTACATTCATATTTTTCATGTGAAATTGGGAATGTTTAAATTTTCATATCGTTTCAGCAAGTAAAAATCAGGATAAATGATTAAACAATTGATGTGATGGTTTATAGTAGTATGCCGGCTATACGATGAAGAAAAGGAAGGAGGAAACTATTTTGTTGGTTATCTAAAAGTAGGCATAATATTTGTGTTTTTTTTTTTAACATACGTAGGCATAATTAATTAGACAGAAAAAGTAATTATTTATATTATCCTATATATCGATACTCTCCATGCCGAGTATCTGTCCAATTCCATGGCATGCCTCCTAACTGGTCAAACTTCGGTTGGCATTTATTTTTGTTAAAAAAAAAAAGATATCAAAATGGATTTTTTTTTTTTTTTTTTTGTTAAAGGGTCTATATCAAAATGGATTCGTAATATTATTTGGTTGAGGTGTTTAAGTTCCCACGTTTTCATATGGTTGGACGAGCACGAAGCAGTACGTGCCAAACTCATACTCCACCGACGTGACAAAATGGTTATATATCTATTCGAAAACTTCAATAATAATAAAATTAACTTGCGAAGATATTTCCGTATTGGGAAAATATTATCTATTTTTTTTCGGTTGGAAAACCAAATATTTTTCAAAAAAAAAACACAAAACCAAATATGTGTTTATTTCTGTCATTGTAATGTGGCTTGATTCTGCTATTAATTTCGTTTGTTTCATTAAATTTTGCAGAAAAAAAAAAAAGAAAACAGCAAAACAAGATAAAGGAAAGTCGTAAAAGGTTAAGAAAAACATTCAAAGTCTAGTCGATGTAGTCAGCACAGAAAAGACATTCAAAGTCTAGTTGATATAATAGTCAGCAGTTAATTAAAGACTATTCAAAATCCACTAATATGTCCATCAACAGATTCAAAATTTACGGATAGTATGTCTGATATGATTCCAGTTTTATGTTGTTTGTAACTGAAAATGGACTCAAACTTGTATCGAGTTTACAAATTAATAGGTAAATCGAGTTAATTACTGAGGTCTTATTAATATATTATATCTTGGTACTTGTCATGAAATATTGTGGAGCTTAAAACTAACCTTTATAAGCAAGCTAGTGTAATTTTATATTGATAGTATTAATCTGTATACTTTTGATATCCATGCATTTTTTAGAACTAAATTATTTATAATCTCACAACATTTACAATCAACAAACCCTAATATTTAATTACATACATGCCATTCAAAAGAAGAAATTAGTTAAATAATTTTACATCCATAAAACCAAATTTACCGTGTCATAAATAAATATTCTTTCAAACTCTTACAATGCCATATTGCCATGTGAATATCTCATTATACAAATTAAGATTTAAGAGTATATAAATCAAATTAAAAAAATAATCCCTCAAATGTACAAAAGCGAATCAATTTTTTTCGCCTTAAATAATAAATCAAATAATCCATTAGTTTTGTTAATAAGACTGTTTAAGCCCACTTGGCAACCACCGACATTACGGCTGCCCCGAACAAAGCCGCGGCAAAGCACTTGATCTGAAGTTTGATGCTACCTTGGAGCATTGATCCCATGAACTCTGTAGCTAAAAGGTCGACGAGGGCCATGTAGATGAGCATTCCGGCCGAGCAAGCATTTAACAGACCAATCGTAATCAGAGCGGTTGGGCTATTATCTCTATAAATACTCGACAATGCGATTCCGAGAAAGATACCACATGGTGTTGTTCCAGCGAAAAAGAATGCCATCAAGAACTTCTTCACATTTGTAAAATCTGCCTGTTTCACATAAATTATATATACATATGAGCGTATATTTCTAATTGAAAGAAGAGACATAAACTATATATAGTATGAATGTATATTCGTACCTGGAGGATGCAGCCACCGAGACCCATGCCTTCGAACAAGTGATGGAAGCAAAGAGCTATGATGAGTCCTTTAATGGTGCATGCATCATTAGTTGCTCCTAGAGATAGTCCAATGACCACAGAATGAAATAAAATCCCAAGCTCCAATACCTATTCAAGAAATTCAAGAAATGGTTTACTTTTGTATATGATTTGAATTAAAATGCTACGTCGAATTTAATGCCCGTCTCAAATTATTTTCATATGGACACTAACCATGGCAATGACACGGTACCGCAGAAGTTGTGGATCGGAACTTTTATCATCTTTAGCTGCTAGCACAACACCATGACCGTGACCGTGGCTGTGATTGTGGCCTACAATATGAATCGCCTTCTCCTGGTCAATGCCATACTCGTCAGGCACTGGTCCAACAGCGTTTTTGCTGGTATAAAGGCTGGTGGTAATGGAGTCAATGGCTAGAGTGACTAGACCAGACAACATAGCGACAAAGCCAGCGAAAGGGAACTTATGCCACGGGTCATCACTAAGACATTTAGATGACAACATCTCGAAAGAGTCGGGCAAGACGTGCATGAAACCGGTTCCAAGGATGATCCCGGAAGAAAAACATTTTAAAATCATGAAACCGTTGCCATCTGGACGGAGGAACGAAATGTGACGGCTGAAAAGAGGAGTGGTCACGCCTATCAAGCTTGTCGCAAGGATGGCTACAATGGCTACGATTTTGAGTGGTAAAGCCTTTGCTTTGTCGATGCACGGATTCTCCGAGCCGCTGTCGCATTCTTCCGGAGCCGTTGAGACCGCCGGAGATACGGTGAATGTGAATAGGATAAGGAGGATGTAGACGAGCTTCATGACTTGTTTGGTTGTAGCCATTAGTGTATAGATTGTTATTTTAGAGTGTATGATGTTTGATGAGATAAATGTTTTTTGTCTTTGGTTAGTTTATATAGGAACATTTGCCGGCTTGTTCTCGGTGGTGATGTGGAAAGTCAATTAATACATCAATGGAGTAAACTCATAGAAAAAAGATAACACCGGAGAATCAGAATCCTGATTTTATTGATTGTGTATGTACATTGCCAAATAGAAAAGGTTTTAAATTGAATTGTATATTATCCTATCTTTGTTTAATCGTGTGGAAGGTGTGGATCATGCCAACGCCAAACAATACACGGAATTTCGTATTGTTGTAAAGGAGAAAATGTAATGTTAAATTAATTCAGCGTCAAAATGAAATTGAACTACCGACACTGCTAAAAGTTTAATATGTTATCACACAATATAAAGTGATTAAATTTATATGAAAGTTTAATATGTTATTTTGACATTTCCATTGTTAATATGTCGCCATATATATCCTACTACAAAATTTATAGTTTATTGTTTTGTCATTAGAAAAATTAAAATCACTCAAGTCCGAAGTAAAAGAAAAAAAAAATCTTCAAATTCGAGTTAGAGAATATCCAAATTAGTTTTGTTCGAAGTCCATCCAAAACAGAAAAGTTTTTGTCCAAAGGAAAATCTGAGTAGCCTTTCTATTGAATGTGGATAGGGCCACACTGCGTTGTCTTAGCAAGCCCCTATATTGGCTTTGATTGGTAACAATGTAATGGAGTGTTACAAATTGTAATGCACATAGTGTAATCAATCATGGATTTGATTGGTAGCAAAATAACACAGCATTACAATTTGTAATGCACATAGTGCTACCAAAGAGATGTTACACATATGGTGTTACAAAAGTGATGTTACAAAAAAATGTAGCATTACAAGAAAAAGTGATAGTACAAATGTTGTAATGATGGTATAGTTGTAATGCAAGTACAAATGTTGTAATGATGGTATAGTTGTAATGCTACTTTGGGAGAGTATTACAAAACTAAAGTGATAGTACAAAGTTCTTTTATTTATGTCTTGTGATTTTTTTGTTTGGGGTAAAATTTTGTTGCTCAATAACTTTGGGTTTTTATAACTAACAATGTGAGAAGGAGGTGATTGATAATCTTTAAAAGTTTCTTAAGAATAGAATTTTTTTATCTTGTCTATTATTATTAATTCTCATTTCATTTTATAGTACATTTTCAAATGAAAAATAAAATATATTGTCTAAGCAAGTAATATGTTGTGTATGTTTAAATTAAAATTCCTTTAAAATCTACTTGGTTAATCAAATTTTATATATAATCTAATATTTAAGAAGAAAAAAACTCATATTAAATCTAACAACAAATATTTCTGTTTATGTATAAATAAAAAAAAAAACTATAAGAAGAAAAAAAACTAATTGGACAATTTTCTTGTTGTCATGGCATACCTTTTTAATTTGTGGTATAAGGAAGTATCATAACAAAACAGGCAATCCTTAATTAAAAAAAAGCTGAAAATTGCTTACACACTCTTAATTCTAAAATTATATTTTATTTGATATATTGTTTTTAAATATGTTGGTAATTTATTTTTGAAAATAAAATATGATGTGTTAGATTTTAAGATAGTAATTTTGTTTCATAAAACTAAGATAGTAATTTAGTTTGCATAGTTTTCTGTTATAAACTATTGAGTGATTGTAATTTAGTTAGATTTTAATATAGTAATTTAGTTTGCATAGTTTATAACATTTTCTGTTATAAACTATTGAGTGATATTTATATTTGCATCATATAAAACATGCCACTTACTTATTTTTGGTAAATGTTTTATGAATATAACATAAGTAGTTTACAATTTAATCATCATGTATAGAAATGTGAGTTACATACGGAAAGTATTGTTTAACTTTTCTTTTTGTTGTAAATGATGTGTATTTTATTGAACTTTATCATCATAATTTTTTTGTGGAAAATGTATAATTATGATGTTCTAGAAATGATTTGGAGATTATAGTGTGAGTCTACTTTTTCTTTTGGGTAAAATTATTATTAATATCTGTCAATAATAATATTTTAATAATTAACAGGAAATATTTAACATATCACTGAAAACAGTTAAAAATATAAAAATAATTCTATTTTGTTAGCTATGTTCAATTTTGTTTCAGTGGTTAGTTTTAATGGTAAAATGGTAATATTTTTAAAGCTGATGTTGTTAATATTATGCATTAATTATTTAAATAATAGGTGAATTAATGATAATTGTGAAATATTGAATTTGTTAACTTCAAATATATCCACACATTATATCACAACATTTAATTTAATATTTTAGTTTCATTATCTTTTTAACTAGAAACACTTAGGGGGTGTTATTGGATGTGGTATTTGAAATGAACTGAAATAGAATTACAATTCAGTGTTATTCAATCAAGATTTCAAATCCGGTTTTAAAATCCTTTGTTATCCGATATATGATTTATAATCTTTCATTAATAGAGTTTCAAATCCAGTGTTATTCAATCAAGATTTCAAATACAGATTTCAAATCCACTGTTATTCAAAACTAAATGACTTTTAAAATCATTTGTTTATTAAGTCATTTGAAATGACTTCCAATGGATTTGTATGAGTAAATTATAAAAAACAGAATCCATGAGATATTGCAGAGATTTTAGGATCAACTGAAATGGATTATTAAAATAACACAAATTTTTTAAATCTAATGGATTATAAAACCTATTTCAGTTCATTTCAAATACAACATCCAATAACACCCTCTAAAAATACTATTATGTAGGTCTAGTTTAGGACTTTTAGACAAATAAATAAACTATGAGTAATTGTAATTACACAATAAGAAAAAAAAAAGTAATGAACAGTATTAATATCTGAAGGTTTCGAACAATATTAATTATCATTTTTTTTGGACATTTAAAATATCATGTTTTTAAATACTTTGCAGTTTATGTACTAAGTGAAGGTGTTGGTAATTTTATAACAAAAAGTTGTGTTACTTTTTTAGACACTATTCTTAATTTTGAATACTTAAATAATTAATATTTTCATTTTAAAATACACTATTTGTACTGTCACAATTTTACCAATCAGATTTTAAATACATATTATCGTTTTGTATTATCTCTTTTTGTAGTGTTGTATTTAGTACCACTGTTTTTCTTACAGCTATCTTTCATACCACTAAATTTTTTATAACACACCACTATTCACAACGTCACCAATCGGACCCCATATGAACATTACACTTGTGATAGTACAAAATGTGTGTTACAAAAAAAGGAGATTACAACCAAAAAGTGATGGTACAAAAGGCAAAACAATGGTTCAATTGTAATGCTACTTTTTAGTAATAGTAGAAAAATGAATGATGGTACAAAGAGTAAACAACAAGGTCATGGTCTCTTTTTTTCATGTTCTTGAAATGATTTGGGATTATAGTGAGTTGATTTTTTTGGGGTAAATTATTATTAAAAGTGGCTGTTTTTTATAACTAACAAGAAATATTTAATATATCACTCAAAACTGTTAGAAACAAAAACATAATTCTCATTTATTAGCTATATATGTTCAATTTTATTTGAATGGTTAGTTTCATTAGTAAAGTGACAATATTTTTAGAGCTGATGTTTGTTAATAATGTGTATTAATCATTTAAATGTGAATTCATGATAATTGTGGAATATCATTAATTTGTTAACATCAAATATATTCACAAATTCTATAACAACATTTAGTTTAATATATCTTAATTTCATTTCTTTTTAACTGAAAGCATTTAAAATATTATATGTAGTTCTAATTTAGGATTCTTAGACATTTAAATAGACTTTGAATAATTGTAATTACACAACAATAAGGGAAGAAAAAATAATAAGGAGAAGACATAGATACAAAAAAGATTAAAATAGTACAACTTTTATTTGATTTTAAACGTTAAATTTTAAAACATGAGATTGGTGTATTGTATTTTAGTAGATCTATGAAAGTATATTATAATAAAGAAAAAAAACTCTTATTGGACCTTAATAAAAATCTTATATTACATTTAAATATATATATTAATTTTTTAAAACATTTATGTCTTTGAAGAATTTGTAGTTTACAAGTAATATTTGTTTTTGCTAAGTGAATGTGTTAGTAATTTTATAACAGAAAAAATAAAAAAGCTGTGTTATATTGTTAGATACTATTTTAATTTTGAATACTTCACTAATTTATATTTCCATTTTAAAATACAACTATTTGTACTATCACAATGTCACCAGTTATATTTTAAATACGTACTATCATTTTGTATTATCATTTTGTACTATCTCTTTTTGTACTGCTATATTTCGTACCACTGTTTTTCTTAAAAGCATCTTTCCTACCACTGAAAATTCGGTAACATATCGAACCCAATAGTGTTTCCTCATAGGGGGTGTTTCCTCACAGGGGTACACCCAAATAATGGCAGTTACCAATATAAATGAAAATTATGGAGTGTGCATATGCAATTAAACTGACAAAAGATTTACACATTTCTTAAGCTCAATAATCTCAAAACGGATGCGTTATTATTTTGTCAAATGGTGAAAGTGATACGTGATCCAAAATAAGCATTATAGTTATGTAAAAATTGTTTTCCAAAAAGATTATTAATTTTAAAATATGTGATATGATTGCAATAGTCATGATAAAAATAAAATAAATTGAGAATGAATTCAAATCTACATCGAGTTTTACAAAATGATGATGATCAATTTCGAGTTGATCTTTTGTCTCTTTCTCTCTAACATCCCTCTAAATATAGTTTTACAAAAATGCGTCTGCCGGGAGTCGAACCCGGGTCTATTGCTTGGAAGGCAATTATCCTAACCGTTGGACTACAGACGCTATTTGAATACTTAAATTGACATTAATAATGCATTTCTTGCCTCTTCACTAAATACTTGCCATTCCGAAGTAGAAAGAAGACATCACATTCTACAAAATAAATTTACACTATGAAAAATGAAACTACATCGCTTAAACTCTTACACCACGTGAGAATCTCAATATACAAATGAACAAATATGAATCATACAGAAAAACCTGACCAATTTACAAAGGCAAACAATCATTCGCCTTGAATAATAAATTAAATGAGTGTGAAATTAATCCCAACTAGTTATTATGATCGAGTTTTAAGCCCACAAAGCAAGAACCGACATTCCGGCGCAGCCTAGCAGAGCCGCTAGGAAGCACTTGATCTGAAGTTTGACGCTACCTTGGAGCATTGATCCCATGAACTCGGTGGCTAGAAGATCGACTAGAGCCATGTAGATTAGCATTCCCGCTGAGCATGCATTGAGTAATCCGACCGTGATCAGAGCGGTCGGGCTGTTGTCTTTGTAAATGCTCGACAATGCTATTCCGAGAAAGATCCCAAAAGGTGTTGTTAGGGCAAAGAGGAAAGCCATCAAGAACTTATTCATAGTTGAAAAATCCGTCTGTTACACATTCATGGATGTACACAGATACATTAGTTATAAACATATGATCATACATTTCTAATGTGTAAACTATAAAGTATATATCAATATATATACCTGGAGGATGCAGCCACCGAGACCCATGCCTTCAAATATGTGATGGAAGCAAAACGCTAAGATGATACCTTTAATGCTGCATGCATCATTTGTTGCTCCTAGAGATATTCCAATGACCACAGAGTGAAATAAGATCCCCAGCTCCAATACCTATTCATATAATTTTTTTCAGAAAGTGTTATCTGGTTATACAAAATTACAAACACAGATAATTTGATTTTTTTTTTTTTTTGGCAGAATATCATTCTACTAAAATTGTAATTCGATTTTTATTATCACGTGCACTAACCAGAGCAATGACACGGTACCGCAAAAGTTGTGCATCAGAAGAAGCATCATGTGAAACATCATGGCTGTGACCTATCATCATGTGACTTGACTTCTCATGATCAGTGCCATACTCTTCAGGCGCAGGCTCCACCGTGGTTTTTCCGGTGTAAAGGCTGGTGGCAATGGCGTCGATGGCTAGAGTGATTAGACCGGACAGCATAGCGACAAACGCTGCGAAAGGGAACTTATGCCACGGATCATCGCTAAGACATTCGGATGACAACATCTCAAAAGATTCAGGCAGGACGTGCATGAATCCGGTTCCAAGTATGATCCCGGAGGAGAAACACTTTATTATCATGAAAATGTTGCCGTCAGAGCGGAGGAAGGGAATCGAACGGCTGAATAAAGGAGTCGTTACGCCTATCAAGCTAGTCGCAAAGATGGCTACAATGGCTATGATTTTGAGAGGTAATGCCTTTGCTTTGTTGATGCACGGATCCGTTGAGGCGCTACCGCAACCTTCCGGTGCTGTTGAGATCGCCGGAGATACGGTGAAGGTTAGTAGGATGAGGAGGATGTAGTTGAGTTTCATGACTAGTTCTCGTAGTGGCCGGTGTTTTTATTATATATTATTTTGTTATAATGTGAATATGTGATGTTTGATGAAATAGATGTTTTGTCTTGGTTGGATTATATAGTGAATATCTGCCGGCCTAGAGGAATATGCTTTATTTGTGGACTAATTAACTAGTAAACAATACAATGGAAATCAGAATAATGATTCTATTGTTTCTGTATGTACATTGTCAAATAGAAAATTATAGTACACGTTATCATATCTTTGTTTAGAAAAGTGGAATGTTTTGAAGGCGTGTATCATTCCAGGCAATACATGTGATTTCGTATTATTTCTAAGTGAAAATGCATGACAATGACACGGTGGTGTCAACATAGAAATGCTTCAAATGAACATTTATGGTTTCTCTTTTCTTCCAACTTTTCTCATCTTTCAAACTCTATCACCATCTTTAAAGAACCATATCTTTGTTGACTATATTTCATGGCTAATATGTCGACATTCTTGTGGCAAATTTTATGTTTGTTGAATAAATCTCTAAAACCGAGTTTGAGGAGGTATCTCAATTCTTTTGTTCAAGGGAGAAGCCTGGCTCATCTATTGCTATTGGGCCACATTGCTTTGTGTTTGTTTAATTGGCCCTTGTTGGTCAACTTCTTACTAGGACCATGTCGTATTTTTCTCACAATTGTATGCTCTAAATAATTCCAGATGCAAATTAAAATAATAGGTAAAGTATCGTATGCTAAGTGCCTCTCTTATATTATGAGACAAAACTAATTTGGATCAAACAAGTTATTCAGTGATGTAATTCTAAAATAATTCGATATGTAGTACGAGTTGGGTATTTTACCTTTTTGGAGATGTACAAAAGCATTAAAATGAAGTAAAAGAGAGAGATATGGCAGATTCTACAAAATGGTTGTACTCCGTTAGTTTCGCAGTTTCTTAAACTGAAAGACTAACAGACAGATGTCAGAACCTTTGTGATAACTTTTTTTTCAATTTTGAGACTGAACTGAAATCGAATCCTTGAAACATCCGGATATGTAAAAGGTTGTAATAATACGCTGCAATAATTTGGCTAATCAGTTGTCATTGACTCCTTTGTCAACATGATGAAAATACTGTTTGTCCCATAACCCTTAATACCTCTACGAGTTTCATAAATCAATCCATAACGTTTTATTTGTAAGCAGGAGGAATATTGAAGTAACAGTTTGAAAATAATTTGTTGGGGGTACAATGTTAAGATGAGTCAGAATAATTGTTGTGGTTAGTGGTTACTATTCCATCTGTTCTTTTTGTTCAATTTATTTTGTTTACTATCACATTTGGTTTGTTCCTTTCCACTGTTGCATACTGTTTGTCCCGTTTGCGATACCATTGTTGATTTGAATTAAGTTAAAAAGTTTAAATAATTAAGCTAATGATTGATGTCTCCATTTTCAAACTTCTTCCTGCCACACTGTCCTTGAGTGTCTTCTATTGCAGAGTAATATATATTTAAATAATATTGTTACTTCTTTTTGTTATCTTTATCCAAAGGAATATAACTATTGGATGTTGAAAGTCAGAAAAAGAAAAAATATTTTTATGGAGTTACAGCTTTTTTTCTCTATTAAGAGGAGACCAACTCCATGTGCTGCTTTCCATTTCTTAAGCTATAATTCTTCAGAGCCTGATCCAATTCGATTTGCAGGTTTAATTCTTTAAACTTCTAGATACATTTTGTAATTGAGTTTTACAATTAATTAACAGTGTGAAACGGCGGAAAAATGTAAAACTTGAAACACAGTACGAGAATGCCAACAAAGCTTAGCCAAAGCCCAGAAAGAAAATAATAAATAAATAAATGATTAAAAATAAAAGAGAGAATAAAGAAACAAAAATAAAAGTACAAACTTTTCTCTTACGCCATTCCAAGAGAGAGCCAAAAACCAGAAAAACCGATGATTCTTCTTCTTCTTCTCTCCACAAAATCCAGTCGAAACATCCAAAACAATGCAAACGAAGTAAAATTTTCTCTTTTTTCCTCGGAGAAATCAGAGATTTTGAAGATGACAGCTTAGATATTTCCTCATAATTTTAGATTCGTAGTGTGAATCTCCCTCAGCATTTTTGTTTGCTGGTATGCTTCTGGGTTATTGTTCTTTAGTTTCAGCCGACCTCGTTTCACTATCAAATCTGTGGTTGTTTTTGCTTCTGATTAAATTATATTAATTTTTTTTCCTTAAAATTATGTAATAATTGAGGTTCTGGTTAGTATTTAGTGGGTGAACAAATCGAGCTGTTTCTTTTGTTGTTTTGTACTTATTTTGGATGATTTTTATCTGATTTATGCTGATCTCTTCATGTAAATTAGCTGTTTTAGTGATCTGTAATTTAAAGTCCAATTTTTTTTTTTTCTCCTTTCGTTTGATATTTGGGGGAAATGAGATTATATGATATTGAAAAGAGTTCGCTTTATCCCATTTTTACTCGGAATTTCTCATGAAAATTTCAGATCCGATTTGGGCTCCTTGGTTCGTTGCTAAGTAAAGAAAGTTTGTACCTTTTTGGTTTTTGCAGCCTATTTGTGTTGATTCCAAACATGGAAACTCAAGAAGCTTCTTCTGATGTTGAGCAGCCACTAAATCACAACATAGGAGATGAGGAAGATTTCAGAAGCTGTTGTGGTGATGAAGAAGTTTGGTTAAACGATAATGACGAAACACTTAAAGAAGCAGAGGATGAGGAGGAGGAGAAAAAAGATGAACTTGATGATGAGTTCTCTGTTAAGATGTTCTTTAAAGGAGTTTCGTTATCCGGAAGAGGAGATTCCGGTTCGGGTTATTCGGGAATTGGTGTTGTGTTGGAGAGATTAGGAGATTCTGAGCTGATTCAGGTTCAGAAAAAGTTGGATTTTTATGTTGAAGAGTCTGTAGCTAACTATTTAGCTTTAATGGATGGTCTTGCAGTAGCTTTACAGAACAACCTCTGCTCTATAGTTGCTGTAACCGACTCCGAGTTGCTCTATAATCAGGTTAGTCTTCTCTCAAATGGTTTCACACTTTCATATCTCTTTGTTGGTTTGATCTCATGTGAAATGGCTTTGTAGATAACCTGTGAGGAGAAGCTAGAGAGCCCTCTTTTGGCAGCTTTAAGAGAAAGGGTATTGGAGGAAACAAGTAATCTTGATGGGTTTGTGCTAAAGCTTGTTCCTTGTCAAGATCTTGATAAAGCTCTAAGCTTGGCTCAAGTAGCTGTAGGAATCGTGTCTTTTAACCTCAATGCGGATGAGAACTGCTCCATCTGCTGCGAAGATCGTCATTCCGAGATGATGCTAACATTGAAATGCACTCACAAGTTCTGCTCGCATTGCATGAAAACATACACAGAAGGGAAAGTAGAGTCATCAGAAGTTCCAATCAGGTGTCCTCAAGTGCAGTGCAAGCATTACCTCTCAGCCGCGGAGTGCAAAACGTTTCTTCCAGTCGCTTCTTTCGAATCGTTCGAGGAAGCGAACGTGCGTAGCAAGAACAATGGCAAGATTTACTGTCCATATCCCAACTGCTCTTTCCTGTTGGATCCGAGCGAGTGTTTGTCACCGGGAAGGGGAAGCGTGGGGTCGTCTAGTCAGTCAGAGAATAGCTGCTGTGTGGAGTGTCCTGTCTGTGAGAGGTTTGTGTGTGTGGACTGTGGTGTTCCTTGGCATGACTCTATGAGCTGTGAAGAGTTTCAGTTTCTTCCCGTTGATGAAAGATATCCAGATGATATTACTTTGCATCGCTTGGCTAGGTATAAGCGGTGGAGACGGTGTCAGCAGTGCCGTATAATGATTGAGCTTGCTCAAGGCTGCAACCACATGACTTGCCGGTAAGACAAAATGTTTCTTAACCACGAAAGTTCTCAGCTTTCTCTGATACATTCCACAACTAATTTATCATTCTTCGTCATGATCTTGAATGGTTTTTGGTCTTTGTGTGTGTGTTTTTGGCAGATGTGGGCATGAGTTTTGCTACTGTTGTGGAGCAGAGTACAGAGAAGGGCAACAGAGTTGCAGTTGCGCATTTTGGGACGATGAGGAAGAAGATGAAGGAATATCAGAAGAGGGAAACAGAGTGCAAGAACTTGAGCAGTGGCCTTGGGACACATTCAGCTCAGTGCCAACAGTGATGGACGCTTACTCAGAGCAAGAAAGGTCTCAGCTTGCTCTGATCCAACGGTTCTTGGCGGGTGGAGGGTTTAGTCTGAGTGATCACCAGACTTCTTCTTATCAGTCTCCGCCGCCGCCTCCGCCTCCATGTACAGAGTCATCGTATGTTGAAGCCGCCATGAAAGATCTTCATCAGCTTCCTTGGCTCGAGAGGTTTGTGTCTGTAATCAGTGATGATTACTATGAAGAGTATAATAGCCAGTGAAAGGGGTAGAGAGAGCCTTGAAGATTCGGTTTTGGGTTGGTTCGGTTACGGAGAGGCGTAACGAGAGTCTCTCGCTCTCGGAAGAGATTGTTGGGGTTTTATATTCTTGATGCACTCGGAAAATGAATTCATGAATTGTGATGAAACTACTTGCAATTATAAAAAGAAAAGTTTGATCATTTCCTTTTACAAATCTTGCAAGAAATATATGAAACTTTCTTAGTCAAAATTAGTAACATTCAATACTTTATATTTGACCAAATATTTCAAAAAAAAGAAGAATTCTTATTCAGATATACACTTATACTAAACAAAATCTTGGTGTAGAATCAGTAAACATAAAAAAAGCAGTCATATTTCAAGAACTCAAAAAAATGAATTTGGTTATCATCATATGTATCAAGTTTAGTAAAAAGTTTGATATATTCAGCTAATTCATGCTCTTCAAGTAAAGTACGATAAACGTCAAACAATTTTAAAAATGAATTTTTGGTAGACTTTTCCTATATTATTACATGAAACATAAAAAAGGACCCACTTATCTCTACTACTTCCTATTTCTAATTTGTATGTAGATTTTCCAATCCAAAGCTGACGTTATTTGAGAGGTCATCGTCACACTTCACTACAAGTCAAGTCGTCCCCAATCGCTTACGACACTGCTTACGTTTTTTTGCATCGTCATGACAAATTTAAGAGATGATTAGGCTCTTTTTTTCCAAACAATATAATTGAATTAGTAATTTGACCCGTAATTAATCAAGAAACTTGAGAAATTAACCCCCAAAATTTATTGAGTTTTGTTTTGTTCTTAACACAGACTTGTCTTCTTATTCCTCACCATTAGATTTAGATAACCTCTGATTTTGTCTCAGATTCATGTGTTCATAAATCGTCTTCTCTTTCTTTCTTCGGACTTGATCATATTATATTTCTGCAAAGTTATGGAGCAGTGATTTTGAATAATACCCGATTATATTCTTCACTTCTTTCTCTTGTGTTTTGAAGATTCAATTTTAGGGATTTCATTCGCCATTTCCGTTGACTTTTCGAAGCATTTCTTGACTTGGCTTCTTCTCTTCACATTGATTCATTAGAAACCTGATTTTTGTTTCTTCATAAAGTTCGTATCTTTTCTTCAGGGGTTGATTAATTTCATATCTATGATCTTGTCCGTGTTGTTCATTAGCTCAGAAACACACGATTTCCTTTGTCTGGACCATTTTGATCCAATTTGATTTTTTTGTCACTGGAATCAAGTTTGGGGGTTCTTTGAATCTGAAACAAAGGCAGAGCCTTTGAGTGTTTCTCTGTATCTGAAACAAAGGCAGAGCCTTTGAGTGTTTCTTTGTTTCTGACACAAAGGCAGAGCCTTTGAGTGATAATTCTGGGAAGGAAATGGCTGCAACTGCAACGGAGCCATCATCATCCATAAGCTTCACATCTTCTCACTTAACAAATCCTCCTCCTATTGCTACCAATCATCAATCAGCTGCTAATCTTGAAGCTGCGAGTTTAGCCAAGCTCAGTTCCAACTTGGAGCAGCTTCTCAATTGTGATTATACTGACGCAGAGATCATCATCACCGGAGAAGAAGCTCACCCAGTGAGTGTTCATAGATGCATATTAGCTGCAAGAAGCAAGTTTTTCCTTGAGCTGTTCAAGAAAGACAAAGAAAGTAGTGCAAAGAGTGAGACGAAACCAAAGTACCATATGAAAGATCTCTTGTCTTATGGAAACGTGGGACGTGAGGCTTTCGTTCATTTCTTGAGTTACATCTACACTGGGAAGTTGAAGCCTTACCCAAACGAGGTTTCGACTTGTGTTGATACAGTTTGTGCTCATGATTCTTGTAGACCTGCCATTGAATTTGCTGTTGAGTTGATGTATGCTTCACATGTGTTCCAAATCCCTGAGCTTGTGAAGTCGTTTCAGGTCTGAGATCAAGATTTTCTTTCACTTCTTGGATGTTCTTGATTCATTAGTCTTTAATGTTCCGTTTTCTTTATTGTGTCTGCAGCGGAGGTTGAGTAACTACGTTGAGAAGTCACTAGTTGAAGATGTTCTTCCGATTCTTTTAGCTGCGTTTCATTGTGATTTGACTCACCTTCTTGATCAATGCATAGAGAGAGTTGCAAGATCAGATCTTGACAGGTTCTGCATCGAAAAGGAGCTTCCTTTAGAAGCATCAGTGAAAATCAAACAGCTTCGAGTAAAATCAGTGAACATCCCGGAAGTTGTAGTGGTGGATAAGTCTCTAGAGAGAACAGGGAAAGTCCTCAAGGCATTAGATTCAGACGATCTCGAACTCATGAAGCTTCTCTTAACCGAGTCAGATATAACTCTAGACCAAGCCAATGGTCTGCATTACGCAGTGGCTTACAGTGATCCTAAAGTTGTGGCAGAGGTTCTTGCTCTAGATATGGCTGATGTGAATTTCAGAAACTCACGTGGTTATACGGTTCTTCATTTCGCTGCTATGCGTAGAGAGCCGTTGATTATCATATCGCTTATTGGCAAAGGAGCTAACACTTCGGACTTGACGGTTGATGGACGCAGTGCCATTAACATATGTAGGAGACTCACTAGGCCTAAAGATTACTATACCAAAACCGTAAAAGGGCAAGAAGCTAACAAGAACCGCTTGTGCATCGATCTTTTGGAGAGGGAAATTAGAAGGAATCCATTGGCTAGTGGTGGTGATACACCTACTTGTTCACATTCTTTGCCTGAGGATCTTCAAATGAGGCTGCTATACTTAGAGAAGCGAGGTATGTAATAGCTTAAGGTTGTTGTTGTTGACTCTTATTAGAAAAGTTTCTGAATTTTGTTCTTGTGTATGTGTTGTTGTTTTGTAGTGGGGCTTGCTCAGTTGTTCTTTCCAGCAGAAGCCAAAGTGGCTATGGACAATGCTAATGTTGAAGGGACGAGCGAGTTCACAGGTGTTCTTGTTCAACCGCCGTCGAATGGTGCAACCGGAAACTTGAGTCAGGTGGATTTGAATGAAACGCCTATCATGCAAACTAAAAGACTTCTTGCTCGCATGGAAGCTCTTATGAAAACAGGTAAAAAAGTTTTTACTTTTTTAAGTTCTCTTTAACCGCGAGATTTGACTGATTGTTAAAAACCTGTTTTGGTAATGCAGTTGAGACAGGTCGGAGGTTTTTTCCATCTTGTTATGAGGTTATTGATAAGTACATGGATGAGTATATGGACGAGGACATACCTGACATGTCGCATCCTGAGAAAGGCTCAGTGAAGGAGAGGAGAATGAAGAGGATGAGATATAATGAGCTGAAGAACGATGTTAAGAAAGCTTATAGCAAAGACAAAGAGGCCAAGATTGCTAGGTCTTGTCTCTCTGCTTCATCACCTGCTTCTTCTCTTAGAGAGGCCTTAGAGAATCCCACATGATATTTGTCTCATCATCATGACTAATATGTTATCAGAGATTTTTTATTTTATTGTTTAGCTAATTTAGGAAAAAAAAACTGGAGATCCCATTTTGGTTTTAGGTTCGATTTGTATAAAAGGGGATTGATTTTTGAAATGTATAAAGCAAAATTAGGATTTTCTTTGAAGACATTACCACACAAGTTACAAAAAATGATAGAATTTATGGGCCTATAGCCCACTACGAATCTGACCCGACCCGGAACGGTTAGATTCGACCCGTTCAGACCCATAAATAAACACCTAATTCAATTTTTGTTGGGGAAGAGAGAAAAAACCTTTCTTCTTCATCTTCTTCTCCTACAAGGCACGCAATCTTCTGTTGAGTTTTCGAATTCGATCGAATCGATTTCGGTAACGCGATGAATCGAGAAAGCCTGTACGAGTCTGACGGCGATGATTACGACGATATCGGTGAAGACCTCGAAGATTTAAGACGCGCCTGTATACTCACCGATGACAATTCCGCTTCCGTTGGATCAGATTCCGGAGAGATTCCGTCGGATTCGGAGAAAGAGGACGAATTAGAGATGCTTAAGAACATTAAGAGCCAATTAGCTTCGTCGACGACTGATGTGGATTTGGATAGTGAAGACGACTTGGAGATGCTTCGGAGCATTAAGAGCCAATTAGCACTACCGATGGACGAAGAAGACAACGAAGATGGTGAATTTGATGAAACTATTCGTGCTATTAGTAGTAGATTCTCTGCTTATGAAACTACTTCCATTGAGTCTCTTGAACATTTGGAGACATCGTCTCTCACGCCATCTGTGAGTTTAAGTTTCCCTGAATCTGCACAAGCCTTTGTTGATGCGATCCGGAAGAACAGGTCATACCAGATGTTTCTTCGAAGTAAACTGTCTGAGATTGAAGCAACGGTGAAGCAGAACGAGAAACACAAGAAGAACGTCATGATTGTTAAAGGTTTCCAAGCTTCTTGCTTGAGAATCACTAGACAGGCACTTTCTCAGAGGAAAGATCCTCGTTTCGAATTAATCTCATCACGAAAATATGGGACTTGTGAGGTAATTAACATAACACATGTTGACCTAAATCTTAGGAAAAAATGTTTATTTTTCTTGAATTCCCTGTTTTTTGTTTGTGTGTGTGTGTGTGTGTGTGTGTGTGTGTGTAGGGTAGTGATAAAAAGACATCTCCTTTGACGTTAGGTCCAGATGAAAATCCTTGTGTTGCAAGTTATAGGATGGCTCTAGAGAGATATCCAGTTTCAGTGTGTCGCAAGAAATGGTCTGCTAAGGAGAACGAGAATCTTGCAAAAGGTCTAAAACAACAACTTCAAGAAACACTCATTCTTGAAGCTACTGAACAGTCCAGGTACTCTTTGTTCTTCTTCTTTCAAAGTCCAAGAATTAGTTTAAGATCTATTAGATGCAAGAAAGAGTTGACGGACAGAAATTTCTTAACAGTGACTTGGATGGATCTACAGATGACATAAACACCATTCTTGAATCGATAAGAAACCTTGAGATCACTCCAGAAATGATTAGGCAGTTTCTTCCTAAAGTTAACTGGGATCAGCTGGCCTCTGCGTACATGAAGAACCGTTCTGCTGCAGAATGTGAAGCTCGGTTAGTTTACACCATCACTCTGTTTCTTCTTTTGAGAATTTAGTGTATTTTCTTGATTTGTTTCTGTCCTCATTGTAGGTGGATGAGCTCGGAAGATCCATTGATAAACCGTGGTCCATGGACTGAGAAAGAGGACACATACATACGTTCAACTACACGAAACAATCATTTTACAGACTGGCTTGACATTGCGGTATCACTAGGAACAAATAGGACCCCGTTTGAATGTCTGGCTCGGTATCAGAGAAGCTTGAATCCAGACATATTGAGAAGAGAATGGACCGCAGAGGAAGATGACGAACTCCGTGACGCGATAGGCTTGTTCGGCGAGAAAAACTGGCAACCTGTTGCAAATTTACTAAAGGGAAGAACTGGAACTCAGTGCTCTAATAGGTCAGTGAGACAGTGATCATCTTGATGAGTTATATATCATTTTTCCATGGTGTATCTTATTCACATTCTTCTCTGTAATTTCAGATGGATGAAGTCTATTCACCCTACCATAGAGAGGAAAGGGGTATGGAGCTCAGAGGAAGACAAACGTTTGAAAGTAGCTGTGACACTCTTTGGAGGTAAAAAATGGTATAAGATTGCTGAGTTTGTTCCTGGACGGACGAAATCTCAGTGCCGAGAGAGATGGAAATGTTGTTTAGATCCAAATCTGAAAAACGGGAGGTGGACGGAGGAAGAGGATGTAAAGTTGAGTGAAGCGGTTAAAGAACATGGACATGGCAAGTGGTCCAATGTAGCTTCGGATCTGCCTTGTCGCACAGGCAATCAGTGCAGGAGGAGATGGAATAGGTTAAATCCTCATCTAGCGCCTCTTATGCAAAAAGCTGCTAGGTTAAAACGAGAAGCTGTTGTTGGTAACTTTGTTGATAGGGAATCAGAGCGTCCTGATCTTACTGTAGATGATTTTTTGGCAATAGCTGAGATGTCTCTTGAGCAAGAACCCGTGCCGAAGAAGAAACGTAAAGCCAGGTAAGTTAATCGAGTTTTCTTCAGCTGCTGATGATGCTATACACGGACAATGGTTTTGTGGATCTAAATTTGACCTTTTGTGTGGATGCAGAGAGAAGAAAGCTGATGCAGAATGCGAGAGTGAAGCGATTTGTGCTGATGATACAGAGAGAAAACCAAAGAGGCGAAGAAAAGGATTAGAGAGATGCTCAGGAGATGTGTGTAGACAAGAGAATGAGACTGAAGACAATGTGAAGGAGAAGAAACAAAGACTGAAACGAAAAACTGTTGTAGGAACATCAAATAACAGCTCTGTGACTACATACGGCACTCAAGTGAAAAGTGGTGTCAGTAAGCTTAAGCCTAGGAGGAAAGTTTCTGCAGTAGTTCCAGTTGAGAACCAAGATGCACCAAATTAGGTTTTATTTTTTGTATGTATAATTTAATAGAGAAAAAAAAATTAGTTTCCATGATGCTAACCATAATTATTGATAAAGAGTGATTGACACGCAATTGCATTCCAACAGTGACCAAGTACTGTCTCCAAGATCTAGCAGTATTAGTTTAAAGCATCCTTGTTCTTCTTCATTTAATTATGAAATAAAAAAATTCATCAGTTTGTTCCTTAAGTTTCAGCTGCATTGTTACTTGAGTGGCTTTGTTGAAAATAAATAATGATGAAATTTGGGGTTTTCCAGAAGAGATACATGTTTTGTAACCCTCTAATTTTATGTTTCTGATCTATATAACCTCTAATTTTATGTTTTCTAAAACTTAAAACTTTGAAACACTTGATGTCACAAAACATATTAACCGACATTCAAATTATTAATAACCGCCTTTTCTTGCGGTGCTTTATCGGCACCGTTGATTGTTTCCTTTAACAATTTACAACCGTAGGATCCGAAATCTAAAACCGACTCTGATTTGTGAAGGTTTCCTCCGGTTAGATAAAAAGCGGTCGACTTATCGATTCTCTTTTCTTTATCCCAATCTCTCGCCGATCGCTTCTGCAACCTTCGCTCTAAATTCCGATTACAGATTGCAGAAGCGGAATTTAGGGTTCTCCACAGATTTTTATCTACCCTTTCGCTTCTCCACGGATTTTTCGCTTCCTTCGTTGAGTACCTTTCGGACGATGATTTTTTTTTGTTAGGGTTTCGGTTGAGCCATCTCGATTCGGCTGACGTTGATCATTAGTGCTGATTTGCAATCAATCCGAGTTATGTTTTGCGGCTGGTAATCGAGTACGTTCTTTAGGTTTCTCAAATTCCTTGATTATGTTTCTGAATCTTTCGGGTTTGCTACTTCAATTTACTTATCGGATCCGTATTATTCCTTTCCAGAGCGAAGCCTGACGCGTCTGATCAATTCTCGTTGATCCTGATTGCAAAGGAACCATCTTGGTCCGGTTATTTTCTGATTGCCTTGTCTGTCTCTGCACAGATTTGTTTGGGCATGAAAAGGAAAACAGAGAGGGGATGTCCTTTGCCATGACAGGTGCGCTTGCTTGGCAGGTCTAAACCCGTTTCTCTCTTTATCCACCTCTTTCATATATGCTTCTTGCCTACTACACCCAAAGAGTATCTTTCTCTTTTATATAGATTTGCTTCTTGCATACGTCTGATATGCTCCTTGCATATTTTATTATATGCTGCTTGCATACCAGCATACCACACAGAGTAAGATATGCTGCTTGCATTACCATTCATATGCTGCTTGCATACGGTTTTATATGCTTCTTGCATACTTATTTTATGCTGCTTGCATACTGTTTATACTGCTTGTATACTGTTTTATATGCTTCTTGCATAATATGCTTCTTGCATACTTAGTAGATGCTGCTTGCATACCATTCATATGCTTCTTGCATACTGTTTAATATGCTTCTTGCATACGGTTTTATATGCTTCTTGCATCTCTCTTTCATATGGTGCTTCCATACTATATTAGATGCTGCTTGCATACCACAAAGAGTATCTTCCTCTTTCCTATGGTGCCACAAAGAATATCGAGGCATCACTTGTGCTCTCTAATCTTATGCATCTTGCATATGAACATAAGTGCAAACCAGGAAGAGAATCTCTTACCCGATATTGAGCTTTCAGTTGTGCCCTGTAATATGCTTCTTGCATGTTGCTATCCTCACAAGAGAATCACAAACCTGACGTTGAGCCTCTGATGACCACAACAAAGGTAACTATTATACTTTCTTAATCGGTAGAGGGTTTGAGCTGTTAATCCTTTTCAGTAACATAGGGATTATATTTCTGTGAAAACAAACGGTGAAAGTGGAATCTAGTTAATCGTATATGTAGTTAAGGAAGCTGGTGTGATAAATGATAAATCTGAATATTATGCAGGATACTTTTCTATGTTTGGATTGGCCTTTAATTGGACTTTAAAGGTTAGATTATCTATCCCATGTTTTGGCTCATGATTGTGTATGTGTATGTGTTGTGTGGTAATATAGCTATGCTTGCAATTGGTGTTGTTTACCCGCGAGATATCTGAAAGTGACGTGTTTCAAGAATTATGCATCTCCAAGGGTTGTTCTGTTTCAGAAAACTTCAAAGAGTCTTCTCCAGTTTCCCAATGTGTCGAGGAAATAGTCTCTTGACAAGCAGGACAGTGGAATCTGAATGTAAATAAGCTGAAGAATTGTGGATTTGTAAGGGTTCTCTTTAAACGTTATCTTCCAGTTGTAATGCAGTTTTACCTATAGGCTTGCAGGTTGTGTTTAACATGTATAAAGATCGTTTCAACTATCTTGTAAAAGAATTCGACTTAATGTTCAAAGACATAAAGGCCAAAACTTCAGTAAATGAGTTTATGAGTTCATTTATATGCAGGAAACTAAATATAAAACACACACAAATCACCAAGTGTTCGCTTTTGCAACTCTGGTTCACGTAAAAGCAGGGGAAACGAGAATTCTTCCAAAAGTCTAAATCCCACTAGACAGAATGAAAAAGGACAATGAAATGTAAAAATGTTTTTGTAAGCATTACAGAGAGGCAGCTGTTTATGAGAAGAAACGAACGTAACTATAACATCTGAGATACAACATAATACCAAACCTTTGAAATTAGCACAAACTTTATTCAGAAGCAATGGTTCAACATCTGACAAGGATGATGAAGCGACATGACTACATGTTGGAGCAGTAACACCAATGGTCCACGAATCAGCTATGTATATCATATTCATTCCTTCTTTCTCTTCATCAGCACCATCCTCAAATTCAATCTCTACCAATTAAACCTCTCGAGATGAACATATCCTCTCTAATTCGATTTAACTCAGTAATGGCCGCTTCTTTCCCTAGGAATTCAGAAATTTTCTTGCTAGATTTGCCACTGTCATTACTTGTTCCGGTTCTGCAGGCATCCCTTATTCGAGCATCCAATCTCTCTGAAATGATCAGATACTTTTAGACACTTCGTTGAATTGCAACTTTTCCCGGAGTAAACTTGCCTTCCGATGCAAGAAACTTTTACCTATTATCATTTTCCACATCTTTTAATCAATTTCTATATCCCTTATACGCTCTTTTAATCAATCCACAATGATTAATTTCATGTTTAACTAATATTTTTTTTTTTTTCTGACATGAGTATATGATAAATAAAACATACAAGATCCTGTTGATATAAAAATATAAAATATTTTTTTGTAGAGCTTGGGGGTTTCTAATAGGGTTAGGTTTCAGAGCGCGTGAGATCTGGATTCTTTTCACGTTGTCTTCTTCGTTTGTGATAATATTATAAATTTTGGGGATTTTAGGGTTTGAACATTTAACTGTGTTTAGCGATGGCGGAGGGTTATACTTATTCCCGCGGAGGTTATTACCCATTCTACGTCGGCGTATATCAGCTTGTGGATGATCCTTCAACGGATTCAATAATCTCATGGAGCAAAAGCAACAAAAGCTTTGTCGTTTGGAATCCGGAAGAGCTTTTTCGCAGAAAGCTTCTTTGGAAATTCGCTTTCACCGAGATGTCACATTTCATCAAGGAGCTTGACATTTGTGTAAGTTTTTGTCTATTATTATTGCAATATATATCATCGATAATCCTCTCTTCTTCTATTTCTCTCTATCTAAATTCTCTACGCTGCAGTTTTTTAAATCGAATATTGGTTGCTCATTGCTCAATGGTATAGGGATTTGTAAGAAATAAGAAGTCTCAACATTTGGAATATGGGCATAAGAAATACTTTGTGAGAGGTCGACCTGAGCTTTTGAAGACGATGCATTCCAAAAGTACCAGGGCTAGGGAGAAGCGAAGATCTAAAGAAAAGAAAGCTAAAGCGGAAATAGAGAAACGCTTGAATGATTTACTTATTAAATGATGAGAATTTGAGAACCATCTCCATCATCATGAAATAAAATGTTGCTTCAGTTTGTTCCTTAAAGTTTCAGCTGCTTGCTTATATTGAATCAATATTTTAGTGGCTTTGTTGAACTAATGATGAAATTTGGGGTTTTCCAGAAAATGTATATGTTTTGTAACCTCTAAATTTATATTTCTGATCTATAATTGCTATACAAATGAAAACTCAATCTAAAATACTATAAATTGTATTATCCTTCATAATGCTAGTAATTTATGAAGCATTGGTTTGGAAAGATGGAGATCATTATAGTTGAAAGAGAAGAGGAAGATGTAAAACTGTCTCCAAAAGGATTCAACTCCAAGATCTTGCCACTTACTGTAAGATTGCTTGTTAAGACAATTGTAATATTTGGAATATATCTTCAATTGTTACAAAACAATTTGCCCTCCTACAAGCATGAACTGGAAGCAGTCAATTACGTACACAACACAAATAACAGATTACAAAAAATACGATTGCTGAGGCTTTAAGTTTGGAGTTTACAAGACTGTTCAGTCTGTTCTTGCATGGAAGAAGAGATTTACATATTAAATAGTAGATTAGTGCTCCTTTCTATATCTTAAACTTTGAAACACTTGATGTAACAAAACTTTTGACATAAAAAAAAAAAAAAAAAAAAATTGATCTAAAGAACACAGTGATAATTTCAAATCATCAAGTTGGTCTAAGCAATCTCACTCACTTACTTGTTGTCGCACTCGCACCTCATGATGTTCACTTTTTTCCTTTTTTGATTTGTACGTTGAAGGAGACTAGCTGGAAAGTTTCAGGTTACTTACTATTAACAAACATTGAACGAAGCTTAATCTCAGCTAGAGAGAGAAAGCTTAACCCAGAAAAGTGAGAGAAAAATTTGTTTGTATTATCTTCGTTGATTTGTTACAACAGTAAAAGTTGACTATATACTACAATGCTAAACTAAGGGAAATTAAACCAAGATAAGATTGTACTTTACATTAAACCAACATAACCGATATTCGGTTTACTTAATATACCCCCCTCAAGCCTTTATCACTGCATTGTCTTCAACTCCATCATCACTTGCTTGCTGAAGATAAAGGCTTGACAAAGACATCCGTCGAAGTAGAGAATAGAAAGGACCTGGATGTAAGGGCTTCGTTAGAATGTCTGCTAGTTGATTCCCAATAGAAACATGAAACATCTTCAGATTGCCTGCTTTGAGTTGATCGCGTACGGTGTGGCAATCGATCTCAATGTGTTTCGTTCTCTCATGAAACACGGGATTTGAAGCGATGTGAATGGCTGATTTGTTATCACAGAACAACTTAGCGGTAGAGGTTACTCTGATGTGTAGATCGCGAAGAAGTTGCTGCAGCCATATGATCTCACAAGTCGCCAAAGCAAGACTTCTATACTCAGCTTCAGTACTGCTCCTGCTAACAACAGTTTGCTTCTTAGACTTCCAAGAGATGAGAGAAGTACCAAGATAGATGCAGAAACCAGTGATTGATTGTCGACTGTCTTTACACGTTCCCCAGTCTGCATCCGCAAAACCATTCAAGCATAATTCTGAATCCGCTGCATACATCAATCCCTGTCCAGGATTGTTCTTGATGTAGCGTAGCACTTTATGAGCAGCCTGAAGATGAACATCAGTAGGAGCCGAGAGAAACTGGCTAAGTTGATTCACAGCATAGGTAATGTCCGGGCGTGTGATCGTTAGGTATAACAAGCGTCCAACCAGTTCTCTGTAGCTCGTCACATTAGGCAGCAGAGTGCCAGTATCCATTCGAAGATGGAGAGAAGGGTCCATAGGAACTGAACTCGGTTTGCATCCCAATAAGCCGGCATCTTCCAACAAATTCAAGGCGTATTTGCGTTGGCATACAGAGATACCTGCAGAGGATCGTGCGATCTCAAGACCAAGGAAGAAACGAGCAGGACCCAAATCTTTGATCTTGAACTCTGAATGCAGAAAACCCTTCAAATCATCAACTGCATCATTGTTGTTGCTGGCTATCATGAGATCATCCACATATACCAACATAGCAACAAATGAAACCACCGTGATGCGCACAAAGAGTGTGTTATCAGCTGGCGATTGAATATAATTGGCACCCATCAAAACAGAGGAAATACGCTTGTACCACTGTCGCGAAGCTTGTTTGAGTCCGTAGAGAGATTTTCGCAATTTACAAACAAGATTCGGAGGCAAAACAGTTCCCGCGGGAGGAGTATATCCTTGAGGTAAGCGCATATAAATCTCCTCCTCAAGATCTCCATGGAGAAATGCGTTAGACACATCCATCTGCGTAAGACTCCATCCAGCTGCTGAAGCAATAGCAAGAAGAAATTTGACACTTGTAAGCTTAGCAACTGGAGAGAAAGTATCAAAATAGTCCACGCCTTCTTCCTGTGTATAACCATGAGCCACCAATCGAGCCTTATATCTTTCTACAAGACCAGACGACAAATACTTGATCGTCCATATCCATTTGTTGCCAACTACATTCTTACCTGGTGGCAAAGATTCAATATCCCAAGTACGAAGAGCCTCCAGAGCCTGTAGCTCAACATTCGCAGCAGCAATCCACTTCTCAGAGGCCATGGCTTCAGCAAAAGTTTTAGGTTCTTTCTCAACGTTATAGGCAAAAATATAGGACTGAAAAAGAGGAGTGAGTTTATCATAGGAAAGAAAGTCAGAAATGGGATAAGGGGTTGTATGATGTGGAAGAGGGTCAAAAGAAGAAGATGGTAAAAGGTTATAGTGATACTCAGAAAGATAGCGAGGAGCCTTAGCATTACGTTTAGGCCTAGCTATAGGTACATACTCTACACCTATGTCCTGTGTCACTGTATCACGAGCTACCGTAGTGGTCCTAGGTTCCTGACGTGTGGGTGCAGATGATGCATGAATGTCATGAGAATGCAATTTAACAACAGGAGAAGAATCAACAAGATTATCAAATGCAACAGGTTCAACAGGTTCAGTATCAGGTGGATCAGTGCAAGAAAAAGGTCTTGTTTCAACAAAATGCAATGGTGCAGGAAGAGGCAAAATCGTATTAGGAAACATATCAACAGCTTCAGAAACGAATTCACTAGTTTTAAACGGGAAAGCAGTTTCATGAAATACAACATTGCGAGAAATAGAAACAGAATGCGATTCAAGATCCAACACTTTATAACCTTTGTAACCAGAGGAATATCCCAGAAAAACACACGGTTTAGCTCGAGGAGAAAACTTGTTTCGATCTTTCAACAAAGTGGACATATAGCAAAGACAGCCAAAAGATTTTAAAAGACTAAAATCAGGGGCCTTGGACATCAACAATTCAAAAGGAGATTTGTTTCCAAGTAAAGGAGAAGGCATGCGATTGATCAAAAACACAGCAGTATGCACACAATCACTCCAATACTTCAAGGGAACATTAGATTGGAAAAGCAATGCACGAGCCACATTTAAAAGATGTTGATGTTTCCGTTCCACTACTGAGTTCTGCTGAGGAGTATAGGCACAAGAAAACTGGTGAATAATGCCTTTTTCATGAAGTAAATCAGTGAAAGCCAATTCAGGTGCATTATCAGATCTAATGGACTTTACTTGGCAATTGAACTGATTATTAACAAGAGTAAGAAATGCTGGAAAAATAGAAGCAACATCACTTTTATATTTCAACATGTATAACCAAGTCGTTCTTGTACAATCGTCAACCAAAGTAAAAAATAACGAAATCCTTCAACAGACTCAATATGGAACGGACCCCAGATATCAATATGAACTAGATCAAACGGCTTAGAAGCCAAATTATTATGAGAAACATACGCAAGACGCTTTTGTTTAGCTAAAGGACAAATTGAACAATGAAAAGAATCAGAAACAATAGCACTAGAAGGTAAAGCAGCTTTCAACTTCTGCATGGTAGGAAGAGAAGGATGGCCAAGACGCTGACGCCAAACATTATCATCAACCAAAACAGAACCACAGAAAGAAGGCAATGATGAAGAAGAGGTAGTATGCGTCGGAGTATCCAGAACGTATAGATTGTGTAATAGTTTACCCCTTCCAATCATCAAGCCCTGAGAAAGTTCCTGAATGAAACAACAAGTGGGATAGAAATGAGCAGAGCACAACAAAGTACGAACCAAACAACTAACACTGATGAGATTGAAATGAAATGCAGGAACATGCAAAACGTCATAGAGAATCAAAGAATCAGTGATATGAATTGTGCCTGTGTGTGTGATAGGAACTCTAGTACCATTAGGAAGAGTGACAGTGACACTAGCTACAGGTGTAAGTTCGCTAAACATAGCTAGATCAGAACATACATGACTAGAGGCTCCACTATCTATGATCCAAGCATCACTAGGCAAGAGTTGTTGTAAGGAGGAAAGGCTATGATTTTGAAAGGTAAGGTCATTGTTTGCATAACGAAGGCTGGTAGAAGGAAATGAAACATTACCAGAAGTAGAAAACTGAGCCATGACCCCATGATCTGTGATCGTAGCCGTCTGCGAAGGAGGAGCAACAGGAACCGGAACTTTCACCTGAGAATGAAACTGTGCCACTAAGTCTTGAAGTTGTTGTGGAGAATAATTCTGAATGCTCACTGTAGTATCTCCACTAGCAACTGGAACAGGTGCATAAGCATAAGATCCCCCTGCATCAGCATAGACGTTCGCAATGGCATTTGCTGACTGAACATTAGCTGAATAGGTAGGCATGTGAGACTGAGACTGAGAAGATGGTGCCGGAGGCATTCTCTGTTGACCAGAAGGTTGCTGCTTCGATGCATAAGTATTTGTTTTGTATCCCGGAGGAAAACCATGAATCTTGAAGCACTTCTGAACAGTATGTCCCATCTTTCGACAATGCGTACAAACAGGTTTCTGAGTTCCTCTGCCCATATAAGCAGCCACAAGATTGGGATCATCACCATGACCTTGACCATCATAACCACTAGTATTCATGTTAAAGGCAACCACATTAGACACGGGTCGAAGAAGCTTCTGACGCTCATCTTGAGTGACTATATTGAAAGTCTCCTCAATCGTTGGAATAGGCTTCATCATCAGAATGTGACGGCGAGTCTGCTCATGCGACTCATTAAGACTCATCAAGAACTTCGTAACACGGCTCCTATGCTGCAATTTCTCCCATAAGCACGCAGCATCACACTCACATTTGTCACAAGTACAAACTGGCAATTCGACATAGTTCTTATGCTCTTCCCAAAGAATAATCAACTCTGTATAGTAAGCGGAAACATCCATTGATCCTTGTTCCAATTTACTCAGCTTCTGCTCAATATCATAAACCCTAGGTACATCGTCTTGTTTGAATCGAGAGAGCAAATTATTCCAAATCCCTTCAGCAGTGGAAATGAGCAAGAGACTTTGCCCAATCTTCTTGGATACAGAATTCATCAACCAAGTCGCTACAATATCGTTACACCTAGACCACGCACCATAATTCCTATCAGTTGGAGGAGGACGAGAAATCGTACCATCGATGAATCCCAATTTGTTGCGCACATTCAACGCCATACGCACGGATCTGCGCCAAGAGTGAAAATCCGACGGCGTAGAGAGTCGATCGGAGACTAAAACAAGTTCGCTGCTGTGCAAGAAATATGGATTATCGTATTGATCTGTTCCCGTCGGTGCTGTCACATTCAACGGATCGGAGCCAGAAGGCGGAGCTGAAGAACCCATGGATTCGAGCTCAAAAAAGAAGAAATCGAAGAAATGTGTGACGATACGAAAGAGAAATCGCACACACAGAGGTCAATCAAAGAGAAACAAAGAAAATCAGAACGGAAAAGCAGTATACGATTCCGAGCAAAAAAGTGCCAAAAATGGCGAGAAAATCGAACAAAACAACGAGAAAATCTGCGGAATAAGGAATCGCGCTGCTCATTGAAGAAGAAGAGATTCAATCGCGGAAGAAAGAAAGATCTCTGATACCATATTAACAAACATTGAACGAAGCTTGAGCTCAGCTAGAGAGAGAAAGGTTAACCCAGAAAAGTGAGAGAAAAGTTTGTTTGTATTATCTTCGTTGATTTGTTACAACAGTAAAAGTTGACTATATACTACAATGCTAAACTAAGGGAAATTAAACTAAGATAAGATTGTACTTTACATTAAACCAACATAATCGATATTTGGTTTACTTAATACTTACTACCCAAGTTACCTAACAAAATCATGTCTCCCGCGTTTCATAAGAACTTGGAGATATTACAGAGAACAAATTTGCGTGTTGTGCACTGTTAACATATTAACCGCCTTTTTTGTTGTGTTTTACATGCGCCGTTTATTTTAAATACTTTGATAATTAGCAACCGTAGGATCTCTCAATAATACATCCGAAATCTAAAACCGACACTGATTTCTAGGGTTTCCTCGCGTTATAGAAAAAGGGGGTCGACTTATCCAATCTGTTATCTTTATCCCAAGCTCCCGCCGATCGCTTTAAATTCTGATTATTTTTCACGAGATTCTTCGTTTCTTCTTTAATCACCTTTCGAATCCCCTTCTTTGGACGATTATTTTTTCGTTAGGGTTTCGGTGGACTCATGTTGATTCGGCTGACGTAGATCATTAGCGCCGATATGCAATCCATCAGAGTTTTGCGGATGGTAATCGAGTAAGTTGTCGTCTTTCCCTAGGGTTTCTCAAATTCATTGATTCTGTTTCTGAATCTGTCGTCTCTGCTACTTACAAGTCTTGCGAAACTGGATTATGGAACTGATATCTTTGATGGGAAATTACTTTTCGGATTCGTATTATGTCTGATCAATTCTCGTTGATCCTGATTGCGAAGGAACCATCTTGGTCCGAATATTTTCTGATTGCGTTCTTTTTCTCTATAGAAAAGAAAACAGAGAGGGGATGTGACCTTTGCCATGACAGGTGCGCTTGCTTGGCAGGTCTAAACCCTTTTTCAACTTTCATATGCTTCTTGCATACTCTTTTATATGCTTCTTGCATACCATATTATATGCTGCTTGCATACTCTTTTATATGCTTCTTGTATAGTCTTTTATATGCTTCTTGCATACCATTAATATTCTCCTTGCATAATCTTTGATATGCTGCTTGCATACTCTTTGATATGCTCCTTGCATAATCTTTTATATGCTCCTTGCATACCATATCAATGCTGCTTGCATAACATAGAGTATCTTACTCTTTTATATGCTTCTTGCATACTTGACGAAGAGTATCTTGCTCTTTTATATGCTGCTTGCATATTGTATCATATGCTTCTTGCATACTTGACTAAGAGTATCTTGCTCTTCCATATGCTGCTTTGCATACCTCAAAGAATATTAGGCATCGCTTGTGCTCTCCAGTATGCATCTTGCATATGAACGATAAGTGCAAACCAGGAAGAGAATCTCTGAAAGTGACGTGTTGTTACCCGCGAGATATCTGAAGTGACGTGTTCCAAGTACTATGCATCTCCAAGGGTTGTTCTGTTTCAGAAAACTTCAAAGAGTCTTCTCCAGTTTCTCAATAAATAGTCTCTTGACAAGTAGGACAGTGGAATCTGAATGTATATAAGCTGAAGAATTGTATATTGTGTATTTTGTAAGGATTCATTTTAAACATTATCTTCCAATTGTAATGTAGTTTTACTTTTACCTGTTGTGTTTAACATGTGTAAAGATCGTCTCAACTATCTTGTAAAAGAATTTGACTTAATATTCATAGGCATAAAGGCCGAAATTTAAGTAAATGAGTTATGTAAATGTCATGTAAATGTTGTTGAAAGAGAAGAGGAAGAAGTAAATATGTTTGTTCATCGCCAAGAGCTATCAACACCAAGCCATTGTTATAAAAATCATTGCTAAGCATCCGAGTCGCAGGTGATATAGCTCCGAGTCGCTGGAACATGTGATATAGCTCCAGGTGATAAAACATGTGTCAGAAACCTCTGTAACAGACACTGGAACAACCATCAGTACTGTCTCCTTCAAGAATGTCTGTCGCGTTTATCCGTGTAGAATACAGCTATTGCAGAGACGGTTTAGGAGGAAGATCCCCAACAAAAAACTTGCAGATCTGTTGTAGAATACTGTCTTCCTTTTGTTTCATAAGTTGCCATTGATCTCATGAACTCACATTTTTCAAGTTTCTCATCAGAACATACTTCACTATCTCAAGAAACGTCACCTCAGGTAGAAGATCGGTTTATACTTTCCCAAATGGCTGGACCTTGAGGGTGGACATTAACAAAATACTTGACAAACCTCGCATCACCGCAAGTGAGAATAGTGCTCGGTGACAGCATCGGCTTCGCTGCATCTCTTTCCCTCAACCACAAATACATCGAGAATCTGTTATGTATTCTCTGCATATCGTAACACAGATACGCAGGGAAACTCACCAGAGATTCAATCGGATAGCCAAGAAGCTCCGTCAAGGAATAAATCTTTCTCTCTATGACATCTTTAGACAGGTTAAGTACAATCGGAGCGTGCTTGATGATCTCCGCAACCACATTGTGGTTTAAACCGGCTTTCACAAGACAATCAAACCTCTCCTGCAGCTGATCTCCTCTCCCACGAAACTGTTTCAGAGCCCTAACCATCTCGTCAGAGTTCTCCACATACCCTAACCTCAACAAAAACGCCGTCTTCTCTGCGTATTTCCTAGAATCCTCCGAGAGAAGTTTGCTTTTCCTCTTCTTCTTCGTCGTAGAAACAAAACTAAACAGTCTCATCGGCTCTTTCCTTAACATCTGACGTAGCTCGTCTTCTCCAACGTTCAAACCAACACAAACAGTTCTCGGTGCTTGCAGAGAGCAAGAACCTATAACCTCCATATGACTCAGCAGAATCTCTCTAATAAACTCCGTTCCCATTCTAACACCAATCAAGAAATCCACCGCCTTCCCAATATTCTTAACGCATTTGTCTGACAACATCTCCGGATTGTCTATAAACAGCCTATAAATCTCATCCACTCGAAGCCCTACTTTAAACAACCTCCCAAACATAACATAGAACCTCTTACCGGATCCTTCAATCACCAAACCCGGATACGTTTTCAAAACACTACTCAGCTTCTCCTCTTTACATCCAACTTTCTCAAGAAACTCCATCGTCTCCAGAATCCTTCCCCAGCTATACGTTTTCCTGTCAGACAAGTCTCGCTCCAGCCAATCACATCCTACCGGTAACAACTTCAGCTTATCAACCACACAAGCAAAGTCCTCATCAACCCCACCAAGTAACAGCAATGGACAACTAGTAACTAACTTGATAACTGTACCTTTTCTTAGCCCCAAATCCTCATAACCTCTGAGCTTCGACGCCAACATCCCAGGCTCGTATCTGAAAATCTCTCTAGCTTCTTTATACATACGGCCAATCTTGCCACGAGGGATCCCATAGTTGCAAAGAGCATGGAAGTTCTCAAGCATGATACTATCATCACTCAGATACATTAGTCTCTGTGGAAGAAACGGCTCAAACTCAGATGGGCACAAACCCAAACTCTCGAAAAACGGTTCGAATTCGTTTATCGGATTGTATCTAAGGAACTTAGTCAATGCCTTGGAGACATCTCTCTGGCTATCATCATCGATCTTAGACAACAGATTCGATAAAAATTGAGGAGAGTTCTTGCTTATATGCTCTGCATCAGTGAAAGTAAAGCTTCTAGTATTATGCAAATAATCAAAAAGAGCTTTTTGAGACTGATTCCTAATTGCTCGTGAAACCGGATTGACGAAGAACTTAGTGGGTGACTGAGACGATTGTTGTTGTTGATGCGACTGTGACTCGGATTTATCACTACGGAGAGAGCTTTCGATCTGGAAGCAACGAACTGTGAATGAAACGCGAGAAAGGTTGGAACTTGGAGGAGGTTGGTTTTGACGAGGAACGGAGGAGAAAGGTGTGGAATTGTTGAAATGTGTAATCATTATTCAATGATTTATGAATCCTTTTCTGATTCCTCAACAGTAACATCGCCACCTAAAGGCAAAAACAGATGAAATCACCACCAGATACAGAACAATCTAATCCGAAGAAAAAGTGTTTTTGTCCTCCGAACAAGAAATGTTACCTGAAATCAGGGATTAAAGCGCGCTTGGATCCACCATTTCCCCCAGATTCTTAGGTTTCATCGTCAAGTATCGTTTTTTTTGCCAGAACTTGTTGGAGATTTGAGTTCAGAGGAAAATACTAGGAAAGCTCCTTAACTTTTGAAATATACCAGAAATGACCCGTAAGTTTGGGATATATGACCTTTAGTACTCTCGACTCTCGAGTCTCAATTGTCTAGAATATGCCAAAGAGTTCCGAAATGGATTGCATTATTATACCGAATTTATAGAATTGTCTAATTTAGAGTTGTCAAAAGTGATCAACTTATCGCACAGAATCGTGTTAATGAAATCAACGTTACGAATTCTTAAGTATCTGAATAAGTTGAACTATACTATATAAATGACTTCAAAGCCATTTAACGGTGATTTCTTCGTTATGATTATGTCTACAAGCTAAGATAAAATCAGCAAGAAACGGTGAGTATGAATATTTTGTTCGTCTTTCTAATTTTTAATTCACTAAATATTTAAGTTGTTACTTAGGTCAATTTCAAGTGGTCCATACTAAGTTCAACTCAGGTGTTAGGTTATCATCTTCAAGCTAAAAAGCCTACCAAACACTGAATAACAACTAATTTCTAATCCTTAATTTCTATTCAAAATATTTTCAACGATCTTAGTGCTTTTTAGTTCAACAAGTTGGAAAATAGGCGAAACAAAGATTAAACATTTTAGAAATTAGATCACTTCAAGCTTTATTTAACTTGCAAATGTTACGTTTAGGGGATGATTTTACTTTGTAAAACCGTCTTTATATAGTTTGTGGTTTACTCAGATATATTACAGTTCTTCATATAACTTTGATATTATTAATTCATTATTGGTACAAATTATTTTCAAATATCATAATTTTTCTTATATTATACATACATTAATTATATCTGCACTATAAATAAATATATATTATTTTGAAGATACATCTAGATTTTGACCCAAAAAGGATTATCTATAGAGATTATAAGATGAGATTTAATATTTCTCGCTAAATCATAATTTTTTTTACTTTCTATAAAAGACTAGAAATAAATCATAACCCAAATACCAAAAATGCAGAAAAAAAAAGAAGAAGAAACATATCCTTGGTTTCTCCTAAATTCCAGCTACCTTTCCTTGTGTAAGACAAAAATGAAAAACCAGTTAGATGTTTTTCATATTAAAAATTACATAATTTCTTAATTTTACTTATTTCTCCCTTGGGTTTTCTTGCGCACTCGGTAAAAATCTTCTAATAAGGTTAGGGTTTATTTCCTACTTTATTTCTCCTTTGTTTCCTCCTTAATTACTTGTGCATGCTTTAACCAAAACCCAATTGTTTTTCTTTGTTCATTTTTGGAGTAAACAAGGTGAAAAAAACTCTCCAGCTACAGTTAGGTGAATCTCTTCTCTCTGGATTATTCTTAAAATAACTATTTTTGTGTAGTGTTTTTAATTTCTGCCCCTCTTGCGAATCAAGTAATTGGTAAATTTCTCGAAGCTTCCAAAGCACCCTTATTTCCGCATCGTCTCTGTAACTTCCTACTTCTTCTTCATCTTCTTCTGCAGCTTTTTGCGGTTCACGTGTTGATTGCTGCTCGGTCATCTTTTTTTCCGTTTAAAAGTTTCAACTTTATAATAAGATTTATTGATATTTCAGGTTGTCTCGACTTGAGTTTTCTCTGATAAACAAGACAAAAAAAGCAGAATCATTCATTGTCTTCTTCCTAGGCGTACGATTCGAGAGAGGTTAAGTAAGATCTCTTGTCTTTTTTCTTCGTTTTGTGTCATCTTCTGATATTGTGTTTATTATGTTTGAGAGAATGGCTTAGATGAAAATAACATACTGTTATCTCAGTAATGATGATGAAGCTTGAGAGAAGTCATTAGTCTGAGAGGGAGAAGAATTAAAACCATTCACCACAAAGATCAAGAACTTGAGACAAGTCATGGACATCATGTCTTACCAAAATCAAGCAGAGGATCTTGTTAAGCACTATTTATTAGCAGATCAGTTTCTTCCATATACCTCTGTTCTTGCTGGAATCTTCCTCTGCAAAATGGTAATTGTGCTTCTGGTCACTAGCAATTTGCATAATCCACATTTTTTTTTCTTTTTTTTTCCAACACTGTATAGCTCATGCATGCTCTTTTTGGTATTAGGTCTATGATCTTACGGAGCTATTCAGCTCAATTCATATTAAATCATATTCAGCTCTTACCAAAATGAAGAGAGTTGAATGGAACAATAGGTGAGTATATACATCTAGTATATAAACTATGCTTTTGTCTCTTAACACTCTTGGCTTATATTATAACTTGGCAGGGGAATTTCTACAGTCCATGCGTTCTTTATCTCATTCATGGCAATCTACTTTGTGTTCTTCTCTGATTTGTTTTCTGACCAAACAAGGCTTCAAGGCCTTATGGTGTTTCGTAGCTCTCCTCTCTCTAATTTTGGTTTAGGAGTAAGTTATGATCTTTTTTTTTTCATTTATCTCATAAATCCTCTTCATGAACATTGATCAACCTATATGCTACTTTGTTGCATTGTTTGTAGGTATCAGTTGGTTACTTTCTCTCGGATCTTGGAATGATCTTTTGGTTATACCCTTCTTTAGGAGGATCAGAATATGTAAGTAGTAGACATTGAGAAACCTTATGTGTGTTCTTCATTGGTTTCAGTTACTTGACAATCTTGGTTTCTTTTGTAGATTTTCCATCACTGCTTATCCGGAATGGGAGTAGCGTATTCTCTGTTCTCCAAAGAGGCTCAGTTTTACGCATACATGGTTTTGATCTCTGAATTGACTACACCAGAGGTCAATCTTAGATGGTACCTTGACATTTCTGGTTTGAAGCGATCTAAAGCTTATCTTATTAATGGTGTTGCCATCTTCTTGGCTTGGTTGGTGAGTTTTTTTTTTTTTGAATCCTGAAAAATGTCTTGAAACTTAATTGGATTTCAAGTTCTCTTTATATGAAACTTCATGTTTTGATTGCAGACGGCAAGAATCCTTCTGTTCATCTACATGTTTTACCATGTCTACATACACTATGATCAGGTAACCATGATTTCGGTTTAAACTCTGTTTTTGCTGTTGGCATTGGTTAACTTTAGAGACAATGAATTGATGAAGTATGCATCTTGTGGCAGGTGGTACTGATGCACACGTTCGGTTATCTGCTGGTTTTCGTTGTACCGATTGCATTGAGTGTAATGAACTTGATGTGGTTTGGTAAGATAGTGAAGGGATTGAAGAAAACTCTTGAGAAAAGACAGTGAAGAAATCGTCCTTTTTTCTTTCTTTATAAATGTAAATAGAAAAGGTCTTATGAAGAGTCTTTAAGTATCTTGCAGATTCAAAAGCAACAAATATATGGTTTTTTTTTCTTTCTTATTTTTAGCTTAATCACAAATTATGTCCAGAACAATAATGTCATAACATCTCACGTTTTTTTTTTTAAATAAGGATTAAAAAAAGAAGAAGTAATGTAACATAAATCCATGACACCACATAACATAAATCCAACATAAAAGTAGTTGATTAAACAAGTACCTAATTAGTCTCAACATCTCACTTACTGATGAAAAGTACATACATAACACAACATAGCACTAAAAACATAGATAGGGTTTCAAATTTAGTAGTTTAATCATCATCTTCCTCTTCCTCTTCATCGGATGTGGAGTTGCAAAGGTAGCCTTCGTTGAGGACACGACCCAATGAGGATACCACACGTAGTAATTTCTTCTCTCATGAGACCAAGGTTGGATCTAGCACCTTGGATTGAAGAATTATCAGAAGGGGAGAAAGAGCTTACATACAACTAAAGATATTGTTCTTCAAGAAGTTCAAGAGTAGCTTTGCAATTTCCCGAAGTTGATTAATGTGCAACTCTTCATTTGAATCCACGATAGGACGGTCCACACTATATTCCGACACAATGCCTTTACTAGCCAAGGAATCCTCGAAACACTCATGGCATTTCCTAATGCACCTGATGCAAGCTATGATTTCATCTTTTGATGTGGTCTAGTAAAAACTAAAACGCAGTTTATATATACAAAAGAAAAAGTTTTCCTCGTTAATGTCTACAAAATGAAATGTCTTCAAATATACTCATGTGAAATTAGTGATGTAGAGTTAGAAAAAAATGAAAAAGTTAATGTCTACAAAACGAAATGCCTTCAAGTGTGAAATTTGTGCATTGCGTATTTACTTGCATAATCATCCTCCTTCTACAAAAAGAATGGTGTATGTGTTTAATATCTATATAGATGATTCACTTACAGTTTTCGGATGAAATATCTAAAATCCACATTAAACTTTTTTTCAAATTTTTAACTTCAACTAGACAGTGTATGAACTCATGATCAACGGTAAACATGAATGTTTCATCACTACTTAGAGAAGTGTCATTGGAGGAAGATATTTCACTGTTTACCAATTTCACTGTTTACCAATATTGATCTGTCATATTTTGGTTTCAAAGCTATTTTTAATACAAAAATACACAATGTCTCAAAAACTCAATCTTTATATACAAATAAGTTGCTGAGGCTACCATTCATTCCATTTATAAAAGAATTTTTTTGCGCTCCGTCTACAGAAATAACATTATATTTAGTTAATTAACCGAACACAATTGACAATTCAAAACACTACGATTAATCGATCGCAACATTTACAAATTAATTGATCATAACCATAAGTTTTTCAGCTGTTTGCTTGTATTGTATCAATATGATCAGAAGCACAACTTTGCATCAGTGTGTTCCTTTTAAGTTTCAGTTTGCTTGCTCTTATATTGTATCAACACTTTTTGTGGCTTTCTTGAAATTATGATGAAATTTGGGGTCTTTCCACACAAAAGTCAATAATGCCAATAACATGATATATAACTAAGCACAACATGATGCACTCACGGCCCTGTCCATGGCCCTGTCCGGTAGAACCATTCCACTTTGGTTTTCCGTTGGCTGTACTCTCGGTAGCCTTTTTGCTGTACCGGCCACAAAGGAAAAAAAGGGTATAACAGTGTTAACATTAGAAGCAAAAAATGTTTGAATTTTGATTCTCTGAGTGTAACGATAGCTCACCGATTTCATAGAATGTCTCTTTGACATTAGCTGCTGTTTTCGCTGAAGTTTCCATGAAGAAGAGACCATTCTCTTGAGCATATGTTTGTGCCTCCTGCAAGGAATACCAACATCAGGAAGTCGGCTTAGCAAATAGCAACCAAACTCCATAGATACCAAAAGTGTTTAGTTTTTATTCTCAATGTGGTTGAAAACTTTAACACACAGAAACTTCAAAAGGGTCAGTCCTGAGAATATGAGTCTGTTTAGACTTTAGGCTTTTGACATAAGAGAGCCAAGAAACGAACAAAAAGAGACACAGGGTACAAGGATAAGCAAGGCCACATGAAAAAATCTACATCATTCTCCAAAGATGGTTTAGAGAAAAGCACTCTATACTGCTTCATGACATCCCAACTATACAAAGACTTGTTGACTGTGTGGGGTCTTTTTAGGTAGCTTGCTTTGTCATTAAGGTACATTGTGATATATATATAACAAATAGATACAGTAACCACCTAATCATACTGTGACTGACAAGTGAGAATCCAAGTACAGGTTAACACGTTTAACATGATAGATCAGCTCAAATTTAAAACTCTAAAGCACACACCAAACCACACAATGAGAAAAATCAGTCAGAGTCAGAATAGGATTTGCTTACCTCTGCAGTCACCTTCCTTGCATCTAATAAATCAGATTTGTTGCCAGCAAGAGCCATCACCATATTAGGGTTACCTATTCACATTCACACATATAAATAGTAAAACAAATCAAGCTTGACAGTACCTGTAACCGGAACTCACAATCTAAACCGTAACTTAGCTTAGACAATACCTTGTGCCTGCAGTTCCTGAACCCATTTCTTTGCCCTCTCAAATGATGCCTGAGAAATGACAACATAGATAAAATCAAGCAAACTTAATTTACTAGAAAGCCACAAAAGGTTACACCCACTGAAGCAAAGGACTGTGAATTTGTACCTGATTAGTAACATCGAAGACGATAACAGCAGCAGCTGCACCTCTGTAGTACATTGGAGCCAAGCTATGGTATCGTTCCTGACCAGCTGTATCCCAAATCTCAAACTTTACAGTCGCATCGTTCACAGCTAGTGTCTGTGAGAAAAAAGCTGCTCCTATGGTTGATTCCTATAACAAACATAAAAGAATGTCAACGTTAATAACCACAACACGGCAAGGAAGAGAGCATTGAAGAAACTTCCACCACCAACCTGGAATTCAACAAACTGATCTTTAACAAAACGTAACACAAGACTCGATTTCCCAGCACCAACATCTCCAAGTAACACCTGAAGGGCTTAACCAAAAAACATAACCAAATCAAAAGAAGAAGAGAAATCGAAATGTTCACAAGCAGCTTTAAGACTTATAAAGCAAAAGGAAACTCTTGCTATCATTATAGACCAGTAAATGCAGAAACTTCCATGGATACAGATTAGGAAACAGAGACGAACAAATCCTGGTTTTGAATCAAGAAAATAATAGCATAGACACTTCATCAGTGTCGAGATAGATCACTAAACCCTATTACGAGAGACGACTAAAATCAGAAGATTTCATTTCAGTATAAAGCCCAAAACTTTCTACTGCACACATCAGAAGAACAAAGCCGAATCCTGATCGAAATTCTCCAATTTTGTTGGTCCTCAAAGAATTTCAAAATCAGATCAAAATTCTCCAGATCACAATCTGAAAAAAACTAACAAAATCTCGAGCATCGGAGAGAGAAATTTCAAAAGCCCATATAGAATCGAGCTAAATATGAAAGAACAAAAGACGGACCAATTTCGCGTTGATGCTCTTGTTTCCAGCGGTAGCCATGGCTATCGATCAGAACAGAGTCTATCGCAGCTCGAGAATCTTCAGCTCAATCAAAAGTCGAAAAGAGAATTGAAGATCAGACGGAGAAAAACAAGTTCCGAATTGAAGACGCGTCGTTACCAACTACCCAATTTACTGTGTCGTTTGATCTCTTTCCAGAATTCCCAAAAAGAAAACAAAAGCAAAAGCGAGCAAAATAATTTAAAGGAAACAAATGTTACACGGCAAGTCCATTTCACACGAAACCTACGAATACATACATTTCGAATATTAATTAATTTAAACATTAAACATTACTAATTTTGTTGTTAACATACATTATTTTGTTCAAAAAATGTATGTCTTCTCTTCTTATATCAGGGTTTATGTTGAAAAAGATAACATCTCTCTGACTTTACCCATAACAAATATTAGTGAATGGTGAGCCTGATGTATAAATAAATATTAGTGAATAAATTGTTAATTGTGAAATAATCGAGATTGTTGATCTTGTAGTTTGTATGCTTTTGTGAAAATATGGTTTGGTTTATGTATGATCAAATATATTTGAAGAAAATGCTGCTGATGAATTCGAATATGTATACATCACTTGTGGGTGAAATTACAGTCAAGAGTTACCACTCTGGTAACAAGCGTGTGTGGTCATGAGAATAAAAATTTTAAAATCAACCTTCTTCATCTTCTCACTCTAATTAGATTCTCCATTGAAGTAGATGTATATGTATATCTGAATTGATAGGAATGATGATCAGTTTCCACTTCTCTTCTCGACCAAGTTCCCTGGAAGCTTGAGCCACTCTCCAATCTCGATGCTGTATCTTCGTCTGGTCTCACATTCAGCTCCTCCATGTCGCCAAACACACCTGAAACAGAAAACCGAAAGAAAGCATAAGTAAAAAGAAGCAAGTCATACTTCTTGCAAAGAGTGTATGGTTAGCTAAAAAGTAAAAAAGAAAGACAATTGATCTACCTGGATAACTCTATCGTGAAGGTCATGGTGAACATACAAAGATATCATCCTAGCGAACAAGCTTCTTGGGATGTATTATGCGTTTGTGTCTGCATAATCATTTTCCACAACGTTGCTGCCTCGTTCCCTTTGATCCATACCAAATGCCAGTAAAAGTGTATCATATGTTCTCACTGAAGCCACCTGTGTTCTTCCACTAAACCAATCAACTCAAGATGCCATATTTAGCAAAACTAGCACGTGACATATCATGTTACTTACTTTAACCACACGATGCCGTTGCCACATAAGATAAGAAAAACCTAATAGCGTTCAAGGAAATATTACAAACAGACCAATTCGTAACGTTGTCTTGAAGCTCACATTTGTAACATGAAGGACATTTTGACTGATATATTAATGCATCATTTAGATGAAAATTTACAAATAGACCAATTCAAAGTTTCAAAAGATGCAATGTAACTTTTTTTGTTTTGTCTACAATATGGATCAGAAAACAGATATTTGAAGCTAATGAACTGAAATTAATCAGTACCTAACCTGAAACTTACAAGATAGTAACCAATTAACCTGTATATAGCCCCCATGAGGTAAGACTAAAATCAAATTTAATTAGTTGCCCAAGCTAATCAAGCCTTTTTCAAAAATAAAAAAATACACGTATTATCTGATTATCACAATCCAAGCAATAAACAAAGCATGAAAATTCCTCCAACTGGAAGAATTAAAACATCGGAAATAACGGAGGAAATCAAAGTCAACAATTGATGAAGAAACTTACTACAATAGTTGTTGCAACGAAAATACCCAGGACAACAAAATTGTGCTTAGTTAATACTCCCTCCGCGTCAAATTAGTTGTCGTTTTAGAAAAATGTATCTGCAATTATTTGGATGTATCTGCAATGCAAAACACGTCCAGATATGTCCAGATTTTTGCAAATACATTTTGCTAAAACGACAACTAATTTAAAACGAAAGGAGTATGTGTTTAGTTATATCATGTAATTGGCATTATTGACTTTTGTGTGGAAAAACCCAAAGTTGCATCATAATTTCAACAAAGCCACAAAAAGTGTTGATACAATATAAGAGCAAGCAAACTGAAACTTAAAAGGAACAAACTGAAGCAAAGTTTTTAATTCATGATGATGCTTCTGATCATTTTATTAGTAAATCATTCATGCGTTTAAGTACTTCTATTTTAGCTTTCTTTTCTTTAGATCTTCGCTTCATCCGAGCCATGGTAGTTTTGACAAGCTCAGGTTGGACTCTCACAAAGTATTCCTTATGTCCAAATTACAAATGTTGAGACTCTTTATTTCTTACAAATCCCTACCATAGAGAGCAACCAATATTCATTTCTTTTTTTTTTTGTCAACAACCAATATTCATTTAAAAACTGCATCATAGAGATTCTCGAGAGAGAGACGATTCTAAACTCGGAGATCGATAACATCTTTCAAGATGGTTTCAGAAGATACAAGTAAATTATAACGAAACCATAAACTGTTAATTAGTTTTCAACTAGTTCAAAATCGATAAGATGATTAGGTAAAACCAAATCGTTTTTTTCAGGTCGGGTAAAAGTTCCAGACCTTGGTAGAAGATAAGAAAAAGATGCAATATAAGCAAGCAGCTGAAACTTAAGGAACAAACTGATGCAAAGTTTTATTTCATGATGGTAATTCTGAATCTTCTGATCATCACTTAATTTGTAAATCTTTCAAGCGTTTGTCTACTTCCGCTAAGCATAAGGAACCATTAGTCTACTATCGCTTGATTAATCAATTTAAGGAACCATAAGTCTACTACCGCTTGATTAATTAACCACTATCTTTTTCAAAGAAGAAATCATTCACTACACTGTACGCTGTTTTTTTCCTTCACCAAATAAATGAGAAAGACCTTGGTTGAATACTAAATTATCCATCAATCCATAGAAAAAAAATATTGAATCTGTCATAATCTCTGTTGTTAAACTTGAAGAAAACACGTCGACGAAAAAAAAAGAAAAAAAAAACACGATGGTAGTCTCTCGTAAAGCACATGTCCATTAGAAAAAAAATGCAAAAGCCCAAGAACAGCCCAAGAAACTTGGTGAAGATAAGATAGTTGACGTCTCTTCTGTTTGATATTTATTTAGGGTTGATACCATTGTCTTGTTCGTTTGTCACAATATTTTTTTTTTGATTTTAGGGTTTGAACTTTGAGTTGTGTTTAGCGATGGCGAACGATGATATCACCAGGGTTATGCATACCTTTTACATCGGTGTATACCAGCTTGTGGATGATCCTTCAACGGATCCAATAATCTCATGGAGCAAAAGCAACAAGAGCTTTGTCATCTGGAATCCTGAAGAGCTATTTCGCAGGAAGCTTCTCTCGAGATTATTTATCAACAAGTTGTCACATTTCATCTCGGAGCTTGACAATCATGTAAGTTTTTGTATATTGCAATATTATCGATCTCCGACTCCGAGTTTAGAATCCTCTCTTCTTCTTCTTCTCTCTATCTTATCTCTATGATGCAGTTTTTAAATGAATATTGGTTGGTTGCTCTCTATGGTAGGGATTTGAAAGAATCAAGGAGTCTCAACATTTGGAATATGGGCATAAGAAGTACTTTGTGAGAGGTCAACCTGAGCTTTTGAAGACGATGCTTGTCAAAAATGTCTTGGGTAGGAGGAAGCGAAGATCTAAAAAAAAGAAAGCTAAAGCGGAAGTACATAAACGCATGAAAGATTTACTAATTAAGTGATCTTTATAAAAGCTTAATCTTTTGAAAGCTATAAACAAGACCAAAATTATTTTGAATGCCAAGGAAATTGTTGGATTCAAGAATGTTGATTCTCTGTTGAATGATAAACAAGAAATCAGTAATTTTTTTAGTGTAAGTAGGATCTAACAATCAAGTCTGCGGAGGTACAAATGGTGGAATTTTCAATCATTTTGGGATCCAGAAACCTCGCAGATTCTACATCCTGTAATCGATGGCTCAACTGATTCCGAGAGAACCGTGTGTGAAAAGAAAGATCATAATACTAGCCAGAGTAGGTGGTTGAAAAGAGATTGTGCCATTGTGGCTAGCTTAAACCAACGTAACACATCTCTGTAAGGAAATCAAAATTTGGATTTGTTTTCATTTTTCTTTTAACGTCACTCGTAAATCATAACGAAACCATAAACTTTTAATTCTGTAAAAAAAAAAAAATTTCAATGTTTTTGTTCGAAATTTTGGTATTCCTTGCAGGAGGCGCAAACATATGCAATGCCCATTATGGACTTTTGTGTATCGTTTCTGGAAAACTCCAGATTTCATTATTACCTCAGCAAAGCCACTAAAATATTGATACAATACAAGCAAACAGCTGAAAAACTTATGGTTATGATCATTTAATTTGTAAATGTTGCGATCGATTAATAGTAGTGTTTTGAATTGTCAATTGTGTTCGGTTAGTTAACTAAATATAATGTTATTTCTGAAGACGGAGCGCAAAAAAAAACTTTTATAATTGGAATGAATGGTAGCCTTAGCAACTTATTTGTATATAAAGATTGAGTTTTTGAGACATTGTGTATTTGTGTATTAAAAATTGCTTTGAAACCAAAATATGACAGGTCAATATAGGTAAACAGTGAAATATCTTCCTCCAATGACACTTCTCTAAGTAGTGATGAAACATTCATGTTTACCGTTGATCATGAGTTCATACACTTTCTAGTTGAAGTTATAATTTGAAAAAAAAGTTTAATGTGGATTTTAGATATTTCATCTGAATATTCTAAGTGAATCATCTATATAGATATTAAACACATACCATTCTTTTTTTAGAAGGAGGATGATTATGCAAGTAAATACACAATGCACAAATTTCACTTGAAGGCATTTCGTTTTGTAGACATTAACTTTTTCATACTTTCTAACTCTACATTACTAATTTCACACGAGTATATTTGAAGACATGTCATTTTGTAGACATTAACGAGGAAAACTTTTTCTTTTGTATATATAAACTGCGTTTTAGTTTTTAGGGTTTGTGTTCTCTCAAACCAAACTTCGGCGGATCTAAGTGAGAAATCATGTCCTCTGACAACAGTGATGCTAATGATACTTCTACAATGCAAGATGTGAGATCCAATTTTCTTCTCTTGACAAATTATATTACGGAGTGTGGTCTCCTTGTTGACCGAATCATTGTGACTCATTCACATGGAGGAAGATGACGATTAACAAATTTATGTTTAATTTAGTGCTATGTTGTGTGTTGTGTTTGTAGTTCTACGTTGTCTTGTGTGTGTTTCTAGCTTTGCCACTTGTCACTTATCAAGTATTGTTAGTTGTATGTTACTGAGATGTTGAGACTATTAGCTACTTTGTCTTATTAATTACTTCATCCGTTTCAAATTAGTTGTCATTCTACCAAAATGTATCTGCAATTATTTGGATGTATATGAATATGTTTTGAATTGCAGATACATTTTATCGGAATGACAACTAATTTGAAATGGAGAGAGTACCTTTTATTTAGATTTATGTCATCTTGTGTCTTGGATTTATGTTGCACCTCTATTTTATTTATCATTATTTTAATCAAAACAAACGTGAGATGTTAGCAATCGGAATTGGTGGACCAATATAAAAAAAGTTAAAAATGTCATTGTTGTTATAATGTGACTTATAAATTGGAAGCATATGCTCTTATGGGGTTTTACATCAGACAAAAATTGTTTATTATTATCCAACAACGTTGGATTCTTTATCAAACATTCAAACTACTGGACAGATAAGAAAATGATCTCCATTGGAGAGAAGAAAAAAGAAGGATAGGTTTTATCAATATGTTTTAGATGCCTTTACAGTTTAAGAAATTACAGTCAAGGTGGTAACAAGCGTGTGTGGACATGTAAAAAAAGTCAACCTTCTTCATCTTCTCTATCTAACCATTGAAGTAGATGTATATATCTGAAATCATAGGAATGATCATGACAGTTTCCACTTCTCTTATATTGACCAAGTTCCCTGGAAGCTTGAGCCACTTTCCATGCTGTATCTTCGCCTGGTCTCACATTCAGCTCCTCCATGTCGCCAAACACACCTGAAACAGAAAACCGAAAGAAAGCATAAGTAAAAAGAAGCAAGTCATACTTTTTTTTTTTGGTGCAAAAGCAAGTCATACTTCTTGCAAAGAGTGTATGGTTAGCTAAAAAGTAAAAAGAAAGACAATTGATCTCCCTGGATAACTCTATCTTGAAGGTCATGGTGAACATACAAATCTATCATCCTAGCGAACAAGCTTCTTGCGATGGATTATGCGTTTGTGTCTGCAGAATTACGTTGCTGCCTCGTCAGGTAACGTAAATTAATCAGGTCATATAAATTAATCCCGTCAATGTAAATTAAACCCGGTTATATTTAAAATACAAAATACAAATAAAATAAAAATAAATAACCGGGTTTAATTCTTAAATAAAACGAGAACCGGTCCGGTCAGGTTTGCAGGCATCTTTTATTCATAATCTCAAAGAATTTGTTGTCTTTCATGGCAACACTGAATTCGTCACTTCGTTGAATTGCAACTTTTCCCGGAGTAAACTTGCCTTCCGATGCAAGAAACTTTTACCTATTATCATTTTCCACATCTTTTAATCAATTTCTATATCCCTTATACGCTCTTTTAATCAATCCACAATGATTAATTTCATGTTTAACTAATATTTTTTTTTTTTTCTGACATGAGTATATGATAAATAAAACATACAAGATCCTGTTGATATAAAAATATAAAATATTTTTTTGTAGAGCTTGGGGGTTTCTAATAGGGTTAGGTTTCAGAGCGCGTGAGATCTGGATTCTTTTCACGTTGTCTTCTTCGTTTGTGATAATATTATAAATTTTGGGGATTTTAGGGTTTGAACATTTAACTGTGTTTAGCGATGGCGGAGGGTTATACTTATTCCCGCGGAGGTTATTACCCATTCTACGTCGGCGTATATCAGCTTGTGGATGATCCTTCAACGGATTCAATAATCTCATGGAGCAAAAGCAACAAAAGCTTTGTCGTTTGGAATCCGGAAGAGCTTTTTCGCAGAAAGCTTCTTTGGAAATTCGCTTTCACCGAGATGTCACATTTCATCAAGGAGCTTGACATTTGTGTAAGTTTTTGTCTATTATTATTGCAATATATATCATCGATAATCCTCTCTTCTTCTATTTCTCTCTATCTAAATTCTCTACGCTGCAGTTTTTTAAATCGAATATTGGTTGCTCATTGCTCAATGGTATAGGGATTTGTAAGAAATAAGAAGTCTCAACATTTGGAATATGGGCATAAGAAATACTTTGTGAGAGGTCGACCTGAGCTTTTGAAGACGATGCATTCCAAAAGTACCAGGGCTAGGGAGAAGCGAAGATCTAAAGAAAAGAAAGCTAAAGCGGAAATAGAGAAACGCTTGAATGATTTACTTATTAAATGATGAGAATTTGAGAACCATCTCCATCATCATGAAATAAAATGTTGCTTCAGTTTGTTCCTTAAAGTTTCAGCTGCTTGCTTATATTGAATCAATATTTTAGTGGCTTTGTTGAACTAATGATGAAATTTGGGGTTTTCCAGAAAATGTATATGTTTTGTAACCTCTAATTTTATGTTTCTTAACTGTAATTGCCATTTTGTATTTTCCCTCATAATACTAGTATAGGAAGATGTAAAACTGTCAAACTGATGCAAACTTTTAAACCTTTTTTTTCCTTTTGGCCGGTACAGCTAGAAGACTACCGAGAGTACAGCCAAACTGATGCAAAGTTTTATTTCATGATGATGATGGAGATGCTTCTCATCATTTAATTAGTAAATCTTTCATGCGTTTATGTACTTCCGCTTTAGCTTTCTTTTTTTTAGATCTTCGCTTCCTCCTACCCAAGACATTTTTGACAAGCATCGTCTTCAAAAGCTCAGGTTGGCCTCTCACAAAGTATTCCTTATGTCCAAATTCCAAATGTTGAGACTCCTTACAAAAACTTACATGATTGTCAAGCTCCGAGATGAAATGTGACAACTTGTTGATAAAGAATCTCGAGAGAAGCTTCCTGCGAAATAGCTCTTCAGGATTCCAGATGACGAAGCTCTTGTTGCTTTTGCTCCATGAGATTATTGGATCCGTTGAAGGATCATCCACAAGCTGGTATTCACCCACGTAGAAAGTATGCAAAAGTGCATAACCCTGGTGATGTCGTTCGCCATCGCCATTCGTTAAACACACTTCAAACCCTAAACCCCAAAATTTTCAATACTGGACAAAACGAAGAAGACAACGTGAAAAGAATATATCTGATGCGCTCTGAAACCTAACCCTAATAGAAACCACAAATATGGGAAAGCGATTAATTATAATTAACTGGAGTCGGTCTATGATTAATTAGTAATATGATTGACCCAATATGATTAATTAATTTGAGTATGATAGAACTATATACATGGGTTTAAAAAGAAAGATCATGAGACTAGTTTAAAGAGAGATTTTGGTATTCCTTGCAGGAGAAGGCACAAACATATGCTCAAGAGAAATGGTATTTTCTTTGTGGAAACTTTAGCGCAATCTGCAGCTAATGTCAAAGAGACATTCAATGAAATCGGTGAGCTATCGTCGTTACACTCAGAGAATCATAATTCAAACATTTCTTCTAAATTCTATTATTAAATAGGGCCATGAACAAGGCCGTGAGTTAATCTTGTTGTGCTTAGTTATATGCAATGCCCAATATGGACTTTTGTGTATCGTTTATGGAAAACTCCAAATTTCATTATTACCTCAACAAAACCACTTAAGTATTGATACAATATAAGCAAACAACTGAAACTTATGGTTATGATCAATTAATTTGTAAATGTTGCAAGCGATTAATCGTCTTTAAAAATATCAAATAGTGTTTTGAATTGTGTTTGGTTAGTTAACTATATATAATGTTATTTTAGTAAATGGAGCGCAAATATTCTTTTAAAAATGGAATGAATGGTAAGTTTATTATATTACAATACAAAAGAAATTAAAAAAAAAAACTGTAGATCGAGTTTGAAGATCGAGTTTTTGTGACAGATCAATATAGGTAACTAGTGAAATGTCTTACTCCAAAGACACATGAGCTCATACACTTCTCGGTGGAGCTTACTGAAAAAATGAAAGAAAACCTAATGTGGATTTCAGATATTTCATATGAAAAACTGTAAGTAAATCATCTACATATATATTAAACACATATTAAACACATGCACACAATTCTTTTATAGAAGTAGGATGATTATGCAAGTAAATCTGCAATGAACGAATGTTGCACGAATCTGCTTGGAAACATTGTGACCAAACACAAAATCTACATGATTGATAACCAATACACCGTTTTCATAGAGGTCATAGGTTTCTCTTCTTGAAAGTGTAGATGTTGTCTCTCATCATGACATTAATGATACATTATCAATTTATCATGAGATAACATAAATCTAACATAAAGTAGTTAGTTAAACAAGTTCCTAATTATTCACAACATCTAACCAACATACTCCAAGTGGCAACAGCTGAAAACATAATAAAAAAAACATAGTTATTTAGCTGTTTTCGGCTGTTTTTTATAATCAATCAGTGTTTCAGGGCTTGTATTAGGTGCATTAGGAAATGCCTTGAACGTTTTGATGATTCATTGTCTTCTTGTGCCATTGTGCTCGAAATGGATACTGAGCATCCTCCATAGCACTCACATGAAGAGTTCAGGCTTCTGCCCAAATGCCAAACTTCTCTTGAACTTCTTGAAAAACCATATCCTTGAGTTGTATGTAAGCTCGTTCTCCTGTGATGATACTTCTCCAATGCAAGATGTTAGATCCAACTTTGATTTCATGAAAGATGATACTGGCGAATGTAGGCTCTTCATTGAGAGTGTTATCATGGTAGGCTATGATTGCAACTCCCTCCACATTTGAGGAAGAGGATGATTGAACTACAATTATCTGCGGTAGTGCTATGTTGTGTTGTGCATGTTGTTGGGACTAATTGGCTACTTGTTTAATTAACTAACTTTTATGATTTGTGTTATGGATTTATGTTATATGTACCCACTTCTTTTGTCTTTATCATTATTTAAATTATAGCAAACAAAAACGTGAGATGTTAGAAATCGGAATTGGTGGACCAATTTAATTTTTTTATAAATGTAATTGTTGTTATAATGTGACTTTGAGGTTTTAAGTCAATGACTTATAAATTGGATGTGAGACCAAATCTGTTTAATTTTATCCAACAAATTTGGATTATTTCTTTATCAAATTACAGGACAGATAAAAAAAATGATCTATGAACACTACAAGGTATGTTACATTTAAAGATCATTTAAAAGCCTTCACAGTTTAGAAATTACAGTCAAGAGTTACAACAGGGAGGTAACAAGCGTGTGTGGTCATGTGAATAAAATCAACCTTCTTCATCTTCTCACTCTAACCCATTCCCCACTGAAGTATATGTATATATTTGAATACATAGGAATGATCAATGATCAGTGTCCACTTCTCTTCTTGACCAAGTTCCCTGGAAGCAATAAGAAAAGCATGAAAATTCCTGAACAACTGGAAGAATTAAAATATCTGAAATTACGGAATACAGTGAGAATTATGTGTCCAAAAGAAGAAATTCTTGTCCTCAAACTGTAATCTGCTTGACGCCAATTTTGTAAGGAGGAAATTATATTCAACAATTGATGAAGGAACTTACTGATAACTCTTGCAACGGAAATTCCCAGGACTTGGACTCAAGTTACAGAGCACCGTTGCTTCACTTCCAGTAACACAATCTGGTTAGTGAAGAACTGAAATTGAAATTTACAAGGAACTGGAAATTGTGAAACTGGGAGAGTTTTGAAAATGGACTTGTCAACGATTAAGAAAAAAAAAATATGATAGCAACCTTTTTCTTTGAACTAGGGAAAAAATTATCATTGAAATGTTCCAAACGCTTTGAACTAAACAGAGCAAGTAGAAAAGGTTCCAAAGTAAGACCATTGAAATGTTTCTAGAAACTCTGCAGAAATACATGTATATAAGACAACAAAAAACAAAAAAATTAATAGCAGTAGATGAAGCCAGTAGTCAGTACAGAGCAAAATTTCCAACCATAGAGAATCACAGTAGAGATTTATCAAACACCATGATCAATACAAACTTATAATATTAGAGGAGGGATGGCTTATTCAACTGTTCTCCTTCTCTTTGGAAAATTGTTTTCTTGATCCAAATACTTAGCACCAGAGCGACGCCTCTTCTCTTCCAAGCTAGTGTCATCGTTAGCCCACTCCATCACCTTCAAATACGGCCAATTAGAGAGAGAGAGTCAATAAAGAACAAGCTTGATTGACAGAGAGAGAGAGAGAGAGACGAGAGTTCCAACACAAGACTTACCAAATGGCGTCCGTAGAAATGGGTGCTTGATTCTTGAAGGTCATGGTGAACATACAAACTATCATCCTAGCAAACAAGCTTCTTGGGATGGATTATGCGTTTGTGTCTGCAGAATTACGTTGCTGCCTCGTCAGCCCTTTGATACATATCAAATGCCAGTAAAAGTGTATCATATGTTCCCGTTATACCACATTGGCCTTTGCTTAACATCAACTTAGCCACCTATGTATTTCACTAAACCCAATCAACTCAAGATGCCATAATTAGCAAAACTAGCACTTGACATATAAGAAGCCATGTATGTTACTTTACTTGAGCCACACAATGCCGTTGGCTTCTCTTCCTTAAGATTTGCGAAGCCTTAGCTGCAGCTATTTGTTCATTTGGGAATCCAGAGAGCTGCCAGTTTATAAATCAACATTGATTACTTGCTTATCATTTCAAAGTTTTCAACAAAAACATGTCTTAGAAGAGGGTTTTTTTTTTCTGACTAACCGTTCGGACAAAGATTAAGCGCTCTCTCTGTCCGGATCCAGCAGAATCATTCTTTTTTCCACAAATGGTAAAAGCATGAAAATTCCTCCAAGTGGAAGAATTGAAACATCTGAAATAACGGAGGAAATTAAAGTGAAGAATTGATGAAGAAACTTACAACAATAATTGTTGCAACGAAAATCCCCAGGACGTGGATTGAAGTTACAGAGGACCATTACTTCACTTCCAGTAACACAATCTGGTTAGTGAAGAACTGAAATTGATGAATTTTACAAAAAAAAATTGGACATTGTGAAACTAGTAAAGGTTTGAAAAGAAACTAGTCGACGATTGAGCAAAAAAAAAAGGATGCAACCTTTTTCTTTGAACTAGAGAAAAATTTATCCTCGCAGCAAGAACAAAAAATACGGATTCTGGGTTTTAAAGGAAAACAGAGTATGCAAAGAAGTCTGAATGTTTCGGTGTTATTGAATCAAAAGAGATGGATGGCTTTTATAGAAGCCTTACAACGTTCACTACAACAAAAAGCAGAAAACTAAGGAGATTAAAACGGAAACAAACTCTAACAGATTTGAACTTATTCGACTCCTAAAAACTAGCTTGACTTATTCAACTTCAGACTATGTCAAGACCCAACAAATTCCTCCCCTTAAACTGATATGCTTTCAAGCTTCAGTTTAATCCTCCAAACGCCGAACTCCAAGTAAACCTCTAAGCTTCTCAAACTGATCCAACTTGATAGGCTTGGTCAGAATGTCTGCAACTTGCTCATTGGTTCCACAGAAAACAAGCTTCATGACTTCTTCATTAGACAAATTGCGCAAATAATGATACCTGACATCAATGTGTTTCGTTCTCCGATGCATGACTGGATTCTTCGACAACTTGATCGTAGAACTATTGTCACACATGATGTCAATACACTCATCCCCCAAAACACCTATCTCCTGCAATATTCCCTTCAGCCAAACACAGTGACATGCCGAGGATGTTGCTGCGACATACTCAGCCTCGGTGGAAGACAAAGTAACGATGTCTTGCTTCCGTGAGCTCCAACAGATTGCAGCACCATTCAGCAGGAAGACGTACCCGGACGTGCTCTTTCTATCATCCATATCGCGAGCGTAGTCACTATCCGTGTATCCCAACAGATTCAGCTTTGGTGATTTTCCATAAAAGACTCCAAAACCCATCGTACCTTTCAAATACCTCAGAACTCTCTTGGCAATCATCATGTGCTCTTCTTTGGGGTCAGCCATGAAACGTGCGATCAAACACACTACAAACATCAGATCAGGCCTTGTCACCGTAAGATACATTAGGCATCCGACAAGCTGTTTGTAGAGTGTTGCATTAGCTCCTCTGCTTCCTTCTCTTGAAACAATGGTGCCTGGAACGATTGGATTTTTGACAGAGTTGCAATTCCACATATCGAACCTCTCCAAGACCTCCTTCGCATACTTCTTCTGAGATATGTGAATTCCATCACTGCTTTGATGAACCTCCACTCCAAGAAAGAACTTCATTTTCCCCATGTCTGTCATTTCGAATTCTCTCTGCATTGAAGACTTGAACTCTGCACACATAGACTCATCATTTCCAGTAAAGATCAAGTCATCAACATAGAGACTCACCACCAAAATCTTCTTTTCTGTTTTCTTGAAAAACAGAGTGTGATCGTAGCTGCTTTTCTCAAACCCCTCCTTCTTAAAGTAACTCTCAATTCTGCTAAACCAGGCTCTAGGTGCCTGCTTAAGCCCATAAAGAGCCTTCTTCAAACGATAGACCTTGTCTTCCTCCCCTACTTTAAGAAACCCTTCAGGCTGATCTACATAGACCTCCTCCTTCAATTCACCATATAGAAAAGCACTCTTAACATCAAGTTGATAAACATACCATCCTTGTTGTGCAGCTACTGCCAAGAGACTTCTGATTGTATCCCATCTAGCAACTGGTGCGAATACTTCAGTATAGTCAACTCCAGCCGTCTGCGAGTAGCCCTTTGCAACAAGTCGAGCTTTACACTTTTCCACCTTGCCTTCTTCGTTTAGCTTTGTCTTGTATACCCACTTAACACCAATTTTCTTTGCATGAGGTGGTAAGTGTACAAGCTCCCACGTATTGTTTCGTTCGATGGACTGAATCTCCAACTTCATAGCTTCTCTCCATTTTTCTTCTTTCGCAGCTTCAAAGAAGTGAAGTGGATCATCATTGCATATGTAAAGTGCAAAGTTGATCCCAGTTTCTTCTTCTCCAATCACAAAATCCTGCATCCAACTAGGCTGTCTCCTCTCCCTTCTCGGCTGTGCTTCATTTGCAGGTTCTGTTCCCACAACAGCTTCTGTAGTTTCCTCTTCAGCGCCAGAATCTACCTCTGCATTTTCGATTTCTGTGGCTTCCTCAGCTTCTTCCTCACCATTATCCTCTTCGTCAGTCTCTTCTCCATCAAGGGCTCCATCGTCTCCCCAAGAAAGAGTGTTTTGCTCTGCCGTGCTTGTGTTCCACTCCCACTTAGCATCTTCTTCGAAAAAGACATCTCTGCTTACGACTATTTTCTTCGTCGATGGATCGTACAACCGATAGGCTTTGGATTCTTCACTAACTCCAAGCAAGATGCATTTTTGGCTGCGATCATCAAGCTTTATCCGTCTCTGCTCCGGAACGTGAACATGAGCCACTGAGCCAAAAACTCTGAAATAATCAACTCTCGGCTTGAATCCAGACCATCTCTCTTCAGGTACCATACCGGTGACTGCTTTGGTGAAGCTCCGATTCAGTACGTAAGCAGTCCACCGAGCTGCGTCTGGCCACAAGAACCTCGGCATCTCCTTCTCCGATAATAGACAACGAACCATGTTCATGATCGTGCGGTTTCTCCTCTCCGCGACTCCGTTTTGTTGTGGAGTATACGCTGCGGTAAGTTGTCGTTTGATGCCGTGATCTCTGCAGAACTTGTTGAACTTGTCGGAAGTGAATTCTCCTCCCCTGTCTGTCCTCAGCCCTCGGATGACAGTCTTCGCTTCCTTCTCGACAGAGTTTTTGAAACTTTTGAAAGTCTCAAATGCTTCAGATTTATCCACCAGAAAATAAATCCAAGTCTTACGACAGAAGTCATCAACGAGAACGAGCAAGTATCTCTTACCACTCTGAGAAATTGGAGTGATTGGTCCACATAGATCTGCGTGAATGAGCTCCAGTTTCTCGCTTGCTCTCCACTTGCTCTTCTTTGGAAACTTGCCTCGCTGCTGCTTCCCTATGTTGCAGACTGTGCACACCTTGACTTCATCTTTTAGGTTTGGCAGCCCCTTCACCATTTGCTTCCTCTGCATAAGCTGTATGGACTTATTGTTTAGATGTCCAAACCTCCTATGCCAAAGGTTCTCCAAATCCTCTTCTTCTAACTTGAAACAGCTCCCTGAGATTGGTCTCTTCATTGCATAGACCAAAAACATGCGGTTTATGGTCATTTGTGTCTCCAGAATCAAGCCTTTCTGCTGGTGATAGATCTTACATCTTCCGCCCTTGATTAAGATCGTTAACTGCTTCTCCTGCAGCTGTCCGACGCTCAACAGATTGTTGGTCAGATTTGGAACATAGTAGACATCGCTTACTACTTGTAATATCCCTTCAACCTCAAATCTGACTTTTCCCTTCCCTTCAACTGGGAGCCTCGATCCGTTTCCCAACCTAACAGAATGCTTGAACCCTTCATCTAGCTCAATGAACCATGATTTTTCTCCAGTCATATGGTTTGAGCATCCTGAGTCGAGAAACCAGATACCTTTTCCCTCAGCCTTGCTTATGTCCGTGTGCGCCATTAGGAGTAACTCTTCCTCCTCATCGAACTCAACGTAGTTGACTCCTTTCTCCAGACTGGTGCACTCGAACTGGTAGTGACCCTGTTTTCCACATCGAAAGCAGTTGATGGCTGATCGGTTAACGAACGATCTGCCTCTCCCTCGTCCTCTGAAACTGCTTCCTCCTCGGGTCCACCTTCCTCTCCCACGGCCATTCCTTGGCTCGTTCTCTACTTGCAGAACCTGCTCTTCACTTCTTTTCTCAATCACCTTGCTTTCATGGATCTGCAATGACGCCTGCAGCTCATCCACCGTGAGGTCATCAATGTCTTTGGACTCTTCAATAGAGCAAACCACGAAGTTGAAATTTTCGGTGAGACTGCGGAGAATCTTCTCAACGATCTTCACATCATCAATGGCTTCTCCACAGTTTCTCATATCGTTGGTTATCTCCATGACTCTTGCAAAGTAGCTCGCCACTCCTTCTCCACTCTTCATCTCCAAGGTTTCGAAAGTCTTTCGTAGCCTTTGCAATTGTGCACGCTTCACCCTTGCACTTCCTTGATGCTTGATTTTCATAGATTCCCAAAGCTGTTTAGCTGTCTCCTTCTGAGTGATAGTCTTCAACGTGGTTTTGTCGATTGACTGGAACAGGTAGTTCTTGGCTTTGAGATCTTTGAGCTTAGCCTCATCAAGTGCCCTTTGTTGTGCAGGGGTAGGAGTTTCGATGCTTCTCAGATCTTCGAAGCCTGGTTGAATGATGCACCAGTACTCCTTGGAACGGAGAAGATTCTCCATGATCAAACTCCAGTGGTCGTAATCTCCATCGAATTTTGGAACAGCAGGTGTTGTAAAGCTTCCGGCATCTGCCATTTTCTCTGCAGTGTTTTTCCTCTCAAACACTCACACTCACAATATATTTTGCTTCTCAAACACTCACACTCACAATGTATTTTGCTCTGATACCAGATAAAGGAAAACAGAGTATGCAAAGAAGTCTGAATGTTTCGGTGTTATTGAATCAAAAGAGATGGATGGCTTTTATAGAAGCCTTACAACGTTCACTACAACAAAAAGCAGAAAACTAAGGAGATTAAAACGGAAACAAACTCTAACAGATTTGAACTTATTCGACTCCTAAAAACTAGCTTGACTTATTCAACTTCAGACTATGTCAAGACCCAACAGGTTTTAATATCGATCGAGTTCAGAGAGAGAAGCGACTTCGGTCTATTTTATAGTTGACCCGACGCAAACTGGTTGACAAAAACAAAATTACTAAACCGCCTAATAACCAGAAGCATTTTGGTTAGAAATGTGATAACCACATGTCGCGTAAATCGGGAAACGAGCAACCGAAGCGTGGCAAATAAACCGGTTTAATTGATCCTTAAATAAAACGATTTACTTATTAAATGATAAGACGCAGTGAAGCATCATCATGAAATAAAACTTTGCATCAGTTTGCTTGCTTATTGGGTTTGTTGAAATGAAATTAAAATATCTTATATGTAATATCTGATCCGTTGCCACTGTGTTTGTATATAAAATATTCATGATCAACCTGTTGATTCAAGTCCAATATTTTATTGAAAGCTATGATGAATGTTCCATCAACCTATTTACAAACAAGACCAAAATTCTATTGAATGCCAAGGAAATTATTGGATTCAAGAATGGTTGATTCTCTGTTAAATGATAAACAACAAATCAGTAAATTTTAAGTGTAAGTAGGATCTAACGCCTTGATCCAAAATCACACAAGTGTGCTAAATCTTATACAAAACCATGTTGCTTGCACACAAAGGGATCATCTTTGTATATTAGGGAAGTCTGATGAGGCAGTTTGGTAATTCCACCAGCTTAGTTTGGTAATTTATTTGTTCCTCCCTCTTTTGCTTATACGTTTTTAAAATGGTTAATTAGAAGAGCCATTCATGTTGGTAAAAGCCAACTAATTAATGAAATATTCTATTCCACAAATATGTTTATGGAACTTAGAAAGGGCCAAGCCACTGACACATGTTTATCACACGTTTCACCATGCACCAAACTTTCCAGGAACCCAAAATAATCAGTACTAACAAATAACATATCCGTCTTTAGCAAAAAGCTTAAACTATAGTTTATAGGTTAGTAACTACAAAATTTTACAAAGTAAATTTAGTTTTTAAAAATCATGTCCCGCTTCGTACAAGTAAACACGCAACCTTCATGTTTCAATGGTCAAGCTTCATGTTGTTTTAATGCTGGTGGTCGACGTATTTGAAAAATGCATGTAAATGGAATGAGGTCCAAATTTATTAAAAACAAATTAAAAAGGCAAAATAATCCAATAGAGCAAACTCTTTTTGCATATAAATATTTATTGTTAGCTACAGATCGAAAGAAGTATTATAAAGTCATTATAATAGGGTCCAAATTTATTTTAAACAACCTAACCTGAAACTTACAAGATAGTAATCAACCTGTATATAGCCGGATTATCACAATCCAAGCAATAAAAAAAAGCATGAAAACTCCAACTGGAAGAATTAAGACATCTGAAATAACGGAGGAAATTAAAGTCTGAAGAAACGGGTTAATTTTTTAGTTGACCCGACGCGAACTGGTTTACAAAAACAAAATTACTAAACCGCCTAATAATCAGAAGAATTTTGGTTAGAAATGTGATAACCACATGTCGCGTAAATCGGGAAACCAACAACAGAAGCGTTAAATATAACCGGGTTTAATTGATCCGTAAATAAAACAAGAACCGGTCCGGTCAGGTTCTTTGAATAGTGAGAGTAGAACCTGCTACTAAACAGAGCTAAGTAGAAAAAAGGTTCCGAAGTTAAACCATTGAAAGGTTCTCTAGAAACTCTGCAGAAATACATGTATTAATAAATTAATACCAAGAAAAAAACAAAACAAATAAATTAATAGAAGTATTACAGAGCAAAATTTCCAACCATGGAGAATCACAGTAGAGACTTATCACACACCATGATCAATACAAACACATCATAGAGGAGAGGATGGCTTATTCAACTGTTCTCCTTCTCTTTGGAGTATTGTTTTCTTGTTCCAAATACTTAGCAGCAGAACGACGCCTCTTCTCCTCCATGCTAGTGTCATCGTTAGCCCACTCCATCACCTGCAAATACGGCCAATTTTAGAGAGAGTCAATAAAGAACAAGCTTGGTTGATAGAGAGAAGAGAGACAAGAGTTTACAACACAAGACTTACCAAATGGCGTCCGTAGAAATGAGTGCTTGCCAATGCTTTTTTAGCGTTTGCAGCTTCTTGCTTTGTCACATATTCAACAAAAGCATATCCTGCAAACTGTCCGAAATTCCTCTTTGGAAGCCTAATACCCTTGATCTGCATTAACAAAGCAACCATGAACGTGCTTTTCATGTTTCTGACAATAATCATACAAAACCATCTTGCTTACACACAATTTCTTCTATTCATGTTACCTGTCCAAATGGACTGAAGAGCTGTCTTAGCTCTTTCTCTGTTGCCTCAAAAGCTACATTCTTCACATGCAGCTTTGTAGAGGGTTTGACCTTGTCTGAACCATTCCCAGCCGTGTCTCTCTGCTTGTTTTCACAGAATTTCCACTTCAAAGCATGCCCATCCAGAGAAGTTCCCTGCAAAAATAACACAGAATAGTGTCACTGTAACTTCTTCCGATCCAATCAACTTTCAGTTTCAAAGAGACTTTAGCTATTATAATATACCTGTAAATCTCTGAAGACAATGGTCGCCGTCTCTATAGAGTCGAGTTCTACAAAACCATAACCGCGTGAAAGATTCTTCCCATTCTTTACATGCTTCATTATCTGCATGCAATGGAAAATGAATGAATGCTTAAAACATGACTCATGGTTAAGTGCACATCATTCATGTGTCAGCAATGGAGCAACAACTTACCTTAACACTCAGAATCTTTCCCTGCTTCACCAGTTCAGTCAAATGCTTCTTCAAACCCTCATCAGTTGTCTTGAAGCTCAGATTCGTAACATGAAGGACGTTTGACTGAAATATAATGCATCATGTAACGGAAATGTTACAAACAGACCAATTCAAAAGATACACATTTAGCTTTTTATTTCTACAAAATGGATCAGAAATCTGATATTTGAAGAATATTCAGTACCTAACCTGAAACTTACAAGATAATAATACTAAACCCATATGTAGCCCCACTAGGTAAGACTAAAATCAAATTTACTTTCCTAGGCTAATCAAGTTTTACTCAACTTATCTTTCAGTTCAGATAGCTCAATACCACACACAAAAAAAGTAAGAACATATGATTTCATTGTCCACATCTATCATAACAGGACATACCTCAGTTATATACGGATCGAGTTCAACATGCTGCTCCACGTTGACTTTCCTCACATCATTGACTCCAACATCACTCTCCTTTTCATTGTTATCCGGAAGTGGCTTTGGCTCAAGAATATTTCCAGGAGCCCACTCCAGATACAGGGGAGCATCTCTGCAATAATAAGGAATTGTTATGTGATGAAGCAGCTTGGTTTTAAATTTAGTACGATCATTCATCTTCAAGAAGCACTTTACGGAAAGAAAGAGGATTTTAAAACCATCAAAGTTGAAGTTAAAGCTTACTTGTAACGCTTGTATGACATTCCCTTAATAGCTGCACGTGCATCAGCCGGTTCAAGGAAAACAACCTGAAGGCCAAGTAAGGGAAAATTAGAGAACAATCAACCATTTGTCGAAGATATTGAAGTAGAACACAGAGAAAGAAAAAAATACCAAAGCCAACGTCTTCGTCGGAGGGAGAACAATTTTGTCAAGACTTCCAAACTTTCCAAACATTTGTGCCAGTTCCTTTTCAGTGGAAGCAAATGGCAAATTCTTAACCAAGAGAATATGTTTGCTTCGGTTCTTCTCATCACCTTCTCCTGAAGCAAATTCTTCCAAAACTGTGACATTTACTCCAGCTTTAGCCAGGGCCTCTTTGGTCTCCGCAATCACTTTTGTTTCTCCCAAGGCAAGGCGTACAGCAGGATCTTCAGATTCACGGTCAAGAAACTCACTCTTGCTTACGCCATACACCCTGACTATGTTTTCTAAAATCTACAGCACAACAAAGAAAAAGAAGTTAAACCAATGAAGCAAAGCAACAAGCCAGATTTAAAGAACATTAAAGGATGCATTCTTGAAACAAGAAAAACGTACAGTATCATTGCGCATGAATAAACTATTCCAACCCTTTGTATTTCCACTGGCTTCAGACGCCTTTCTTTGTTCCTCCCTCTTTTGCTTGAATGTCTTCGGCAGATTAGAAGTCTCATTCCTGTTGGAAAATTGCCATGTTAATTTCCGGACCACAAAAGATATTACAAGTTTGAAAAGACCAGGCCACTGACACTTGTTTATCAGACGTTTCACGGTGCTTGGCTGGCAAAATATGCAACAGCCTTCCCTGGAATGTTGAGTTATCTAATTCCTCCATTGCCCTGCATCACCATCCAAACGATTTCAAACCTCAAGTAACAGCTAAAGATCAACATAAAGCTACGTTTTGGCATGAACATTACCTTGCAGCACATTCCGGAATCAGGTAAAGGATGAAGGCCACTCCTTTGGACCTTTTTGTCTCCTTGTCAAGAACAAGATGGACCTCTTTTATCTCGCCGAATTTGCTAAAATGTTCCATAAGCTCTTCTTCTCTATTGCATTGACAACAACCATAGATGTATAAGATGAATATTAGAAGGATAAACAGTAAACAAGAAAAAACAGTAAGGACAGTCCAGTACGTTGAAGAGTAAGGCAGGTTACGAACGAAAAGACGACCAGTGTCAAGAACATCATCACTATCAGCTTTCGATTCTTGAGCCACCTCAGCTTCCACCTCCATAGCATCGTCATCATCATCGCCATCTTTATCAAATCCGCCAGCTTCATCATCTCCATCAATGGGAAAAACACGAATCTCAGCTTCACTAGCTACATCTTCATCATCACTATCACTCTCCGAATCCGACAGGTTTTTCTTGATCCTACTCTTGAAGTATTCCATATCAGAAACATCATCAGTGGGAGCAACACCCTTCTTCTTTTTAGCCTTTTTCTCAGGCTCAGCACCATCGGAAACAACCTCCGGTTTCTTCACCAAGACCTTCTCTTTGCGGGCTACTTCAGCGGTAGGGGCAATCGCCGCGTCATTGGACCAGACTTTCGACTTATTCCTCTGCATAACCTCAAGAAACTCTGGGAGCAAAGAATCATCAGCGCCTGGTTTCTTCTTCTTGTCTGTTTTGCTTGAGTTTCCATTAGAAGATTTATCACTGTTTTCGTTAGCTTTGTTTTTTGAATGACGACTCCACGTACGGGGAGCGTTCTCATCTCCGACTTTATGAGCAATCTATAGGTTATATACAATCTAAATCAGATTTCAAAATGAAAAAACACAAGTGAAAAATCAGAGTCTTGAGAATGAAAGTGCGAACCTCAACAGTAATCCGAGAAGTATCGAGATAAGTCATGTTGAAATACTTGATGGCTTCTTGAGCTTCATGTTCAGTACGGTATCCAATGAAAGCAAAATGTCTTTCTGCGCCGTCCCTGCAAAGCAAAAAAACGATAGTGATTTTCAATTTAGACAATTAAGAAAAAACACACAGAAAATTTGTTGTGGAGAAACACTCAGATTTGAATTAGAGTTAGTGTAGTACTGGGAAAGCATCAATTTCGCGTCTGTGATTTCTCCTTTCTTTGAAAAGGCATCTCTGAGTCGGTCCACTGTCAGTCTTTTGGGCAAATTCTTCACGATTATTCTCGACCTGGAAATTTTTGAAGCAAGACAATTTTCTTATATTGATTGACTTCTGCGAAACATAACAACTGTTTCTGGGAAAAGAATACTTACATGCTTTGGGTTTACAATGAAAGAGCTCGTTCTGGTAGCTGTAGACTCCAAATTGACCTCGAAAATAGGAATTCTAAGAGAAGAAGAAGATGAGTTTTATGCAGTTGCCACGTTTCTGGAGTCTTTAGTGTGTCGGAATAGTATGACCAATTTAATCTGCCGCCGTCGACGAGAGAGAAGAAGAAGGAGGAAGAAGATGAGAGGGGTTTTAGGTCTTTTGTTGTTCCTTTTTAGGTCGGCTTTCATGTTTTTTGTTTTTGGTGGGGAAGATCCCCAAACCGAACTCTAAATTTGAACCGGATATTTAGAATCACCCGAATTGTTCAACCGAACTGAAAGTGGCTTTCGATGTTCTCCGTTGTTAGTCTTTAGTTCTTTGACTAGTTCATTAATCTTAAGTCTTAACAATCGATTTTGCTCCTCTTAATTTGTAGCTAACCGGTATGGTCACCAAGCTAACCGATATACAAAAAAATTGAAAATTGGAACATTCTGTTTCTTATCATTAACAAAAATTTGATAAATGCATGCCTAACAGAAACACTACACTGACAAAATCAATTTGATCATTCTGATTCCTGTAGTTATCAAAAATTTGACAAGGCTCTAAATAAATCGGCAAAAATCTCCAATAGGGTCTTTACCTTCCCTATATATAATACAAAGAGAATGCAAACAAAGATCAAAACTATAGACTTCCTAAGCCTATGGGGGAGGTTTCTCATGGATGGAGGAAACCTGATTTAGTTTCTCAACCGTTGGGTTGTGTATTACAAGTGCCAACAAAAAATGAACAGATACACTGAGAGCTCGTTTCGCAACATGGCTAGAACTCAAAGTTTGCCAAATGTCTCTCTCATAGACCCCATGAGAAGGGGAAAAAACAAAGAGAGATCATTTACCTCTCTTGGGAAAGTCTTCTTGGCTCTCGGTCACCATGACTATGACTACTTCCTCCTCGGCTTGTCTTGTGACCTTCTTCTACATTCTCACTCTGTCGCCTCTTTCCATCTCCCAACTGTTTTTCACAAGGGCTTTCCATTTTTCTCTTCCGGCTAGGCACTGTTGAAGAAACATCATCAACCATTTCACCTTCCTCGGTGTTCCCCACCAAGTTGTTTCCATCAAGAATCTCCCCGTGCTCTGTCCCCATATTATTGGTGTTGGAATTCTTCTTCTGGCTATCTTTGTCATCCTCAACAGCTAACTCCACTTCTTCCAGTTCTCTTTCGATCAAATCATCCTCATCCATCAAATCCTTTTTCCTCGCCTTTTCACCTTGGAACTTCTTAGCCTCTAGCTTAGCCTTCACTATATCTCTAAGCAATTTTATGTCTTTCGGTGATTGGCTGACTGGGACATCACCTGAATTGACATTTCTAGATTTATCAAGAGCGACGCTATCATCTGGTGCAGCAGCTCTCTCTGTTTTGTCCTTCACAGGTGCCTCAACTCCAGGTCTAGATTTATGGGCTGGAGGATTATCAGTGTGCTCGGTAATGACACTACCTGCCTCACCACTCCCATTATCATTGCTCTGGTTTTGTGTAGCTTTTGACGAGCCCCCATGATTATCAGAATTTGAATGTTCATGAGCTGGACGCGCTGATATTGGCCTAGAACCAGCGTGATGAGCTGACCCTCCACCTACACTACTTTCGACTTCGCTTACTTGAGATGCAGGAACACGGTTTTGCTCATAGAGCTCCAGCATTTGGTTGCTAACATCTGAAGTATACAAAAGGAAGTAACTCTTAGCATCATATCCAGAAAAAAGTAGAAAAAGTCTTATAAAATCAATTCCATGACGAAGTTAGTAATCTAACCTTCCAGTTGTCGAGGTGTGACATCAAATTCTTGCCACCAAACCTTCTCTCCTTCTGATGGCAATTTCACTTTAAGGAACTTGGCAGCAAGAAAAATTGCACCAGCCGCAATGTGGTGAGCCTTAAATTGCAGACAGAGTGACGTTCGCAGACTGCAAGCATCTTTTCATTGAATGAAGACGGAAATACAAGGTAGATAGATCTATCTGAAGCTTTTGAAAACAGACTTTAACGTACCCATCGTTTACAAAATTCCATGCAACTTGGGCCAGAGCATTCTGTGCGACCTTAAATTTCTTTATTGCTTCTACAAGGGGCTTATAAGGATGATGGACATTGAAGTCAAACCCCAATGTAGATAGTACAACCTTTTCTCCATTTAGTACAAGCTCTTTTTGTTGCTCATATACTTCCTGCAAAAGAGAAATAAGTCAGTGTACAAAGAAGAGAAGTAATAGCTAGAGTGACTAGCACAGATAAGAGATCCAACGAAAAGCACACTAACAGAGGAGGAGCGTTCAAAAACAACGAACAAGCACAATCTTGAGGTTAGTACGAAATTAATGTCCACGACAATAGAAGACACTGGACAAAAGTGCACATTCACTTATTACTAACTAAACAAGAAGCAAGGGAGTAGAGAAGGCTTAGTAGTACCTTTTGCTTGATTCTCTGTGCAGTAGCAGGATCCTTTTTGTGTATTATCTCATAGGAGACAACGATAACATCTTTTAATGGCCTTGGAGTTTCTTCAACTTTTCCAGCAAGGAACATGCAGACTGTAGCAATCGTCTGGGTGTAGAGGGAGGACAACATGGAACAAGGGCAGGGCTCAGTAATAATCTTAACAGTGTTATGCTCTAGAAGGATGAATTGGTACAAAAACTATATGCATTATCACAAAATAGACTTAAAGAATCTGTTTTCATGGCAGTTAAACGGACACCAATGAGCCATTTCAACGCTCCAAATTCATGCTCCGGCAGTCTGACTCGACTAACAAAGAGAGGCCCATATCTCTAAAGAATACAGCTACGTCACGTGAAAAAAAAAGAATAAATACTTACCCTTCTGTCATTCCTAGCATGCGACTGGCGATGGAAGAATCGATGGCAGAAGATTATTGATGTAGCTATTGTAACCTGAGGACTGTATTAGAAAACTATATTAGTCGGATTCATTGAGAGAGCCAAAAGTGAAAGCTTCAAGTGCAGATGAAACTATGTCTACATGAAGATTGATTCAGACAAAGTATTGTGCTAACCAGTAACCACTATCAACTGAATTGTGCTAAGCCATCAAAAATCTATTGAGATATATAACCCAAGGGAGACCCACTAGTTGTCACTTTTGTTAACAATAACTCTAACTAGATTATGCATTCCCTAAAATGACCTCTACCATATCAAATTCAACAAAATTCGGAATTTCGATCCTACAAAACCATCATGTAATGGGATCTCTATAATCTGGAAGCAAACTAGAGGTAAATATTATGGCTGGAGGAACTATCATCCCCTAGACCAAGCTCCCAAGAAGTAATTGAATGGAAAAAAATGCACATTGCAATGTATAAGGCTGAAATAAATAGGAGAGAGCTTTATACTTACACTTTTAATCTCATGCCCAAGTCCTGCAAAAATGTACAGTAAGACTTGCGGAGGTATGTTTCCTTCTTCAAGTCAATATTATCCAACCTTGACGGTGAATTTTCATCTATTTCTTTCTTTTCAAAATACCAGCGGGAAGAGTCGTCCTGCTTTTCATTAGAACTCCTAGAGTACGATGAAATGCCACTCTCACTGTATGAGCAGTCCCCAGCTAATACTCCAGCCATTGCTATCTTTTTCAAATCCGAATCTAACAAAAAGCAGAACAAATTGCAAAAAGACGCGTCACTACATACTGTGAGCTCGAAAAGGTACAAATCCGAGAGATGTAAGAGAAACTGGTTTTGCTTTATTCATCAGCTGAGATTTATACCTGCTCAAATTGTGTTCCGAGCAACTGAAGTATGAAACTAGCTTAGAGGATCTCAATTCCGCGTCAAAAATCTATATTTGAATAAGAAAGGTAAGCTCTTTAGGAAATTGAAAACAAAGTATCGAGAAAATCTAATTTGCCCAGCTAAGTAGATGGAAAAGACGAGCTCATTAGATATAATCAAGCAAATTCGCCATGGAAATTTCAATCCTTCATCGAGGGATTCGACCAAAACCCAGAATTACGAAACTATATCGAGAAAATATCAACTGGGTTGGCTTCTGGATGGAAAAAAGCGCTAACTAGATCCGAAATTGCACACGTTCGTCAAAATCCAGAGGAAACCCAACGAAAAAGGAAAAACAAAACCTGATCGAAACAAATGGAACTGAAATCGATACTTACGCAGGAGTTTAATCGCTTCTTCGGTCGTGAATTGAAGATGGAGCTAACGCGTAGAACAGCTTTGTTCGTCAAACCCTAGCCCAAGAGAAACGCGAGAAATTGAAGAATGGTGAAGAAAGGGGTAAAAATAGGATTTTCAACGAATATCCCGATTTACGAGTGATATATGACCCCGAAGTCGGAGATTTAAATCCTCCCGTCAAAACAATTGGGGAAAAAGTATAAACTTTTGACAGTTAAGGGACGAAGAAAAGGAAATATTAGTTAGTGGAAGTAAGATTTCTTCCCTTTTTTGTTTTTCCTTTTAAATTGGAAAAGTGACAAAATTGGCTCACGTTGAGAAATATTCAATTCAGACAAATCCTAACTCTCACTTTTTTTATGTTCCAATATGTACGAAGGACACATTTTTAACCCCAAAAAGTGGATATTTCACATTGAAAGATGATGATAGGAGAAAAACTTCCCTTGTTCCACTGTGCGTTTCCTAGTCTAGATGCAACAATTTCATATACAACAAGTCAACAATCACAAAATATATCAATAAGAAGCCACTAAAAGCACTGATTGTTCAACTTGTAAATGTCATACTTGTTATCTCACACCTCAATTCCACTACTTGCCTCTGCAAAATCATCTGTCTTCAGCTTCTTGAAAACCCTCTCTCCTACTTTGCCATCAGAGTTTGAAATACCTCTAACAGATTCTTCATCCTTCTCTTGTGACTCCTTACCCTCTCTTTTCACTCTATCTTCTCCTCCTTGCTTTGCCACATTTCCACTGTTAAAACTACAACCAACACTAACAGTTTGTGAAGAATCTCTCCCACGGGAAGAAGCAACATTTGTGTTCTCGTCTGTTGCTTGCGGTGCTTTCTCTTCCCCCGTCGTTGTTTTCTCTTTCTCGGTTGCCTTAAAAGTCCCACGGCAGTTTCGACAAAGCACGTTCTTGTTTAGGAAAAAAACCCTCACATACTCATCTTCTGTCCTGCATTTGTTACACATCGTCCAAAAGGTACTGACTTTCGCAGTGGGCTTACTGCTTCTACCTCTACCATTTCTAGATCCATTAGAACTTGGCTGGTTTGGTGGTTGTTCCTTCTGCTGGTCCGGTGGTGGTTTTGGCTGGTTTGGTGGTTGCTTCTGCTGGTTTGGTGCTTGTTTTGGCTGATTTGGTGGTTGTTGCTTCTGGGTTGGTGGTTGTTTCTGCTGCTTTGGTGGTGGTTTCGGCTGGTTTTGTGGTTGTCTCTGCTGGTTTTGTGGTGGTGGTTTCGGATGCTTTGCAGGTGGTTTCTGCTTCCGGCTCTTTTTGGGTTTGACTTCTTTGGACTTCCTCTTTTGATCAAAAGCAATTCTCTTAACCTTATCAGACAAGAGAGACCAAGCTTCTAACACCAGCTTAAACGCACCTTCTGCGCCTTCACACTTGTTCTTATCAGGATGAAGCAAGAGAGCCAACTTCTTGTACTGTTTCTTCACTGCATCTTCATCAGCCAATGGATCAACGCCGAGAATTGCATACCAGTCAGATTCTCCTCCGCTGATTTTGTTTCCTGCCGAGATGTAAACATCGATCAGCATCAACACTTGTTTCAGACCATCGATCTTCGGGTATAAAGTCTGAGCCTTTTCAGCGAATTTCTTCGCCGCGTTGAAATCATTTTCCGCAACTTTCTTCTTGGCAAGATCCATTGCCTTTATAGCTTCATCCTTGTTGCATTCCATTTCTTGAAAGAATAGAGATTCCTTTCAAACGATTTCGCACCTGACAATCAAAGGAGCAAAATGGGAAAAAAGATTAACAAGAAGTCAAAAACATAAAAGAGAAGTAAAACCATACATGCAAGTTAAGAGAACAAGTCTTTAAAATCACAAACAGAGAAGATATTTCACAAAACCCAAGAAGAGAAGAATTCGTTTGGAAAATCTCATGTGACCGAACATGTTATAGTAAGTAACATCTTAATTCCAACAATGCAAATCACTAAACCCACAATTAGCCCTTAATTTCTGAAGTTACTGTATCTAAAGGGACAAAATTTCACACAGATTTACAGAAATCATAAGGATACACAAAACCCAAGAATCTCTGTGAAGTCTCATGCAAAGCAAAATCATCTTACCAGTAAAAAAGACGGAGAGATTTTGATAGGAGAGACACTGATTAACCCCTCGAAAATTTGGTTAGGGTTATGGGTCTGCTTCAGTAAACATCAAAAGGAGGCTGCGAGAAGCACGATTTGCCCAATTCCAAATACGATTGAATCACGTCAAACCCTAGAGAAGCGACTGGCGAAAGGAAGAAGAAAAGGGAAATAAGACTTACAGCGAAGAGCCCGGTGATCGAGATTTTATGACCAGAAAGTAGGAGATGAACTTCCGATTCGTAAAGACATTTGGAGCAAAATCAAAATGTTTTAGGACTTGAGGGACCGGAAAAATAAAGTATTAGGTATTTCTTCGTCTTTTTCCCTCCCTCCTTTTCCCGCGGTTTTCTTTTCTTTTCTTCTCTCTCTTTGCATTTTGATATTTTGATATTTTCCAGTATACTTTTTCAGAAATCAAATATTATATTTTCCTTCTAGTTTCAATTCATCTTATAATTATTTTTGTCTTTTTAACCAAATTATTTGTTGTTACGTTCAACAACTAAAAGTAATGTAGATAACCATATCAGTAGTATATGTTGATATTTTTCACACCATTACTTTGTTCAAAATATCTCGGTATTACACAATTGTCTCATCAGCTCTTTTAGTTTTCAACTCTACCTAGCTTGCAGTTTCTCAGACACTTTTATTTATCATATTTGAACTAGTAAATTCCCATTTGCCTAAAGATATGTAAATCAGTGGCATAAGCAACTTGGATGAATCTGCAATCATTAGGGAGAAACCAAACTTAACAAGACGTAATTATTATCATCACTACTAAATGGAGTAGTAAATACCAATCATGATGAGGTCATAAAAAGTGAGAAGGGGTGACAAAACATTCACCATTACCTTAACTTAAATGACTTCAGAACATTCTTTTCTCTTATTCATGCATGATTCACGAGGTCATTGGTTCCCACTGGGTTCTCTATGAACACCATAATACTACTTGTTGGTTCAAATTTCAAGATTAATACTTGTGATCCTATTTGCGGACAAAGTACTTGTTCGCCATTCCACCTGATACGATGAGTCATTTTAGATTCTTGTAAGATAAAAGACACAAGACAAAAGATACTATACTCTCATCGATGGAGATGGTCAGATGGCTAATGGCTATTGAGTGAAACGATCTGCTGTTGATGGCTTCAAGCTGGCTGTTTCATCTCATCCGGAAACAGATGTGCCCTCTTCACCAACTTCATCTCTTCCGACATCTCTCCACCTACAAAACTGGTTTCTTTTTTGTTTTTTACTCTTAAGTGAAACTACCTGTCCTAACACACACACACTCACACTAGAGCACTAAACTTTTAAGCAGTTTGTTTAATTAGAGCAAAAGGAGATTGACTTTCTCGGTTCTTATCTTTAAGCTGCAACTTAATAATCAGGAGCTCCTCTCTCTTCCCAGAACCATTGACAGAGTCCTGCGGTTCCCAAGTACCAAGATCTAACTGATCCTTCCAGTAGCAACATTTGGAGATTAAAGAAAAGCTTTTAAGAATTTAAAACAAGAAACAAGGAAAAGTATTAGTTAGCAAAATGTCATACACAACTTCATACCATTGGTGATAAATGGATCCACTTTGATCAAGTACCTTCATCAAAGAAATTAAAAATAAAAACATACCCAAAAAAGAAAAGTTCCATGAAATAAAATAAAAAAAAGATGGGATCGTCTTACTTCTTATTCATCACTCCTCGAAGATATCCACTTTCACCGGCTTCTTGAAAGGCCTCTCTTCTGCTTCATGACTTGAGTTTGCAGCCTTTGCGCTATCAGATCCTGAAGTTGAGGAAGAAGAAGAAGCATCGCTTGTCCTTTCCCTTCGTTCTTGAGATTCGGCACTCGGATCTTGCTCTCGTTTGTAAGGTGGTGGGAATCTAAAGACTGGCCTCCCATCAACGTCCTTCTCTGGAATGATCTCTTTCGCAACATAGCCTCGGCTGCAGTTTGGACAAGACAAAGTCTTGTTTAGATTGTTAAACCTCTCAAACATACAATACGTCTTGCATACATTGCACACTGTCCAAAAGGTGTGATCCTCCCTAGGTTTAGGTTCATATTTTCTCCGACTCACGCTTTCTTCATCAGAAGAATCTTGCTCTTGTGGCTTTGATGGTTTCTGCTTCTTCCAACCATTTTTCTGTTTAGCTTCTCTCGATTGATCAAAAGCACTTCTCGTAACCTTATCAGATAACGCAGACAAAGCGTTATTAATAAGCTTAAACGCCTCTTCCGCGCCACTAAACTTGTTCTTGTCTGGATGAACCAGAAGAGCTAACCTCCTGTACTGTTTCGTCACTGCTTCTTCATCAGCTGAAGGGTCTACACCGAGAACTCCATACCAATCAGTTTCTCCTCTTCCTCCTTTGATCTTGTTTGATGCAGAGATTAAAACATGGATGGTCATCGATATTTTTTCCAAACCATCAAGCTTTGGATGCAAGTTCTGAGCCCTGATAACAAATCTCTTGGCTCCAACGTAATCATTCTCTGAAATTTTCTTCTCAGCCATATCCCTTGCTTTTCTAGCTTCGTCCTTGTTACTTTCCATGTCGTTGAGAGGGGTTTAACTTAGATTTACAAAGAAGCAGTCTTTAGCCCTTTATATTCCGAGATACTTCTATCACACGAATCAGATACACGTTTGCACAATCGGTGAGAACCTAACAAAACCTATAAAAGATGAAAAAGCTTGGGAAAATAAGATATCTGATTTCGAATGAGTGGCTCCCAAGTAATTAGCCCTGAAACCCTAGAGACGATGGGAGAGGATGAAGAAGAGAGAAAGGGATAATAAAATAAGGGACTCGTGTTTATATAATTGATTTTCTGTATTTTCCTTGTACAAAAAGGAAACTGATTTCCTATATCATTATGAATTTATTGGCGTTATAAGATTTGTTTCCTAAACAAGTTTGAGAATATCTTCTTCAAATTAAAGACTGGCGTGGGCAATCTATCAAATTAAGTTCTAACATGATTCTTACACCAATAAAACTTTATTACATTTTTGGCTAAAAATCTTGGTTAAATGGTTTATGTTAGGCATATTATGATGCAGCGTGAACCGCTCCATCATATTACGTTTCTGCAAAAGAATGGCTCAACTTAATAATGTGTGATGCTATATAGTGGTCTATGAGGATGAGAGTGGCTTTGTATCGTAGTATCTTACACAAACACTCGAGTACTGCAAAAGCAAAGGTTACACTCTGTACCACGGTCTTAATATATACTCTGACATGTCCTTCTCTTTATTCTTCAATTTGCAAGTTTCACTATGGAAGATAGCTATCAGTCTTATTTCACACACAAACATTGAAGTTAGTACCAATCAGATTCTTTTAGCTAGGAGTCTTATAAGAGGATGCATAGACATTAGACAGAGTTTCAAACACATATACAACGTACGTAGAATACTCTTCAAATAGAAGTTAGGCGTCTCCAAACGATAAGAAGAAAGTTTCTGACTAGTTTAGTGAGATGGTTAGCAGAATCTCATGATGAATCTACATGTCCTTGTTTGTTCATGCTCAGTAACACTCACTCTCTTAGAAGAACCATAGACAGAGTCGTAACAACTTTTGTAGTCTAACGAAAAGCTTTGAAGAACTGGTGATAACTCGTGTAACAACTTTTATTGAATCTAATCTGATAAAAAAAAATTACAAAGATGTTCCCTGAAACAAAAAGTAAAGAAGAAGCAAATTTCTTTCACAGTGGTCTCTTGAAAAGCCTCTGGGCCTCGGCGGTAGAGTTTGGATCTCCCGCTGTCATTGGTGTCTTGAAAACCCTATCTGCTTCAGGATTAGAGAATGGATTTCTTGTTGTCTTGAAAAGCCTCTCTGCTTCACGAGTAGAGTTCAGATCAACAGTCGGTCTCTTGAAAACCCTCTCTGCTTCAGGTTTAGAGAATGGATTTCTTGTTTTCTTGAAAAGCCTCTCTGCTTCACGAGTAGAAGAAGCATCACTGTTTCTTTTTTTGTTTGTTGCTTGAGAATTGTCTCTCCACTGTTGTTGCTGTGGCGGCTTTGCTTCTCTCTTTTTCGGTTTAGCTTCTTGCGATTTCCGCTTCTCATCATACGCAAGTCTCTTAGCCTTGTCAGACAACAGAGACCAAGCAGCTAAAACCAGCTTACACAAGTCTTCCGCTCCACGAAACCTGTTCTTGTCCGGATGAAGCAGAAGTGCCAACTTCTTGTAACGTTTCTTCACTGTTTGGTCGTCAGCTTTAGGGTCTAATCCGAGTCTTCCATACCAATCTGATTCTCCTCCGATGTTCTTGTTCGATGCAGAGACATTAACATCGATCATCACCGAAATTTGTTCCAAACCATCGAGCTTCGGATACAAACGCTGAGCCTTGGTAACGAATTTCTTGGCTCCGACGTAATCCTTCTCTGAAATTTTCCTCTCTGCAATATCCATTGCTCTTTTAGCTTCCTCCTTATTGCATTCCATGTCTGTCGAGATATTATGTTTTTTTTCTCACTTCTCAGTGGTCTGTTTCTGTACGCCTAAACGCCTAAACCCACGATTTATCATATAGATCAAACAGCGTGAAGAACAACTCTAGTGCGAAGCAGAAACGGGTTTAGATTTTGAAGACGACGCGAGAAACTGAGAAAGAATCAGAATGGATAATTAGAGGACGATACAATATAAAAGCAAGAACAATATTGATTTCTCTGAATTTGTAGATTGTGTGATTCTCGATTTCCATTTTGTTCATGCCCTAGCGAATACAGGCGTCTATTTCACGCAACTTATTTTCTTTCTTAAGTATTTTAAACATTGATGGAGGGAAAAAAAAGGAAATTTTATAGGTAAAGTTGTATTATTTATTTTTAATGATAGAAAAACAACATATGTGGGCTAATCAAAATATTTGAAAGTCAAACTTTTGTTTGTTTGTTACTTTTCTATCGATTTTGTATATATGTATATAATCCATGAGAAATGTACTTGATGAAGAAGGAAAAAAACATGTGTTGTTCAAGATTCACTATTATGTCTCCATCCAAGTTCACTCCAATAGTACCATAATTCCATCCGTGATTAGAGTACAACACTTGTGAGAAAAAGAAAAAGAAAAAAAACAGAACCATATTGTATTCAAAGATTCCAATGAAAGGGTTACAATACCAACTACACAACAATGTTAAAATGTTTAAGGGAAGTTAAGACATTACACCTGCACACTACCAAGAAAATGAAGTGAAACTAGAATGAGATGATGGGTGAAGGGACGAGAGGAAAGACTGTATTATCGATTTTTTTTAACTCTCTAAATTCTTGATTTAGTGGAAAAGGCGAATGTTTGAAGTATTAGTCAAGTTTTGTGAAGCTAATGGCAAGAAGCGAGACATGTATGAATTTAGCAAAGAGTAAATACTAAATAGTAAAGTAAAGTGTGTAGCAAGCAAAATATTGGAATGTAAGCATGGTTTGAACGCTAAGAACTCGAAAGACATGTAGTGGAATCAAAAGACAAACGGCTTAAGGACCAGTGGAAGATCATCAAAATGTAAGGTTATTTTTACAAGTAAGGTGATTCTACTTCAAAAGGAAATGGGAGCATGAGGATGCTACGGTATACCTTGAAAGAACAAAGTTATGAAAACCTGTAATAACGATAAATTTGAAAGAGATTATAAGATGCAATATTGGAGAATTCAAGGACCATGTCATTATCAAAATGGGTGGGTTGGAATTTCATAACATCTATTTCATATTTGGAACAAGGCAAGATGGTATGAAAATTGGATTTAATCTTAATGAATCCGCTAAATTTTTAGAATTATCGAGTCAAGCCATTTTCGAGAAGAGCTGATGTCGAGAAAGAGACTAAGGTCTGGAGTTAAACTGTCAACGGTGTAAGTAATTTGGGGAAGAGATGTCCTGAATGATTTTTGACTTCTTAAAGCGGTTTGTTTAGTGCGTGTTATGTTCTGACTTTTGATATAAGATGTTATTTATTAGTGGCTAGACAATGTCCACGCCATGGAATCTCTTTTTTTTTTTTGTCATCTGGGATTATATAAATAAAGGAGAAACCCGGTGCCAACACCAACCAAACAAGACTAGTCACCACTACAAAAGAAATCTACTTTCAGCCCAAAACAGACAGGGCCTCTCTACTCCTTACACCCAAGGAAAGAGGAAGAAAGAGAAATTAAACCAATAAAGCCAACAAACCAACACCCAAAAAAAACACCTCACACAGAGGGAAGAACTCTCTCACTGACGAAAATTGACTTCAGCCACCCTGGATGACCACTAGCCACATAAGACTGCCACTGACTCTCCGAAGTCGCATTTCGAGCTATGAGAAAAGCCCCTCTGTTGGTGCATCTCACTTCCTGTTCTATTCTCCAACTTCCCAAGTTGGTCAAAACATAATAGAGGTCCGACGTCTGCAACCTGAAAGACGGCCAAGCATTTGGACGAGTCAAAGAACCAACTAGCTCTGCATCTTCCGAGGCAAACACAACATTCTTCACCCCATGACTAATCAAACTTTCCGCTGCCCATATTAGACACTTGAAACTGCACTCCGACTTCGCGAGAATAGAAGCCCATGCTCTTCTGCTATGTAACAGAATCTTCCCCATCTCATCCCTCAAGACCCACGCCATACCACCCAAACTTTTACCTTCTGACCAGTAGCTACCAATGTTACATTTCAACCAAGGTTTTGGTGGGGGCCTCCATTTTTTAACCGTCTTTACTTGAACCTCTGCCTGTGAATCTTCTACTATCTTTTGCGCAAGAAACCACAGTTCCACCTCTTCTATGATCTTCTCCATTGTTTGCCGAGCATCAAAACCATTATTATCAAAGAGAAGAGTGTTCCTGTTTTTCCAAATAAACCATAAAATCCAAGGAAACCTCTTTTTGATGTCTTTATGTAGCCTCTCATTCTGACATTGGCTCATCAAATGATAGATATTTGCGTAAATCGACTCTCCAAATCCATTTTCTGGGAAGGGAAAATCGCTCATAGCCCAAATCTGTCTCGAGACCGTACACGTGAAGAGCAAGTGATTGATGGACTCCCCAATCACTCCACAAGCTTGACAGTAATTGTCTACCATCATCCCTCTTTCTTGAAGCTTATCCGCAACCGAAATTGTTCCATTCAAAACTTTCCACAGAAAATTTTGAATTTTCGAAGTTGTTTGGATGGACCAGGCTCTCTGTTTTAGTATATTCAGTGAAGGTAACTGTCCAGCCTCTTCCCACAGCACTTTCTTGTTGATAGACGATGCTAACCAGAACCCAGATTTGACCGTATAATCTCCATTCGGTGAATGATTCCAACTCCAGTAATTCTCGCCTCTGGTTACCGGCTGCGCCTTGAGAATCATTTCCACATCTTCAGGGTAGAAAGTTTCTCTAAGTTTCCCTTCATCCCATCTTCTTGTTTGGAAGTCAATTAAATCTCTGGCCAACAGATTCACATTGAACGGAAATATCATACGCCAAGGGGCCCTCATCCCTTCATCGAGAATCCACTTATCCGTCCAAACACTTAGAGTGTTTCCATTTCCAACTCTCTTTCTCAGCCCTTTTTCTAAAAGCTCTCTTCCCCATAAAATGCTTCTCCAAGCGAACGAAGGTCTGTAGCCCACCTTTGCAGACATAATAGACTCTTTCCGAGAAATATCTGCTTTTTAAGAGACTCGCCAGCAAACAATGAGGGTCGTGTAAGATCTTCCACGCTTGTTTAGCCAGTAGAGCTTGATTGAAATCAGCAATGTCTCTAAAACCTAAACCACCCAACTGCTTAGGAAGGCACATTTTATCCCAACTGATCCAGTGAATTTTCCTCTTGTGCTCTACTGCGCTCCACCAGAAGTTGGACATTGCACTTCTTAGATTATCACAAATCGCTTTTGGCAATTTGAAACAAGACATGGCATAAACCGGCATAGCCGAGAGGACCGATTTGAGAAGAGTCTCCTTGCCACCTTGAGATAAGGTTCTCGAGAACCACCCAGAAACTCTCGTCTGAACTCTTTCCCTTATGTAGTCCAACTGTTTTATTTTTGAGCCACTGAAGCACTCTGGCAAACCCAAGTAAGTTCCCGCTCCTCCTTCATTAAAAATATGTAGCTTCTGTTGGATCCTTTTCCTTTGCTCCATCTCAGTCTTTGCTCCAAAAGTCACTGAAGATTTCTTTTGATTGATCACTTGGCCAGTCGCATCTCCATAAATAGTCAATATGTCTTTCAAAGACTCACAGTCTTGATTTGACGCTCTACACAGAAATAAACTATCGTCCGCGAACAACAAGTGATGCACCGAATGACCATTTTCCTGAAAACTGATCCCTCTAAGCACTCCAATTCTCTCTGCTCGGTTTAACAAATGGGATAATCCTTCCGTACACAACACAAAGAGAAACGGTGATAAGGGATCTCCCTGTCTCAAACCCCTCTGCGGTGTAATGATCCCATGAGGCTGATCGTTAATGAGTACTGAGAAAGAAACAGACGATACGCAGTACATGATCCACTTAACCCATTCTCCATGGAATCCCAAAGCCAACAACAACGCCCTTAGATAAGCCCATTCCACCCTATCATATGCTTTCGACATATCTGACTTTACAGCCATGAACTCTTCACTTATAGTAGGGTGAGTACGCAAAGCATGCACCAACTCATGTGCTATGATGATGTTGTCCGAGATCAATCTTTCCGAGACAAACGCCGATTGATTGACAGAGACAATTTGAGATAAGAATGGTTGCAGCCTTTTCACCAAAATCTTCGAGAAAATTTTATACAAAACTGAACAAAGACTGATTGGCCTCAAGTCCGTCATTTCCTTTGCATCCACAATTTTTGGCAACAGGCATAAGTGAGTGTAATTCCATTCCCTGGGGAAGACTCCGGTGATAAAGAATGCTCTCACTTCTGTAGACACTTCCTTACCAATAATGTTCCAAAATTGTTGGAAGAAGAGACCAGTCATTCCATCAGGCCCAGGAGCACTTGAAGGTTTAATTGAGAACACAGCCTGTTTTTTCTCACGATCCGACACCTCCTTGATCAGGGATTCATTCATTGTCGAAGAGATCCTTGGAATCATATCTCCAAACCAACTTTGGAAGGCTGTCGGGTTTGAAGACTGAAACAGATTCTTGAAGTAGCTCACTGCCACATCTCCTTTTGCAGCTTCTGATCTTTGTTCTACCCCATTCACATCTCGCAGTGATTCCAGACGTTTGTGATTTCTAGCGCATCTGACCGAATCGTGAAAAAAATTGGTGTTTCCATCACCTAATCTTAGCCACTTTTGCCTACTTTTCTGTTTCCAATACATCTCATCATCTTTGTAAGCATGCACCAGCTCTCTTTTAAGATATCGCAGTCTCTCCCTGCTTGGATAACTCACAGATTGTTCCTCTTCCAGGTTCTTCTCAAGCTGTTGCATTCTATCACTTGCATTCAGATTGTTGTTTCTTTTCCATCTGCTCAATTCTTTTCTACAATCCCGCAGTCTATCTGACACCGAAAAAAGATTTCCAGAGACTCTTCTCTTCCAAGAGTTGGGAATAGTTTCCTTGACCTTCGGTTGGAACAAAAACCGTTTGTCAAATCTAAATTGCCCTCGATACACCTCCTGTAAGTCTTGGTCTTGGAGACTGACTAGAACAAGACGATGGTCTGACCCTCTTTTATCCAAGAAACTCTGATTTAACGCTGGAAATTGAAGAAACCACTTTTATTTCCAAAACATCTGTCTAGACGACATTGCACCCAATGAGCATAATGCATTCCACCCCATGTGAACCCGTTTCCTTGACTGACTAGTTCCGACATCTCACACACGTTTAACATATCTACAAAAGATTGGAAAGATTTCTCACTTCGTTTTGGACCCCCAAACTTTTCTCCATTGTTCGTGATTTCATTGAAGTCTCCAACCATACACCAACTCTCTTTCCTATTTACACCAATCCTCGAGAGTTGCTCCCAGACTTCATCTCTCTTTCTCTTATCCGGAGCCCCATAAACACAAGAAGCAAAGAAGGACACATCACCATACTGTACATGAAGATCCATCAGATTTTTGTTTTCAGCCAACACCACGATATCTACACCATTCTTACAAAACAGAGCCAAGCCACCACAAGTACCCACAGGCTCCACTGTATACACTCTTTTGTATCCTAACCATTCCTGCAGATCAACCAACACATCTCTACCATTCATTGTTTCCATCAAGAACATTACCTCTGGGAAGTGTTTTTTACGCAATTCCTTTAGGCGCGGAATCGTCAATTCATGAGGCCGCCCCACACCTTGACAATTCCAAGACAGTATGCTCATTATGGGTTGGACGATCCCTCATTTGGGGCACCATTTGATTTTTGCGTCGAGCTTTTTTAGTCGAGCTGACACCGACTGAAACCATCTTTCTCTTCGGCCCAATGATACCTTTTCCATTTTTCTTTATCTCCGGAGCTGGACCAAGGAAACCTTCCTTCAACTGATTCAGTTTTCTCAATCTCTTTACTTGTCTCTTCCTTGCTTTTCCTTTGGACCTAATGACTCCGGATGGACCAGCCTCAGAGAAGCCAGAACCATGTTCCGTAAGGTCACCTGATCCGTGAAAACCTGATTTTAACTCTTTCCGAGATTCCAGACGTGCACGAAGATCATCAGGGCCAAAGCATCCACTCTTTAGATATCCAGAATCAACCGCAGCAGCCATTAATTTGTTTTCTGACCCCAACTCAGTTGTCAGGTCCGCTTTCTGATAATCAAAGACGATGCCTTTTCCTTTATTTACGTCTCTTGACACCACTGGAGCCGTCTCCAACCTGAGCACTACCTTCTGAGCATAGGGATCCTTCTCCACTTGAGCAATGGGGTTTTGGACCCGTTCTTTCTTCACATCGATATCGTCACCATTGTTTGCTACAAGATAACGTCTCAGGTCTTCTAAGACTTCAGGATTTATCTTTAGCTTGCCTGTGTTGGGGTTTATTCCAACCTGCTCTTCACTCAAAACACCAAAAAGAGGATCTGAAATTTTGATGATCTGATCTGCTTCCTTCTTCCCCGCCACCACTCTGCTTCTTCTAGACGCTGCTTGATCCTGTCGTGCTTTGACCAAAATAGGACAAATATCCTTTTCATGATTAAGCCGATGACAACTGAAACATCTCTTCTGTAGCTGTTCATAGTAGAAGAAAACCGTCGTCTCTCCTCCATCCGGAAGAATGATGAGTTTAGACCGCGGTAAAGGTTTAGCCACATCAAATATGACTCTGACTCTGACGAAGGGTTGACTCTGATTTTCCTTATCATCAAAAACGATTTCTTTCATTTCTCCAAGGACTTCTCCAATATCCCATATTGTCTAGGCCGTGTAGTTGTTCACCGGAAGATTCCTAATCTGAACCCAGATAGACGCAAACTGAAGGAAACCCACCGGTTCCTTCAACACCCAACGCTCCATTACAACTGCCCATTCACTGAAACACTGTAACCCTTTCCCGAGAATCTCCACCAGGTCATGTTCGGTTTTGAAGAAAAACTGAAACCTTTCATTCGATAAAACAACTCCTCTAATCCTATCTCTTTTTCCCCACCTCCGAGGAAGATCAATTAGAAGATGAGAAATTTTCTGACAATCTGGATTCAGAACCCTTCCTATCAGACTCAAGACATTATTACCACACGAGCTATACTCTGGTCTATTCGGCAGAACCAACGGCCTATCTTCCTCTTCTTCCTCCAAAGACATCGCCATTAAAGCCCGATCCATAGCCGCCGACATCTTCCTTTGTCGAAACAAGAAAGCTCGGACGAAACTCAACCAATAGAAATCACCAAACTTCTTACGGAGCCACTAACCACTCTTACGCACCACGAAAACAAGAGATTCAGCCAACAAATCTTCACTGCGATAACTAGATCTGAGATTCCATAGTGAAAGGATAAGGTGAAAAAGCTTGAGAAGAACAGAGAAAAAGACACGTAAAGACAGAATCCACCACAGAAAGCTCTTTTCCTTGACTAATGAAAGACACTAGTTGAAAAAGAGAGTCTTAAGCTCATAAAGGGAAACTGATATTTTTTGATGTAATTTTGTTGGTGCCATGAAATCTCTTACCAAACTGTTTGCTTTGCTTTTTTCAAAATAAATAAACAGGACCGGCCGGACTATTTTCGGGTTTTAAACAGAAAACATATATTCAGTCATTAGTGCATAGATTTCTGCAATAAAACAACTTTTTATAATTTTAAACCAATAAAAATCCAACAAATACAATCAATGTTTTTTGAAAACTGAAAAAGTGCATCAAAAAGTTAGAATAATTATCTTTATGAAACAACACATAATGGTTAGAAAATTTATCTTAAAAAAACGGAGGAAATATGTATTAAACTTAAATACATCAAGATATATCTAATAACATTATAAATACATTTTTTAAATGACACTTATTATGAAATAAATGAAGTAATTATGAATTTTTTTTTGTTTTTTCATAAAAACTGAATTTTAAAGTTTAAAATCTTGCACTAATAAAACCATTAAACTTAGAAATAACCACTCATCCACCCGTTACCAGTTTCTCAAAATTGATGGCCTAATCGGTTCACTGTTTAAAATACAGATCATCATTGTTCCTTGTTGTTACTTCTCTGATTATTTTGTATTTTTTTCATATCCATAATGTTTATCCTGAGAATTGTGAGAAGAGAATTGCATTCGGTTAATCAGTTCAGTTTGGTTTAGATTTTTTGGAGTTCAATTTGTTTTGGATTTAAATAATATATTCCAGTAGGAATTAAAGAATTTAACTAGGCTCGAGATGTGAGTCTTACTTAATAGGCTATATCAAAAGTCAAAGCTAGAGTTTAATTAGAAAGAAAGAGATAGAGAGACGTTGCTTTAAAGCAAATACCAAATTTAAATAAGATGTGCCATCGACGACGACCCACACCGACGACGATATATTCAATTCAAGAGGATATAATCTTCAATTCCATATAGTTTCTCCATGAAAAATATTCTTAAATTTTGAGTGTGGATTTCAGAAACTTTCCTTGAGTTCCATCATAAATGTTGTGGTATCATAAAATATATTTATCAAAAGCATTATTTCGTAAAAAAATTAGATTAGTTTAAACTCATTAGAATCTCGGAATAATTCCACTGTTTTATATTTATTTTTAGTAGTTTACTCCAACAAATAATAATAACTATAATAAGTTATTTAGTAATATTTTTTTTAGGTTATACACACATAATTCACATGGCCTGCATGTATTGAGATATAAATAGTGAGGACAAAGACGATGGAGTGAGAAGTTTGAAGTTAGAAAGAGAGAGAGTTTGATCAAAAAAAAAAAAAAAAAAAAGAGAGAGAGAGAGAAAGAGAGAGAGAGAGAGATGGTGATAAGGAGAATAGAGTTATACATAGAGATTGTGAAGATAGCGATGGATATAGTGGCTGTGGTGGCTGAAACTGCTACGGAATTCTTGAGACACTCTCCTCCAACTCCTCCGGCTCTCCTCCGCCAAGGCTACTACTACTCCTCTCACCCTTCCCCTTACATCGGCGGCTATCTTCCATATATATGATATTGTAATATTCCTGTAAATTTACTTTTGAAACAAACTTCCTCTAAGTTACTTCTCAATTTTCTCAAACAACAAGCGGTTTGAATGTGGTAACGATGGCTGTAGCCTATAGTACAAACCTGTCTAGGTCATCATGTAAATTAATTACTTTATGTTTCCCCATTTTCGTTTTATGTGAGTTTGGTTTCTCTTTTCGGGCTCCTCTGTGATTATGTTTGTTTGAATTCAACATGAACTTGACGTGGAATCTAAACAAACGTAAATTCAGGATAAATATTTAATAATTGAATGAGAAGTGGGAATATTTTATTTTTGAAACGAAAAAGAAGGAATATGAGAACAGATCTTTTAAAAATGGGATTAATGGAGGTTGACTAATAAGACGTGAGGAACATTGGTCCCGTCTCGGACAAGAAATGTCCAGACTAACTTATGATAACTTTATTCTTTATTTTAGTTGAAAAATTTTCAGATCGAAATCCAGACTAATCTCCCAAATCTATAAAAATCAAAGGTTTTATGTCACTAAAAACGTTGGCCAAGTATAATTGAAATCACAGTAAAAAAACTTAAACTCTGAGAATAAACCCTTCAACCATTATACAACCACCACTTAAAATTATGAGGTATAAAGTGACAAACTAACTCACCGCACCGCATAACTTTCTATTTTCTTTTAGTTAAGTAACGTATGGATAAGCTAACTCACCGCACCGCATAACTTGTGACTCACTCACTCACGGATATGTTTACATTTTGACGGAAAAAAAAGCAAAAACAAAAAGGGTTTACGTTGAATACAAACTATCAGCATCAAAAATGAAACTATACAAACTATCGCTTTTAATAAGACTAAATATTAGAGTATAGAAGACTAGAACTATATACATACTTTATATTAAAAAAATATAACTTAAATGGAGTACGACTTTAACCTCATGTCTAGGTTCAACCAGTTTCCTATTAATCTATTTTGTAATTTATAAGTTTATATCTGTTTGGTAACCGACTTAAGAAATTGTTCATTTGTGGAAGATAAACCTTCTCAGATTTTGCAATGTTTGGATATGAGTAATTTGTGCATGCATGTGTGTTGCTAAAAAAAAGTAGTTTGAGCACTTTATGCTGATTTGCATTCAACCGATCATATATGTATATAGTTCTAGACAATAAAACTTAGGAAATACACTAAGAGTTGGATTCAAACGATTGTAGGGAACTATACTGAGCCGGAAATATAGACTTATAAACAAACCAGTCGTAAGAACTCAGGTTAATAAAATATTTGAAAATTCAACCATTTTTTGTCACTTTATATCGGTTTTTTATGTATATAATAAATGAAAATTGTACTTAATTGATGAAAACAAAATATTTGTTGTTCAAGATTCACTATTATGTCTACATCCTAATTCAGTTTGATAACACTCTAATTCCTTTCAGTAATTGGAGTAAAACAATTGTGAAAAAACAGAGAATTATAGATACAAAAATTTCCAAGTCATGATAGGATTACAATTCCAACTACACCACAATGCTTAATTGTTTAAGAAAAGTTAAGACCATTACACACTGACAATGAAAGATAGAACAAAGCAGGAATCTACATGTGAGAAGCCTTACTTACTGTCACATCGATCTCAGCTTCTTACGAACCCTCTCTATAACAGCAAGCCTTTCTTGTTCCTTTTCAAGTTTATTCTTCGATCTATCTTGTGCTTGGTTTGCGACATTCTCGCTATTCTTTGGAAAAACAACAGATGTCCTGAGCGGTCTCCTTTTGGGAGGTTCCCGAGCCGCGGCACTAGCAGATTGTCGAGGATTTTTCTCGGTTGCAATGAAAGTGTGACCACAGTTTGGACAAACTATGGCCCTTTTATAATAATAATCCTTGAGATATTGGCATTGTGTCTTGCAACGATTGCACATGGTCCAAAATGTCCCGCCTCTCTGTTTTGATGGATTCACAGGCGCTCTAGCTTTAGCACTCGGATCTACACCATTAGTAGATGGTGTCTTGTGTTGATTTTGTGGTTTCTGCGCCCTCTTCTGATCAAAAGCAATTCTCTTTTCCTTGTCAGATAAAAGAGACCAAGCTTCTGAGACCAGCTTAAACGCATCTTCAGCGCCTTTACACTTGTTCTTGTCCGGATGAAGCAAGAGAGCTAACTTCTTGTACTGTTTCTTTACTTCCTTACCGTCAGCCAAAGGATCTACGCCGAGGATTCTGTACCAATCAGCTTCTCGTCCTCCGTTGATTTTTCTTGGTGCAGAGATATAAACGTTGATCACCGTCATAACTTGTTTCAGACCATCAAGCTCTGGAAACAACTTCTGAGCCTTGTTGATGAATTTCTTGGCTCCTACGTAATCTTCCTCTGAGATTTTCCTCTCAGCGATATCAACTGCTCTTCTAGCTTCATCCTTATTACTTTCCATGTCGTTGAGAAGATCGTTTTATTTTACCTAATTACCGATATCTTTGTTTCTATACGGAAACAAAAAACCGTGCTATTGCGAAATCACCGGATTTGAAAAGAAGCAGAGCAGTCTTGAACCCTAAATACACAGAAATCAGAGACGAATTGCAACAACTCGGTGGATTAAAAGGATAGAAACTTCCGTTGCAAGAAAAAAACGTCTTATTGATAGAGACGATGCGAGAAACGAAAAGAGAATAAAGAAGAGAGGAAGATATTAGGGGACTCACAAGCAACAGCGAGAGCCTTGATCGTGTATATATAGGTAAGGATTGGCTTTCTGTAATTGTTTCCTTTTACCAAAAGGATAATGGTTTAAAGTTCAGGAAAAGGAAACTATCAAATATTAATTTGTTGAGTAGTAAGAATTATACACACAGCTTATCTTATTCCTAAATTGTTTTAAATTGATAGGAAAAAAGGAAATTTAGTAAAGGAAAAGATTTTAGTTTGTAGTGGTAATTGTAGAAACAAATATAAATAGTCTAATTACACCAGCTAATTGGAGTAGAACAGGTGGTATATGTGTCCCACCACTACCATCAGGCTTGTTACTTGTAGCGCAAGCACTCGGATCCACACCTATCTCGCATTTTGATTCCCATGAGAAGAAGCAGGCTTATGTAGAGTTGGTGGTTTCTGCTAATCTTTCGATTTCCTCCTTTGATCATAAGAAATTCTCTTAGCCTTATCAGATAACAGAGACCAAACTTGTAAAACCATCTTAAACGCACCTTTGAACTTGTTCTTGTTCGCAAAAGAGCCAAGTCGTGAGAGGATTACAATTCAAACTCCATCACAAATGTAAAACACAAATTAATTAAGACATTACACATCCACTAAAATAATTTAAGCCTAGAGATGAAAACAGATTCGTAGGTAACATATTATAAAAAAAAAAACAGGACTCTGCAACTTGTACATGTGAGAAGTCTTTCTTCTTATCCCACATCTATCCTCAGCTTCATAGGAAATACCCCACAACTGCGGCAGCAAGCGCTTCATCTAATATGCCAAATATTTTTTCCAAAATTTCTAGGGTTCCATTGGCCGGTACTGACGCTGACGGATAATAAGTACCACCACTTGTGTTCTGGGCACTCCGCTGTTGCTGTTGTTGTAGAACAAGAAAGAGTGTGTAGTCGACTTCCCTCATAACCTTTCCCCATAAATTATAGTCTGTAGCAATAGAAGTGTGACCACAGTTTGGACAACGTATGGTTTTGTTAAGATAACGATCCCGCCAATACTCGCATAGTGTGTTGCATCCATTGCACAATGTCCAAAAGTAACCAGCTCTAATCTCTTTTGATGGCTTCACAGGGGCAGGGGCAGGGGCAGGAGAAGGAGGAGGCGCATGGTTGTTACTTGTAGCGTAAGCACTCGGATCCACACCGTGGCTTGCATTTTGATTCCAGTTAGAAGAAGCTGGCTTATTGTATGCATTTGGTGGTTCCTGCGTCTGATAACTTGTCCCAAAAGAAGAAGCTCCGTTTGTTTTCTTGTTTTTTTCTCGTTGTCTAAGAAGAGCTAATCTCAAGTCGACTTCCCTCATAATCTTTCCCCAGAAACTGTTCTCGGTAGCAATGAAAGTCTTATCACAGTTTGGACAGCGTACGACCTTGTAGAGGTAAAGATCCCTCAGATATTCGCATAGTGACTTGCATTCATTGCACAATGTCCAAAAGGCACCGCCTTTACTCTGTTCTGATGAATTCTCAGGCGCAGGAGCAGGCTTACTATTACTTGTAGCATTAGCACTCGGATCCACATTAGAAGAAGCTGAAGGCTTTTGTGGATTAGGTGGTTTCTGCATCTTTACTTCATTCGACTTCCTCTTTTGATCATAAGCAGTTCTCATGACCTTGTCAGATAACAGAGACCAAGCTTCTAAAACCAGCTTACACGCATCTTCCGCGCCTTTAAACCTATTCTTATCAGGATGAAGCAAAAGAGCTAACTTTTTGTATTGTTTTTTCACTGCTTCTTCATCAGCTGAAGGATCTACACAGAGAACTCCGTACCAATCAGTTTCTTCTCGTCCTCCTCCTCCGGTGTCGATCTTGTTTGACGCGGAGATGAAAACATGGATGATCATCGACATTTGTTCCAAACCATCAAGCTGCGGATACAAAGTCTGAGCCTTTTCAACAAATTTCTTCGCTCCGTTGTAATCATTCTCTGAAATCTTCTTCTCAGCAATTTCCATTGCTTTTCTAGCTTCATCCTTATTGCATTTCATGTTGTTGAGAGAGTATTTCGCACCTACAATAATCAGAGGAGCAAAAGCAAAAACAGAATCAGAAGAATGTCTGCCAAAATTACACAAATCGCAAAACAAATTTGCAGGAATCCGCAGGGTCATTCATAGATACACAAAACCCAGAAATAAAGGTATCGACTTTGATGTTAAAGGTACCGACTTGGGTTTAGTAAGTCAAGGAAAAGTCATTAAAGGTATCGACTTGAATGTTCATCTAGAAATTAAACCGAATCTAACGTAGAGTCCGATCAGAAAGCGAAGAGTACATTAAAGTAACCAACAAAAATCCCTAAAACGGAGACGGAGTTCTTCTTCATGACATCGGAAAACCATATATCAAAGTGGTAACCAAAAACAGCAAAATCGCAAGTAAGACTTAAAACGAATGTTCATACCTTCTTTGCAGCTACGTATAACCAACTAAGCTATAGAAGACTTTGTCAAAATATGACCGATTAAATTCTTATTTAGAAACAGGACTGCAAGCACATGCTTGCCCTGCTTGCTCCCAGGGATGGCTCTGTACGTATGACAAATTTGTGTAGAGAGTGATATATTTTTTGCTCCTTTTAAGTTTTAACAAATAAAATTCTAAAATTCGAGAAGTGTACCCCTCACGCTTTTAGCTCAGAGGGAGAGGGGAGAGTGGGAGAGAGAAAAGGGTTTAGTCCTCTTTTCTTTATTTTTTTTCTTTTGATTCCGATGTTATCGTTATCCATTTAAAGGTGAAAATGAGCAGACTAAACGTTACGCTTGAGAGCCAAGATGCATAGCCAATCTAAAATGTTATTTGTGTCCATAGACCGATAGACGCAATGCATGTACAAATGTATGAGAAATGTTAAATGTACAACATTCTAGTATTATATTGTACAACTCTAAAGGCTAAAAACTAGTGGAAAAACAAGGATTCAAAGTCATGAAAAAACCAATTTCCTTGCATCAAAATCCAAGGATCTACCCAAAAAACTCTTGAAACTATACCCTATATACCACCTTGTTTTGGAGAAAACATAATCAAATACTTGTTTCTCCAAACCTCACCTACTTTACAAGCTCTTCTCCATCTTCCAAAACCCTTCTTCCAAAGCTTCTCACCAAATCCACTGAGTCACAAATTCTACACTATCTTCACTGTCACCATCTCTACGTCACCATCTTCATGGTCCATCTCCTCCAAATCATTGTCATTCATCAGAGGATCATCAGCCATCAGTTCACCCTCAACGCCTGACTGGTTTGCATCTACAATCTCCACTTCTTCCACATCTTCTACTTCTCTTTCCCTCAAATCATTCTCATCATTTAAATCCCTTTTCTCTATACCTTTGTCAGATGGCTTCTCATCTTTCTCTGCGTTAGCCTTCACCTCCTCCTCTGGAGGGATTTGCAAGTCTTTCTCCAATCGACTGACCCCAACATCACCATCACTTGCCTCATCAGTCATATTAGGAACAGAATGGTCGTCTCGGTTCTCTTCAGCTTCACTTTCTGCGTTGTCCTTTGCAATTCCTTCAGGCCTAGACATATCGCAGATTGAATGATCATCACTCTGGCTTAGATTGACTGTCGCTGAGCCTCCTTCAATATCAGAACTAGAACAGTCATCTGTGGAAGCCATATCTCTCGAGACAGGTTGATCAACCATGTCTCCACCGTTACTTCTTTCGGCTTCGCGTCCAGGAACAGGCTTTTCCACATAAAGCTCCCTAATTTGTCCAATAATATCTGCAAAAACGAAAAATGATTAAAAAAGAAACTGAAGCAACAAAGTCTAGAGACATCAGAGTCATAAGGGAAAAAAAACAACACACCCTTTATTTGACAAGATGTTGTATTAAACTCTTGACACATGCCCTCTCCATGTGATTGCAAGTCCGTTCCGAGGAGATCAGTGGTATGGAAAAACACACCTGACGCTATGTGATGAGGCTCATACTGCAAGCAGAGTGTCGTCCGGAAACTGCAAATAACTTGTGATTGTATGAACAAGGCAAAACACAAGGCCTATATAGCACCATAAGAATCCAAAAATATTTCCAAAGGAGAGTTTCAAGCATACCTGTCGTTGAGAAGAGTCCATGCAACTTGTGTGAATTTGGTCTTATCCTCTTCAACAATATATTTCTTAATTGCTTCTAGAAGATGTTTATAAGGGAGATAAACCATGAGGTCAAAATTTAATGTAGAAAGAACAAGCTTCTCTCCACTTAATACAATCTCTTTCTGTTGCTCACATACTTCCTGCAAAAGTGAAATAACAAAGGAAAAACACATCTGTTCAAAAAACCTACTAAAGTAAAAAAAAAAAAAAAACGAAGTGGAAATGAACAAGGAGGGTTTAGAACTTCGTCAACCTTTCTCTGAGAAGCATCAAGCTCCTTCTTGTGCATTATCTCATAAGAGGCAACGATAACGTCTTCTAAAGCCTGTGGAACTTCGTCAACCTTCCCAGCAAGGATCATGCAGGCTGTTGCGATTGTCTGCGGAGAAAATGTAACAGGCAAAGGCATAAGTACTAATCTACTTGTTCTTTCTCCACTAGAAGAATAATAAATCATCACAAAGCAACCACAAATTCATTAACCATACACTTTTTATCCAAACCAAATCCACATATATCATCACAAAGCAACCAAAAATTCATTAACCATACACTTTTTATCCATACACTTTTTATCCAAACCAAATTCATTAATCAGTTTCACTCAAAACATCCGAGACTAAAGACCATATATTGTAAGAAACTATCTAAACTCACCCTTCTGTCATTCTTTGCGTGTGATTGACCAAGGAAGAATCGGTGACAGAGTACTATAGCAGTGTCTATAGTGGCCTGGGAACTGCGTTGAGAGATTCATATCAGCCACATTCATCTAAGGAACCAAAAAACAGAAAAGCTTCTTCACATTCAGATGGAACTATATACGTATCTCATTAGCAGCTTTAGCTCTCCCGTTTTCTATAAGTGTATATGCTAAAGTACACTAGCTTATAGTATCAACTGACTGCAACAAATTAAACTGTAGAATTTCTAAGAGACCAAGCCAAGGCCTATATGTCAAAAGGATACATGTTAGCTTGGAGTAACCGTTTCTAAAGCAGCAGAACAAAGGCAGGTAAAGAAAAGAAACTTACGTTTTCAATTTCTCCCCGAGATGCGTCAGAAATGTACAGTAAGATATGCGCAGGCGATTTTCCAGTTTCAAATCGATACCATCTCGTCTTGATGGTGAGTTTTTCTCTATTTCGTCTCTTGAAACATACAAAGTTGGGATAACCTCATTATCGTGGAGATTGTTCGGGACTGACGAAGCATCATCGCTCTCACTGCCAGGAACGTCGCTCTCATTGCCAGAAACATCCCCAGGAGGCAACATTCCATCCACTGGTAAGCAAACCAAGATAGAGACTATGCAAAGAATGATCATCGTAGACTGTTACACGGATTCTGAAAAAGAGGGTAGATTGTCAAAATCTTTAAGAATTGCAAGAAAAGGTGTCAACTTTATGAAGAAAAACGTCAACTTTGAATCATGAAAAAGAAAAGACGCAATATCAGGGGCAATGGGTTTAGAAGAATCAGAAACGGCTCATTGTAATTGTAATGTCAGCGATAGTGACGAAGAACAGTTTCTATGGCGAAAAAGGAATCAATTTACGAACATTGCGTAGCAAAATTCCACAGAGCCTGAGAAGAAGAAACCTCAATTTGGATGAATAGAGCAAACGACCGATACTTACAAGAAAAAGAAACGCCGAAACGAAAACCCAAGAGCAGCGAGGAGCGAAAGAGGAACAAGGAAGACGAAGATTGAGTTTGCTCACCACTGCAACACTCTCTGCAGTCTGCAGTTTCGAAATTTTCTTTTTGGGAGAAAAGCGAAGATTATGATAATAAGGGGGTAAAAATAGAAATCTTCTTCTTGGCAAACTTATAAACCAATTCGATAAAGACACGTGTTACTCTAAAACATTCAAAAATAGTTTAAATCTCAAAAGAAAAAGGAATTTTATTTATTTAAAATCACCTTCTCCGATGTCGGTCTCCTTCATTATACGCTGCTTCTCAGTTCTCACCGGCGTGTTCTAGTTCCTCTTTCTGATATTTAAACCCTAATTCTCGCCGCCGATCGATCTTGCCCACATTGAGCTATTGAAGAATGGTAAAATTGCCTCTCCTTGTTCGATTTTTAATCTTATTTTAGATTCAATTTTAGCTTCTGTGATCTTGATTACGAGTGGATTCAAAGTTGTTAATCATCTGACATATGTTTACTTTTTGGAGCATTGTTTATAAATTACTTATGTCCATTAAATTGACATCTGATTCTTTATGGACAAACAAATTGTTTTGGTAATGCAACAACAAACTTTTTTTCTCTTCTTGAATTGTGTGTAGTTGTGATCAAGAGAGAACAGAAACTTATGAGGAACTTCATAATTTTGATAACAGTAGAAATCTGCATATTTTGAATGTTTCTGATCTTTGGCATATCGTTTGCAGGTGGAGAAACCAGTAAAGTTATCCTCAAAAGACACTAAAGCTTTGGCATCTAGAAACCTAAAAGTCTGTGGCAAAAAAGGTAAAAAATGCAAAGACTTTTCTATGAATAATTGTATGTTTATGATTATGCAAGTATGTATTGTTATTTTCCGGTGAATACTTAAAGGAACGATGTGATTGAAATTGCAGGAGCTTTTCCTTCTCGACTCTCTGATAGTGATCTTGCAAAGTACTTATCTGATGCTGAGGTAAGAAGAATTATAATGTCTTACCTTACTGTTTATTTGAATGCTCATTGTACCTCGCACGAATTTATATTTAGAAGGATGTAGTTTTGTTTCTGTGGAAGTTGATCTGATTTTTTTGAATCCCATGTATGGTTTTAGTCTCTGTAAACCACAACAAATTGTTCCTGGATTGTGGCGAACCAAGCTATTGTTAACATGTAAGTCCATCACCAAGCATTAGTTTCACTGTATTCCAACCATATAAGCTAGTCAAAATTTTCCGCTGCTTGTGTTGTCCTACTTGTGTTTGTCTTCTGGTTTTTACTATCTTTTACATCATATAATGTTCTGATGTGTATGGTTATTGGTGCTCATCAGGTTGGTGGTTATCTAAATACTACAAAAGAGTTCCTTCTGAATAAGATAGCATGGGAAATGATGAACCCTGACTACCAAAAGGTTTTTGCTTTTATCCTCTCTTTGGTCTTCTTAATATCTGCTAACTGAACATTGATGTTCTTGTTAATAATTTTTCGTTTTCTATTGATTATCATGGAAAGCAGAAGAAACCCACCACAGTGAAAAAGAAAGATCCTGTTAATAAGACTGCTCCTAGTAAGAAAACTTCCGCAACCAGAACCGAAAGCAACGCAGAAAGTGAAAATAAAAAGGTCAGTGCTAGTGACTATTCCTTCAGCTCGCTCTCTGAAACAATGTATAGATCGTCTCGTGTTATATATATTCCTCACTTCTTTCTTTGGATCTTTTTTAGTTTTTCATCTTGTAGTTAAATTTATTGTCTGACATAGATTCCCTTGTCTTATTGATTGCATGCAGAGACCGAGTGCAGATATCAATTACGATATCTTGGATGAACTATTTAATGATGTAAGTTTTTCCCCTGTTTCTAGCGTTATCTCTCGCTTTTTATTGATTAAGCTGCGTTCCATCCGTATATTTTCTCTTATGTGTTTCCTGATGATCGAAAAGCCTCTTGTTTCTTGGTCTAGTCTCTAATGTGTATTCGTATCTTTTGTAGGAGAACTCTCCAAAGAGGTCTAAGTTAGAGAAAACAGTCGTTGAAAGCAGTGAAGAATGCCTTCTGAAACCTCAGGGTTCTGAAGAAGAAGAAGAAGCAGACTGTAACGAGGGTTACAATAATGAAGATGCTTATGAGGGAGTCGAAGAATTCGATGGCGAGGCGGATCTTGAATACGAAGATCATGATGAAGGAGATTATAATGAAGTTATAGATTGGTGATCCTCATCTTACATTGTCAAATTGATGATCTCAACATATCTTACACAGAACATTTTATGTTTTTTTTCCCAAAGATATCTTCATGTTCTTATTTGGATTCATCACTATCCTATCTAATAAAATGAAAGCCTTCACAATTATCTGCTGATTCACATGGTGTACAAGTCCTCTGAAGATACATACATCTCTTGTCTTCTCAGCAATCGCAAACCTTCTCTTTGAGTACTAAAATCTGAGAGAAGGTGAAAAGCAACAAGACAAACTTGGTTTATAATATGTCTCTTGCTGCCATGGCCTGTTCTATAATGAGCGGCTAAGAATGTGGAACGTTAAGTTTCATCTGAATCTCATTCTCTGGATTATCTCTTAGCTCCTTGAGTCTGTTCACCACGTTTTGAGCTAGATCTTCGTAAGCTTTTGACACTACAGATCCAGGTGAAGACACAACCACAGGAACACCTTCATCAGAACCTTCTCTGATCTTCATTTCCAGTGGAATCTATAGAAACAACAGAAATAGTTTACCTTGTGAGGCCACGGACAGAATCTACAAGACTATAACGCAAAAAATATCGGTTTTGGCTTTCGATTATTTACCTCACCGATGAGTTTCAAACCCTTGTTTGCAGCCATACGGCGTGCTCCTTCTTTCCCAAATATGAAAGAAGCTTCGTTGCAGTGAGGACAAACGAAGCAACTCATGTTCTCCACAAGTCCCAATATCTAGTATCAAAACGCAGAAAAGGTTAAGCAGCTAAGCTAAGTCGAATCACATGTTTCCAAACACACATAAATACTAATTAGATGATCGTACAGGTACTCTAACTTTGTCGAACATGGAGATTCCTCGATTAGCATCAGCAAGCGCAACATCTTGTGGAGTTGACACAATTACAGCACCTGGAAACACAACCACCACAACTCTGATAACTATGCGTTTAGTCTAATCTAACAAAACTCGATGTGTGTATAAGTATATATATATATACCTGAGAGTTTCAGATTTTGAGATATGGTAATTTGGGCATCACCGGTTCCAGGAGGCATATCGACGACAAGAACATCGAGATCTCCCCAATCAACTCCTCTTGTCATCTTGGCAAGAGCACTCATTACCTGTAACAACAATACCCACAAGCTTTGATTACTGAGCGCAAAAGGTTTCAACTTTGATCAGCTTTTGTTCTTGTTGTTGCGTAAACTATACAAAGAAACACACCATAGGACCTCTCCACACAATCGGTGCATCTTTTTCTACAAGGAGTCCCATTGACATGCATTTCACTCCATAGTTCTCGACTGGAATCATCTTCATATCTTCAAAATTACAAGAAAAGTGTAAGCAAATATTTTAAAACACTAATCTGAATCTGCAAGAGGTTATATATCTATCTATGTATCTACCTTGGTTAACTTCAGGCTTTTGATTAATGTTCATCATGATTGGAACAGATGGTCCATATACATCAGCATCAAGTAATCCAATCTTCAATTGACATTTGTTGGCCAATGCAACAGCTAAGTTAACTACATCAACCAAAAAAATGACAGATTTCTCACATTATCAATTTGAGAGAACCAAACAATTTCAGTCTCACACCCAAAAAGTGTTGGAGAGATCTGATGTTACCAGCTGTGGAAGACTTTCCGACTCCGCCTTTACCAGACGCAACGGCGATGATATCTTTGACTCCATGTAACCGGAGCTCCGTCGTCCTCCCGCCGCCGCTGCAAGTCGAACTCTGCGAAAAAACGAAATGGCGAAATTGAAGTATCAAACCCCAAATCTCAAGCTAAGAGGATAACGAAGAACAAAACAAAGGATCAATCCTTACGAATTGAAAGGCAGAGACAGAAGCTAAGTGGAGTCCACGGCGGCGGAGCGACCGAAGAAGCGCGACGGAGGCCATGGGAGAGAGAAATGAGAGAGAGGAATGGGTGGGTCACGAGGGCAATTTAGGAAAATAGATAAATTTATGCAAAATTCCTATTAACAAGAGGAAGAAGAAGATTGGAACACCAATAGCTGAACAGAAAACTCCTTTGAAACCTTAAATCTTAACTTTAAGGTCCTTTCTTGCATTTTTCAAAATCGTGCTTTAACCAGAAGATACAAAATTGAAATTGGAGATACAAAGGGTTCAATAAAGAGAGAGCCTTTTGGCTTCGAGGAAAATTGCTTTGTGTCGAAGACTAGATATACACAAACCACAATTCGATTAATTTTGGATGTCTTCCAATTAGGCTTTGGTGTAAGACTGTGACACCTGGAGATAATACTACTGAAACTGCCATTCCTTATCGGGGTTGAATGTTGAAGCTCGATTTCTTCACAAGTTTTGTAAGACTCAACATTTTGTCTTGTTCCTTTTTCTTGTCAACATTTTTCTTATTCGGTTTCTTTTGTCAGCATTTGTCTTAATCTCTTTTTGGGAATTCGGGTTGTCAACGTTTGTTTTGTTCCTTCTAAAACCTCACATAGTGATGGTCTGTCTAGTATAGAAAAAGCAATGAAAATTAGTTTTCGTGGACTGCAAGTTAGTAATTCATTTGCCCCAAAAAAAATCAAGTTAGTTACATCTACGAAGATTGAAGTCCAGAAAATATCAAGTTAGTTACATCTAGAAAGATTGATATTTTTATGAGCTATTAATTATCTTCTTCTGAAAAAAATTGGATGAGGCTAGACAAATATCATCAAATTATATGCAAGCTCATCAAATTGTATATGTACGGATAATTTAAATTAAAAAAAAAAAAAAAAACTAATCACAAAAATGAAGCTTAAAGGGCAGCGCTAGCTTCCAAGAACGTTTCTTCGTTGATCTAAAAACCAAAACAATGATGAATTTTAGTAATACAAGTTCATTACTTAATTAGTTAATTAGCATCACAACACTGCTTCATTAGTTCTCTAAAATGATCCATCCTCCTTATTTGACATGAAAAATGAAGGCAATAGTTTTGTCAAACAAAAAGCTAAGGCAAACAGGTCAAGGCCGTTAGCTTTACACTGGTCACTTAACAAAAGGGTTCTTCGAGATAACATGAGTTCAAAATCGAGACACTATTGCTCGGTGGTGGCTTTCCTGCGAAGGTAATAATAACATAACATTTCGTTCAGGAAAATCCCAATTATTAAGAGACAACAAGGGATTGATATAGATCACTGAAACAAAGAACAACGAGGACTTATAAAGTCCAAATAGGAAGATAAATGAAGAGAAATGATATATCATTCATAAAGTGAGCTAGATAGATCCTTTTCTGAAGCCTTCTCCTTCTCCTTCTCCTTCAAAGCCATTATCAAACCATAGAACCTTGTGGACCAGTGAAACAGAGTTACAGTACCTTGAGGACTTCATCAATCATCTACAAATGGCAACGAGCCGGTCACATCCAGTGATAAGTCAATGTCAAACTTCAGCCATATAAGTAGATAGAAGTATAGAACTATCTATCCTTCGACACACCAAAGGGTCTGAAAAAACAATGCAACGTCTACAAGTTCACATTTCATTGTAAAATGTGTTTTTAACATATTTATCAAAGCTACCAAGAGAAATTCAAGACAAGAAAAAAATCCCAATAAGCATTCTACTACGTACCTTCCTTGTCTTCAAGACCACGTGTTAACACACATAAGGGGATTTCATCTCTTATTCTACCATTCTTTCTTTCTCCAACTTGTGAATGGGACCAACCTCGCACGGGCACAAAAGCCTCACTCGATGCACGATCAACGATGTCTGTAACTCTTATCCCTTGGAATCCACGGTCGTTCTCATCTGGAGCATATAGCAAACTCATCCCACACCTAACCACCTTGCAGCAATCTAGTTTCCTATTAGTTTCATCGGTAAGGTAGAATTCGAATGAGGCACTAGTGGGATGACATCTGTTATTACTACTCTCTTCACTCCGTTGGAAGACTGGCACATTACAGTTGTTATAGCTAATAAAAACATGGTCAGATCCAAGTTTCCTTGGTTCATGGCAAGACGACGATCCACATGACTCGTTCCATCCCCCAAGAGAGAAACTAAAGCTGATAGACTGATCGTTTTGGTTTTTGAATCTGCAATCGCATCTTATAGATAAACGGTTGGCATGATGATCCTTGAAGTTGACAACAACACATAGAGAAGCTCCAATAAATTTAGTGTTGCACCAGTGTGAACGCAGGTCGGTTTCTATCGAAGATCCCATTCTCTGATGACGGAACCATGAGGGTATGTCACTTCCTGGAAAGCAAACGGCAACCAGAGGATCTAGAACTAGTCCCTGTTACAAAGACAACCATTTAAGCATGAGCGTATGATCAAGATATCACCAGAAAAAACAGAGTAAAATGGAGATTAACCTTATGATTATGTTGAAGAGATGTTCTTGCAAGTAGCTGACTCTTGAGTTTGGCCTGAGCTACAATGGCTTCTTGTTCAGTTCGGTTCAGCTTGACGCAGTCCGTGAAAATGAAAGTAGTATGAATCCTTTCAGTAACTAGGGGAAGTGTCACTGGTTTAGCAACTTTTTCCAGAGAAACACATCCATGAGCATCTAAGTACTGAAGACTAGACGGAAGCACGGGAAGAGAACTGAGCTTGAGACAATGCTTCAAGTCAAGCAACAGCAGAGAAGAAAGCTTCTCGATGCTTACAGGCAGAGTCTCGATATTGTTTCTGCTCAAGCACAAACGCCTCAATGAGTGTAAGGAGCTAAAGTTGTCCGGAAATTTGTTGATATTGCAGTTCGTGAGATAGAGGTCTGATACACGAGAGCTTCCTGAGAAAGGCAACAATAACAACCCTGTGGAATCGTCGATGCTAGATCCACAGAACGAGAAAATCTTGACGTTGCTCAAGCAAATGGTTTCAGGTGTTTGTTTGATGGACGTTCCATCCATAAGCAAAATCTCCAAGCATTCCATCTTCTCTTTGATTGGTGGAAGACTCTCCAGCGCTGAACAGCCAGAGAGGATCAGTTCTTGAAGAGATTTCAGCTTGTAAAGATCGTTGGGAAGATACCTCAAACTGCGACAGTTCTTGAGATTCAGCAAAATAAGGTTGCAGAGACTTTCGATGCGTTCAACAACTCGTTCGATTGCTGAGCCTTCCAAATAAAGAGATTCGATATTTTCTGATATAATATGAAACTCCTGAAGCTTTGAGCAGCCACTGAGAATCAGAGTCTTGAGAGATTTTAAGTTGATTCCCTCTGGGAGACTCTTGAGGCTTGTGCAGTCTCGGAGGTTCAGGTAAATAAGTTTGTTCATCTGTTTGATTGATGAGTCCAACGCAGCCAAACTCGTACAGCCTTCAAGATCAAGTCTTTCAAGATTATTGGCCTTGGACAAACCTGATAAACTCAGCAAGCTTTTTGACTGACTTAGGTCGACCCATCTTAAATTTTCTGTATTCTGTGACACATAGACAATGATCAGAAATGCTAAAGACAATGTTGTCATACAAGATAACATATGGCCAACTATTCTATGTACCTGTTCCTCGTCCCAAAGTGTTTTGATGTGGCTATAACGCAGATTCAGATCGACAAGTTCCTCTGGATTGAATTCTGATGGAAGGTAATCGTAAGGATAACCTTGCCAGTGAAGGTACACAAGCTCATCTGGGAAATGACCAAGCCCTTCACAGAGCTGAAACTTATGTTCATTGTCACACCACTGAGAACAATGAGCGTTGTGGAATTTTAAGAACTTGAGATTTGACATCTTCTTGAAAGCAGCAGGGCTAAGCTTGATCCTTTCCACATTAGACATGTTCAAGAAAATCCCTCTAACATACTCAGTGCCCTGATATCAAAGTTACAAAAAAAAATAAGGAACAGTGAAAACAATGCAAGAAGAAACACATCAAGCGAAACGTGTATAGCTCTCACCGTGTTCTTCTCCAGGATATAACGAATATCTTTGTGGTTCCACAACCTACTACGTTTGCCAACCCTTTTGATGGATGATTCATATCCAATCTCTTTCCCCATTCTATGCAACAGATCATGCATCTCAAGCCTATTATAAGAAATAGTTACCAAGCATTTATCTTCAAGTTCTCTCATCACTGATGCAGCATTAACACGGTCTGATCTCAATATGCTCGAAACAAAATCTGCTTTTTCAGATCTGAAAAAACATGCTATGTCCAGAAACATGCTCTTCTGTTCATCATCTAGCTTTCTATAACTCTTTTCCAGCACTCTCTGAATCTCCTTGTCTGGTCTTTCCAGTAAACTCTCCCATTTCTCTGTCCAGTAAGATATATCCTTGAGAAGCAGACCCGAACCTAACAACGTCAAGGCTAAAGGATGCCCTTTGGTATAGTCTACAAGTTTGTTTGATAGATCCATAAACACTTCAGGAGGGTTGAGATTGATGTTGTCTGAGAATGCTTTCAGGCAGAAAAGCTCCATGGCTTCTCTGTCGTTCAATCTCGGAACTACATATGTTGCATCAGCTTTGTTCTGCAGCAGCTTCTTGTCTCTGGTGATGATAACAATCCTACTTCCTTTCTTGTACAATGCTTTCTCTCCGATGAGAACATCTATCTGTTCTTGATCAGTCACATTGTCCAATACAATAAACAATTTCTTGTTACGGAGATAGTTCTCCGGTCTCCCATACGCTCTCACATCAAAGCTTTCTACATCCAACAGTTTACAGAGGAGTTTCTCCCGCAAAGCACTTAACTGATGCCTTCCCAGCTCCTCGTCAACGTCGTCGACAAAATCGTAGCCGTCAAATCGCCGGAAGTTTCGCTTATAAACGGTATCAGCAACCAGTGTCTTGCCTATTCCGGCCATGCCAAGAACTCCAATGGTACGGACACAGTCATCATTACCAAACATTAACAACTCCTCTAGTTGTTTTGAACGTGGCTCAATCCCTGGAAAACCTTGGATTTCACATGGAGACAAATCATTCAGCATCCTGAGAGTTTCCTTGGTGATTTCATCGAAAAATTTAGTCTCCGGCCTGCCAATTTCCACATATGTCGGTCCAAATTTAGAAGCTTTAAGGAAATTGAACAAGCTGGAAAAACAAAACAGAGTAGCAATATCTACTGTCTTCAAGTTCTAACAGAGGATTTGTTAGTACCTGTCCTCAGGATATACAAAGCCAAGGATATTGGAAGCAATGCTCAGAGCTTCCTTCCATGCCTCAATCTTGGACCCATCTCCCCTGAAACTCTCCTCAGGGCTCAGAAATGGAGCTCCAAAACTCCCTTTCTGATTCTCAACATCAGATTTTTTGACTTTGTAGAAGATTGGTATGACACCATGACCGGATTTCTCTCTGCACTGTATGATCTTCCAGAGTTCCTCCAAGCACCAGGTGGAGTTGGCGTAGTTCTCCGAGAAGACGACGATCGACATCTTCGATTGCTCAATCCTGTCAAAGAGAACAGAGAGGTCCTCTCCTCGGAGGAGTTTCCCATCAGAGAAAACATCGATACCTTTCCCACGGAGAGACTTGAGGAGGTGAGAGGTGAAGGTGTTACGGGTGTCGCGGCCTCTGAAGCTCACAAACACGTCGTATTGGCGCTTCGAGGACGAAGAAGAGGAAGAAGGAAAAGCCATTAAAGGATGGCGATGATTCAGTTTCCTCTCTCTCTGTGGAAGAACAAGATTATACTGTTGATGGAAGAGACTTTTGAGTCTTTGAATAATGAATCTTTCCACAAAGGTTCTTTTGCATCATCAGCATTCAGCACACCTTTGTTGACTTTTCAAAAAGCCTTAACAAAAACTTCCACTTATCATTTCGAAGCAACTTACCAGTTTCCAACTGAAACCATCTGCTATATTCGACTCTCTTTCAGGGTATGTATATTATGAATCACGGCTTCGGTCTGCAAGTGAATAACACAAGCCGAGAAAGTTACAGAAACGTTTGACAACGGAGACAACTGATAAGTTGTAAATGTGCCTACCACATACACAGAAGAGTTTTTCTTTTCATCTTGTTCGTGACATTACATTCCACAAGGGCTGACGATTCCCAGACCAAAATTATTTGGAGTTTACAGACAAAGTGTGTAAAGCAGCACATGCAGTATTTTATTAAACATAAAAATCCTGCTTCGAAAAAAGACTGTGGAAACCATACTCTTAGAATAGCAGAAACAACTTGTCGTATCTTGTATTCCGACATCTTGAGCAATAATAAGCCACTGACGTCACTGAATTGAGTGTGAGTTTTGACTTCAGCATCCACATAAATTTCCAGCAAGGGACTGCAACTAAAATGAAAAAGAGGGTAGCATAGCAGAGTGAGAATAATAGTAGAACAGGTTGCACATTTGAGGATGCTGAAGAGCAAATGATTTATCAACTAGAGAAAATCAAAACAGAATCAACCAATTGGCTATATACCACTGACTTACATAAAGCAGAAACTGTACAAAATGAAAAACAAGAGAACTAACTTGTACACATGGTAATGAACTCGTGGCAGGGCAGGAACCGAGAAGCAGCATTTCCACGGTTCTTCAGGTAATGCGGATTAATTCCAGCTAAAGACACACCAGCTTCAGTGACAAATCCAAATTGTATGTCACCTGTGGATGTTTAGATGTTCTCCAGTAATAGAATTCTGGCCATGCACCTTGCAACTCTTTGATTTACACTGTAAACTAGAGAATTCAGAGGGCTTTCAGATAAAATCCACTCTCAATTCTCATATAAAGTGTTATAGAAGATTGACTGCAAAAACTCTTAAAACGGTGTTCGTCATCAAACTAAGGCCTCAAGTTTTGAAAGGCTCTCCAGACTTGAGCAACCAGAGAGCTTAAGCTCGACAATAGATCTCGAGTTCTTTATCCCAAATGGCAGGTGCTGAAGCCTTCTGCAGTTCTCCAGATCTAGCGTAACAAGTTCAGTTAAATTCTCGATTGACAACGGAAGCTCTGTTATGTCAGTCCCAGCTAGATATAACTGTTTCAAGTTTGGTGCAAAATCTTGAATCTCCTCGAGCTCTGAGCATCCAGACAAATTAAGAAGCCTGAGGCATGTTAAACCAAGCATGGCAGGCAAAGTTCGCAAATGAGAACAGTCTTTCATATTCAAAGAAACAAGCTTCCCACTAAGAGGAATGGATTTGCTAACGTCAACCAGACTCGTACATCCTTCAAGATCTATATATTCAAGGTTCATGGCTTCTGATAACATCATGACATCATTTAGATTTCTGGAGTGACTCAGTTTGATATTCTTTAGCTTCCCGAGATTCTGTTTACAACATGAATGACCAAAATGAGTCATCAGATGCAAGCTTATAAATTCACAAAAGTAGCTTAAACATAATGTCTAACACTTACTTTCTGCCTTTGCCATATCTTCTCCATGTTGCTATAAGGCATGTTTACCTCTACGAGGTTCTCAGGATTAAATTTCTGAGGCAAGTATTTCAGAGGGTAATACTCCCAGTGAAGTAGCCTTAGCTCATCGGGCAAAGTGTCGAGGCCTTGAGGTAGATGTAGCTTGCACTCATTCCAAGAGGTGGAACAATACAACTTCAGCAATCTAAGTCTATGCATCTCACTAAACACATTAGGACTCATCTGACAAGTCAAGTCAGACGCATCCATGAATATTCCCTCAATTGCTTCAGTTCCCTGACGAAAACAGATCACGTAACATTAGCTTGTACAACTAAAGAAAGGATAATTATGAAGTGTTAAAAGAACTAAACACACATGTCAACTTACTGAAGTGTTTTCCAATACATTGGCGATGTCGTTAGAGTCCCACAATCTGCTACGTTCGCATGGATCCTCGTCTTCCTCATGAACAATAAATCGACCCATGTCTTGAAAAGGAATAGGGATCTCTATCTTATTGTCCAGAAGGCTAATGAGCGACTCGTCAATGAGCTCACAAATTCCCAAATATGTAGGAAACCCACAAGCATCAAGTAATTGCACCACGTGATCTTTGTTCTCCCCTCTGAAAAAACATGCAAGGTCCAAAAATATGTTCTTTTCGTTTTCATCCAGTCCATCAAAGCTTCTCTGGAATGCTTCTTGAATCTTGGTTGGAGGATTTCTTCGCAAGCTTTGGAGATGTTCCTTCATATCGTTAATATGCTGCTTTGATACAGAGGAAACCAAAACTTTGAGAGCCAGTGGTATACCACTACTGCAGCTCATAAGCTCTGAGATGATCGCATTTTCTTCTTTTAAATACTGTTTGCACAGACGAAAAGATTCATTATCACATAACTTGTGGATCTCATATGGCTCTTTAACCTTACACTGTACAAGAACTTGTTTTCTCCTTGAAGTTAAGATGATTCTGTGTCCACGAGAAAACCAGCCAAACCCTCCAACTACATATTCTGCATCTCTGGCACTGCTCACGTCATCAAGAACAACGAGAATCGCTTTATTGTGGAACCAGTCCCGCATGAAACTCTGCTTTGTATCACAAGCGCCTATACTTAGTTTTTCTTCCCCAAATACTTTAGAGAAGAAATCATCACGCATTTGCCTCAGCCCTTTTCTTTGACACATTAGATGGAAGTCTTGCAGAAAGTAGCACAAATCATATTGTGGAGCTAGTATTTCGAAAACTTCTGTAGCAATGGATGTCTTACCTACTCCTGCCATGCCCCAGATTCCCTCAATTTCCGCTTCTGAAGGCTGGGGGTGATTTAGCAGTGCTAAGATTCTGACCAGATTCTTGCTATTTTTCAATTGTAGCCTTAAGCATATGTTCCTTACAACTTTCTTGACAAGCATAAACTGAGTCCTGCAAAAGAAAGACAAAGAAATGGAAGTACCAAATGAACACCACATTGATAAGATAAAACCCTTCACTACTTTGAAAACGTTAGTAAACATATTGGATATTGCCTAAAAGAAATTTCCAGAGAAACATGTGTCAGTGTCACAATGTACAAATAGTAAGAGACATCTAGGAGAAGTCAATTTACCCCTTTGACCATTGATATCCATCAATGGACGCCATTTCAGTCAGAGCCGCCTTCCATTTCGGAATTCTGTCTGCCTGGATAGAGCTCGAATACTGCAGAAGTACTTCTTCCGAATGGCCTTCCAACCCACAAACGTCTGAGAGTGTTACCTTAAAAAATACAGGAACAATTACAAGGTTTTTTGCTTTCCAATGCTCCATGATTGCCAGCAGGTTATCCAAGTACTGACTACCACGAGCAAAACAACTATTTGAAACAACCATAATACCAACACTAGATCTGTAAAGCATCTCCGAGTCCAGGTCCTCTCTCCCTGATAGGTTGTATGTCAAAGGAGTGACCTCTCGCTCGTACAACTCTTTTAAGATGGCTTTGTTGAAAGATGTTTCCTCCACATCAAGATTGTCGTTGCACGAAAAGAAAAAAATGGATTCAGTTTCTCGAGTCATCTCCCTCGTCTCCTTCATGTATGAAACTACAGCTAGACTGCGAAACGGATTGTCCTTTGGTTTTATGCCGTACGCCTCACACGCAGCAATGAGACCCCCGACGAGGGCCGTGGAGTTACCCAAAGTAGTCATCTCCAAGCGGAGAAATTCAATGGCGTCTTTGGCTCTGCACCCAGAGATATTCAACGGACGCAGGCGGTTGTTGAGGAACTCACAGAAGGAGTACCAGTTATCGTTCCGGCTCCTCATGTAGGCAGCTGTATCGGTGGATTTGCCTGCAGCAATGGAATTGTTGATCCCTAAACCTGACTCACCTGATCCTTTGGTTGATTGTGGATGCTTCTCACCAAGGAATGCTTCTCCTCCAGAACGCTCCCCTTCCAAAACCACTTTTTGATCTTCTTTCTTCAGTTGATCATTAACACTTTCCTTCTTTGGCCCGGCCTTCTTCCTCGGCTCAACCGAAATTATGTCAGCTGACCAGTGCTTTCTCAATTGCATTATTACCGGAAATAAAACCATTGTCCGCTTCCCAATCATGGTCACCCTCTCGTCCCCATCGAAGGTTACAGAAGAGACTCCTAAACACGACAACCATAGTAGAAGTAGGAAAAGTAAACCATCTGGAGATAAGTCTCGGAAGCTAAGTAGTAATCAACTAAGAATTAATGAAATATACACTAGAAAATATAAAATCTTTACTTCTACATCAACTAAACGGTTCCAATCTTCAATGATTAGAAGCTTCTCTGTTTTAGTAGCAAAATTCAAATCATAATCCCAGTTGACGAGGAAGAAAAATAGCAACTGAATGGCACAACCTCTATCAATCTCTTTCTCTAAAACAAGACACGCCTATGAACTAACAGTTCACTATATTACTTGTTCGAGAAAGTGTCGTTCCTTTTATTTTTCAGTAGTTGTGACATTCGAACTAAAGCTTGACTAGACCAATAAAAGCTCACCTGTCAAGAATCAGTCAAGAATCGACTGGTGGTAGATAGATCAAGTCCGTTTTATTTTCCGGAAATTGCAAGGAAATTAAAAGAAAATCACCTGAGATCTGAGCAAGTGTAAGAAGGGCCTTAGCTTTGTCCGCGTCAGTACGTAGAATAACTCTCAAAACAACTACCTACAAATAATCAGTTTTCACTTGTAAGATGGAGAAACGTTTTGTAACAAAATATCAAGAAAAACCATTAGTCTCCCAATCGCAATATATCATATTATAAATATTTGACAAAGCTAGCTAGTATATCCATGAACTCAGACAGACCATCTGGTCCTCTTCCAATTCGTCGGCTAAGCTCTTCGTTTTGTCACTGGAGCTTGTTCCCGTAGCCAAGCCATTAATCAAGTTATTCAGGCTCGAGAGGAACGAACCCGGGCCTCTCCCACTCCCAGAATATGTCGTCATCAAAATGATCAAACACACAACACCTTTGGTACCAAAATCAGAAATATCAACAAGAGAACGATCTCCAAAGTCCAAACTTCACAGCCTTAGATTACGAAATTGCAAAAGCCTCAGATCGCTCCCAAGATAAGATTCAAAGAGAATGGAATTATAGGAAAGTTTAGCAAGTGGATTTTGGCAGAAATCTGTACATTAGGTAGGGGCAGGGTCGAGAGAGAGAGAGAGAAAGCCTCCTAGTCTTTACCTTTTTAATTTTTAACTAGGAGAGAACCCGCGCAACGCGCGCGGGATTTTATTTATTTACATAAAATATATTTTTTTTTCCAATTTTGAAAAACATTTTTGGGTTTTGTGCAGTTATTAATTATTAATTTACTGAATGTTATGTTTCTTTTTGATAATTTAATTTACTTATTTTATTTAAATTAATTTATTACAAAATCGTTGACCATTTATATTATAGGCTACATGTGATTGTTTATTTTGTAAAGTACTGTCTACAGTGAACTAAAACTATAACTTCTTTCCACTTCAGTGATTTTGATGTAATTTAACATAATTCAGTACTAATTCAGTTCAGAACAAATGGGAAAAGAACTGGTTGGATTCATGATAAACCAAAATACTTAATAATGATGATATAGTTATAGAATTGGCTGATTCCTGACCATACAAAAGGCAAATAACTTGGTCATTGAAAGTCTTTGTTTCGAAAGCATATAGAAAGAAAACCAAACAATCGCATTTTGATAACCAACAAAGGCAAATAACTACAAAAAAACTCTTTTAAGCTTTTTCCAGGCATCATAGATATTGTCCCTCGAGAGGAGCCTGCCGCTTATCATCATTGCTCTCATCTTCACAAAGTTTCCATTGATTTATCACTACACAAATTATAGGACCCAGAGGAAAAAAAAAGAAGGGTGAGCTAACGTAAGCTTAATAGGTTTGTAAACATGGGTGAAGCTTTACAGTGACTGTACCTAATGATAGAAAACAACAGCTGAATAAGTGAAGTCTGTGGTGCAAACTCTGAACTGTGCTCCAGTTCCATTAACTTTAAGAGTTATCCATTCATACTCATTTAACATAACCCTATATATTTTCATTTCAACTGTGGGTAAAAAAGAAAAGAAACTGAATCATTACCTCATAGTACAGTTCCAGAACATTTGAGGTCACAAGAGTGTCTTGTGTACCCTTCATCTAGGTGTGAATCGGCACAATGCGCGGATATACTAACTATTTATTTATTAGGAAATGTCAATAGTAGCAAAGGAAGACTTCTTTTATTCGAGTTTGTATAGCACAAGCATTAAGCAAATACACCAAGTTCACGAGGTTATATGAACAAACTCAAACACAAACATCACAGATTATGAAAGAAAAAAAAAGGAAATGTATAACAAGCCTGAGACACAAGTCCTATATCCAAAACAGAGTCTCTCTGGCCTTGCTCCACCTTCCCACATTACACGTTCAGACAGAATCTGCAGCCAATAAAAGAAAAAAAAATTGTTATTGGGATTTGATGAAAGTTGGTAATAAGGTTAGTAAGAGTTATTGATTTACTCAACTCTGACATCCACCCAGGTTGAGACTTCATCCAAGCTCTCGAGGAGATGCATGTTCTGTAGTTTTTTTGACTGAAAAGCTTGAGTCTGATGGAACACAAAACTAAGCATGAGAAACACGAAAAATGAAAACAGTCACCTTTAACGAATCAATACTCTTTCTACTTTGAAAGGCAACTTCCGTTCCTGCATTTGGAGAGAGGAAACGAAATGCTTACAGCTTTGGTGGACGGAGGATCAGGAGTTCCTTCTGATTTTTGCATTTCCTTCTCATCTGATGCAAGTGAATCATCCCTGAAGAAGAAACGAAGGAAACATTTTCAAACAAGCGAGAGAAGACAATGTTTTGGAAAGTAAAAAAACGTTGATTATAGGACAGACCAGTCAGCTTCAGTGGTTCTCTTTAACAACTAAATATTGCTTTAAGAGAAAGAGATGAATCTCAAGTTGCTTATCCATTTGCATATCATATGAGTAACATTAACGAAATCGTCTCTTTTTGGTTAATAACCAATAATCAAATGATTTTGAGCAAACAGAGGTGGGACAAGAGAGAAGAACAAACCCTCCAATGGCTCCAAGAGGTACTGCGTCTGATTCTTTTGCAGCCGAGATGGTCTCCTTAAGCAAAGGCTGTCCTACCAAGATCCAAAGCAGCTCCTCCTATGGGCATCTGCCGGATAAACAACACAGAAGCAATGCTTAGACAAACCGTGACCAGTATTCCAAATAAATCCCAACTATGATTCTATATCTAAACTCCCCATGGATAATAAAAGTCCTTTCTCCAAAAGAAAGAAAAACATATGATTCCGCTTCTCACGTCTTTTAATTTGTGTCGATTTAATTTCCAAACAGAAACGGTAAATTCCCCAAATTATCTCTTGTTCAAATCGGAAACAAAGCAGGAACAACATTAAAAGTATGAGATCAAAAGAGAGAAACTGTCTAATGATTCTTACCGGCTTTGATCAAATTTATGTGATTTGCTTAACGGAACATAAGGATATACTTCGAGCTGCTTCAACTTTCTTCTCGTCCTGATCTGGAAAATATGTAGCTTTGCGCTGCTGCAGAACCTGGAGAGGTTTAAACAATAGTCTCCACACTCATCCGAAGCTAATCAAAACGACGAATTTGATCATGAATCTGAGATTGAAGCAAATCTTTTTCTTACAAGCCTAATTGCTGCGTTTTGGCCAAGAAAATACTATGTTTCTCTTTTCTCTCGGGAAAATCACAAAGAAACGTACCTCACCGGAAGCAATCCTGAGAAATTTGGATTTGTATCTGAACAAACGGATCATATGCTCTTCTGCTCTTCTTGCATAAGTCCTTGGCGACAGAAGGAGACAACTGTTAAACAAAACAGAGAGCAAGATATCATCGTCACCAATACAAAAAATTGGCAGAAAGTTTCAGCTAATGGATACATTCAACCTCAAAAATCAAAACATTAGCAAAGTAACAATGTTCTTTGAACATTTATGAAAGAAGTTAAACTTTTGTATCTAAAGTTTGATATTTGATTTCACCTTAACGACTGGTGAATCAAGCTGAGGAGAGACGCTTCGAGTATGAAGATTAAGTTAAAGGGAATATAACCGTTGTATCAAGATTCCAAGCACCAGCTGCAGCAGCAACTTCCATGCCAATGTAACCACCACCAACAATGACAACTTTATTTGCCTTTCCCTGACTCATATATTGGAAGGTTATTTTTCAGGTAAGAGATTCCTAATACATATGCATAGTGTAACATTTCATAAAAATGACGTAACTGATAAAATTGCCTTTAGGTTACCAGAGATGATATCAATTGAATCAGCAGTGCAACCTCAAGGATATAGTGAACCCCAGGCAAGTGCCCACCAATTTTTCAGGGAACCTGCAAGGAAAACAGAATGCAAATATTTATAACATCAACTGACAAGGTTAATAAGTCCGAATGTTGTTTATCAATTATTTGCAAAAAGAATGTCACTTTACTCACCTTGAGGCTGTACACCCTGTAGCAATAATTGGTGATACATATTTTAAATGCTTCCCTGTGGTTGTTGTGAGGGTTTGCTTTTCAAAATCAGCTCCAGTTACTGGATCTTCATATATCATCTGTTCAAAATTCCAAATGCATTAGTCTAAGACTCTTAACTCAAATAGACATAGTTTGGAAAAAAGCTACAAAAACAAAGTGACAAGGATCAACTTGAAATCCCAAATCGCAAGGAGAGTAACAAACAACATAATGAGCTTACAAAATCTTCTGCACTTGCTATAAGATTTAGAAAAATCCTAAGTTGGTAACAGAGTAGATCTAATCTAACGAACATACCAATCTCTGACAAGATCCAATATTTTTCATACACAGAGAAGGTAAACAGAGAGATCTCTATATATACTTACTTGGCAGATATTGCAGCGAGGAAATTTGGTGGAGAGAGAATCGAGATGAAGGCGTTGGTGCGTGATGAGATTTAGGGGTTCATACCTGAAGCATGACCAAGTAGATTGAGTACCTTCTGATCAGGTAGAAGCATGACAATCCCATTTTTCTTTGAATCCTCGTGACCTCATAGACCCAGAGACGAGCAAGGGTGGAGAGGAAGGATTTTGGTGCGCATAAAATCAGATAAAACCTGAAAGCAAAGCGACGTCGTTTTGGTTGCAAAGGGAAGGGGAATCGAAGATAACAAACGACGTCGTTTTGGTGCCAGATGGGAGTGTCCAAACGACGTCGTTTTGGCGTTGGGAGGAAGAAAAAAAAAAGTGTCACGTGTCCCCAGCTGGATAGTGTCCAAGCTTATGTAGATTTGTTTTTTTGAGCTCCTATTCTCCTAAGCTTTTTGAATGTTTTTTTTCAACAAGGAGGTACTTGTAATCTACTTCAACTTATCGAAGACTATCTTAACAAAGTCCTATTTCCAATAGGACAATATGGAAACCATTATCTAAACATAACACAAACAATGAATTTCCTAATCCACGCAACAGATATTCCTATTTAATATTAGTTTCCTATCCCAACAAATAATCTGGGGCATATTCTATTACCGTAATGTTGACTTGATACTGTACAAGGTCTTAGCGTCCGAGCACTTGCAAGTGAGGTAATCAGAATTTCTGACGAGTGTTCTGATGTGATGAACTTCCAATCTGAAACATGGATAATAAATTTAGCCACCCAAAAAGTTCAACAATAACAGAGCGGCATCTTTATCGCAGTATTACTTGGCAACTTGGACATAGTGCCTTCTAATTAAAATACAAAAGCCAAGGGATGATATTCATTTAAAATTCGATCTGATTTAGTTGCAACTAAAAAATGCAACTGACCAGTAGTTGAATCCTCCTTTCTCCAGTCCCTCAGATCCATTCCTCTCCTTATCCTCTGCACACAACCCTTCTCCTTTCATTGTCATCAACCTTTTATTGTCTTGAAAGACTTCCCACTTTCGGTTTCACAAAATCAAGCTTCCAGTTCGATTCCATTGCACTTCCAAACTCAACTTTTCCGCTTTCGGAGATCAAGACTTGAGCAACCAGAAAGCTTAAGCTCGGCAATAGATCTCGAGTTCTTTATCCCAAATGGCAGGTGCTGAAGCCTTCTGCAGTTCTCCAGATCTAGCGTAACAAGTTGACCAATATTATCGGTTGACAATAGAAGCTCTGTTATGGCAGTCCCAGCTAGATATAACTGTTTCAAGTTTGGTGCAAAATTCTGAATCTCCTCGAGCTCTGAGCATCCAGACAAATTAAGAAGCCTGAGGCATGTTAAACCAAGCATGGCAGGCAAAGTTCGCAAATGAGAACAGTCTTTCATATTCAAAGAAACAAGCTTCCCACTAAGAGGAATGGATGTGCTAACGTCAACCAGACTCGTACATCCTTCAAGATCTATATATTCAAGGTTCATGGCTTCTGATAACATCATGACATCATTTAGATTTCTGGAGTGACTCAGTTTGATTTTCTTTAGCTTCCCGAGATTCTGTTTACAACATGAATGTCCAAAATGAGTCATCAGATGCAAGCTTATAAATTCATAAAAGTAGCTTAAACATAATGTCTAACACTTACTTTCTGCCTTTGCCATAACTTCTCCATGTTGCTATAAGGCATGTTTACCTCTACGAGGTTCTCAGGAATAAATTTCTGAGGCAAGTATTTCAGAGGGTAATTCTCCCAGTGAAGTAGCCTTAGCTCATCAGGCAAAATGTCAATGCCTTGAGGTAGATTTAGCTTGCACTCATTCCCAGATGTGGAGCTATAAAACTTCAGCAATCTAAGTCTATGCATCTCACTAAACACAGTAGGACTCAACTCACAGGTCAAGTCAGACGCATCCATGAATATTCCCTCAATTGCTTCAGTTCCCTGACGAAAACAGATCACATAACATCAGCTTGTACAACTAAAGATAGGATAATTATAAAGTGTTAAAAGAACTAAACACACATGTCAACTTACTGAATTGTTTTTCAATACATTGGCGATGTCGTTAGAGTCCCACAATCTGCTACGTTCGCATGGATCCTCGTCTTCCTCATGAACAATAAATCGACCCATGTCTTGAAAAGGAATAGGGATCTCTATCTTATTGTCCGAAAGGCTAATGAGAGACTCGTCAATGAGCTCACAGATTCCCAAATATGTACAAAACCCACAAGCATCAAGTAATTGCACCACGTGATCTTTGTCCTCCCCTCTGAAAAAACATGCAAGGTCCAAAAATATGTTCTTTTCGTTTTCATCCAGTCCATCAAAGCTTCTCCGAAATGTTTCCTGAATCGGAGATGGAGGAATCCTCCGCAATCTCTGAAGATGTTCCTTCATATCGTTTACATGCTTCTTTGATAAAGTAGAACCCAAAACTTTGAGGACCAATGGGATACCACTACTGCAGCTCATAAGCTCCGAGATGACCTCACTTTCTTCATTTAAATATAGTTTGCTGAGACGAAAAGATTCAAACTCTGATAATTTTTGGATCGCATATGGCTCTTTGACCTTACACTGTACAAGAACTTGTTTTCTCCTAGAGGTTAAAATGATTCTGTGTCCATGAGAAAACCAGCCAAACCCACCAACTACAGCTTCTACATCTCTGGCATTACTCACGTCATCAAGAACAACAAGAATCGTTTTTTTGTGGAACCAGTTCCTCATGAAACTTGGTTTTACATCAGAAGCCCCTATGCTCAGTTTTTCTTCCCCAAATACTTTAGAATAAAAATCATCACGCATTTGCCTCAGCCCTTTCATTTGACACATTAGATAAAAGTCTTGCAGAAAGTAGCACAAATCATATTGCGGAGCTAGATTTCCAAATATTTCTCTAGCAATGGATGTCTTACCTATTCCTGCCATACCCCAAATTCCCACAATATCAGCGTCTGAAGGGTGGGAGTGATCTAACAATGCTAAGATTCTGACCAGATTCTTGCTATTTTTCAAATACAGCCTTAAGCATGCGCTACTTACAACTTCCTCGGCAAGCATAACCTGAGTCCTGCAACAACAGAAAGAAAAAAAAACAGATGTATCGATTAACACCATGCTGATAAGAAAGCATCTCCAAATGTTACGAAATGGTAATATGCACATTGGATGTTTTCTAGCGAAATATCCAATGGAACAAATAGTAATGGGAAAAGTAAGAGAAGTCAATTTACTCTTTTGTCCATTCACGTCCATCGATGGACGCTATTTCAGCTAAAGTCGCCTTCCATTTTTGAACTATGCCTGGCTGGACAGAATTCATATACTGCAGAAATGCTGATTCAAACCTGCCTTCCATTCCACAAATGTCTGAAAGTGTTACCTTAAAACGTATTGGCATAATTTCAAGGTCTTTTGCTTTCCAATGTTCCATGATGGCCACAAGATGATCCATGGACTCTCTAGCGCAAGCATAGCTATTTGAAAGTACCATAATACCAACACTAGACCTGCGTAGGATCTCCAGGTCGATGTTCTTTCTCCGTGATAGACTGTATGTCAAAGGGGTGACCCCTCTCTCTTGCAATTTTATTGAGATGGTATCGATGAAAAGTGCTTCGTCCAAATCATTGTCACTGCACGAAAAGACTAATATGCATTCTGTTTCTCGATGTATCCTTTTCGCCACCTTCAAGTATGCTGTTACAGCTGCGCTGTGGAAAAAAGGATTGTCCTCCGGTTTTATGCCCAACACTTCACACGCAGCACTAAGGCGGCTAACAAGGGTCTCTACGTCAGCCGAAGCCTGGTGTTTGCAGACAAACTCAATGATGTCTTCGGCTCTGCACACAGAGGGAGTCAATGGAGGCACGCGGGTGGCAAGGAACTTGCAGAAGGAGTTCCATTTCTCGTTTGGGTAACTTTGGTTTCTCATATTGGAAGGTATATTAGTCGGTTTGCCTGCAACTTTTGTAATGGTGGACCCTGAACCAGAGTCAGTTGGTCTTGAAAACTTTGAATCACTCAACGAGTTAGCCACAGCAAGCGCCAACTCCTCGTCCTCGTCCATATGTTGCTTGCTACGACTTTTTTCTGACTCGTCTTCGTTCACCTTCCCCAGTACATCTTGCAAAGTATCTGACACGGTTATCTCATCGTCACCATCACCAGCTACAGAAGAGATTCCTAAACACGAAAACAACAGAAGAAGGAAAAAGTAGAAACTTAGATCAACATATGGCAGTTCCAAGCGAAAGAAAAAGCTGAGGATTTGGTACCGTCAAACGGCGGCTGAGTTCGTAGCTTCTTCTTGGGAGAGAGATGGATTGAAGTTGCAGGCATTTCGGATACCAATTCCACGAGCCATGGGTTTACCCGCTTCATCTTTTGCAGCAAACCCCGTTCGTCCCAAGCTACCTATAACCATAACCGCAACACTTTCAGAGTTTTTCCAGCGTTTGCAAAGAGATTTTGTAAATGAAGAAAATTGAGACCTGGAGCAGACGCCATGGGGAATCAGGCCAGCGGATTGGATCGGCGACTTCAACTGCCGAGACAGTGCCCGTGAACCAGCTGATTCCAGAAAAGTCATCTGTTTCAAACGCCATTTTAAACCTCATGCCACTGCACCATATTATCCTCATTGCTGCTCTCACATCAGCCGCTTTCACGCAGAACTCCGGCGTGCTCGCGCCAGGGTAATAAACCACCTCGAACGCTTGCCCACACGCCACCGCTTCCGCCACTGCCTCCACCGTTACCCTCTCAACCGTGTTCATGTCTCCGCGGATGAAATTCGAAATCCAGGGGTAAGGCCAGCGTTTGACGCGGCGGATACCGACGCAGAGTTCGCCGGATTCGGAGCGGAAGAAGACGATTGAGTCGCCAGCGATGAGACTCTTCCGGTTGACGAAGGTACTCCAGCCGGTGGTCAGGACATGACGGCGAGGCGTTCCACTGAAGGTGTGTAGAAATTTCCAGGTCTCGCCGTGGATATCTTTGGCGATGATGGTCTGGACCGGAGATTCGGCCGTGTAGTCAAGCCGCGGGAAGACCGTCTCAGCGCAGCGACGCGGCACGGAGAATCCGCCGCCGTCGTTGGTGTCATTGTGCGTCAGCGGTTTGGTGAAAAACACCGGTTTCTCGCTGCCGTTACCGCCTGGAGGAATTGGACTTTCAACGGCGTCGTCCGGCAGTGGCAGAAGTGTAATTTTGGCATAGACATCGTCGGTGTCCACACCGGCGAGGAACTTTAAAGCGACGACGCGGCAGAGGATGAGTGGTGGGACGCGCGGGGCGTGAAAATCAGTGGGCGGCGCTTGGGCGTGCTCAAGATGGCCTTGAGGGAAGTAGAAGACCGTTGAATTTAATGAAGGGATTTGAACAGTTGATCCTGCAAAAGCATGCCATAGCTTTGGATCCAAGGTTGTCTCTTGCTCCATCTCTTAATTACTAGCATACCTCAAGAAACAATCCAAATTGTGCCACAACACAAGATCAGAGAATCAATTGCTCGTTTGCCATGAATTGTGAAGAACTATTTGCAAATGTTAAAGTTCAGTGGGCCCGCATAAGTAAGGAAAAAAAGAAGAAGTCAAGAGTATATTTCACAACCTTTGAGAGGAAAAAAAAGGCTGCCGAAAAAAACAATGAGAAATGTCTGGTTCCTGATCCTATTCTTTTTCTGATCAACAATGCTACTAGTGAATAATGATGTTATTATCTAAAGGATTCATCGAATTCTCCATCTGCTGCTATTTACAGCTCTTCTTTCAGTCTCATCTTCATCATAGCCATTAGCTTGGCAAGACAACTAGGCCAATCTAGGAGGATTCCTTATAGATAACTTTCAAATTGACATATTGTACTATTTTGGGATTCCTTATAGATAACTTTCAAATTGACATATTGTACTATTTTGCTGGTTGATTGTTGCTGGAGGTGTTCATAATACGGACACTTGAAATACTCAACAACAACAAATATAAAATCTTGGATATTATAATACGGGCACGCTGAAGATTTTACGCCTCGGATAAGAATAGAAGAATATATACGTCTAAATAAAATATACTGCTTTAACTCTTCCAACAACTCCTGTCCAATCAGTCGTACCGCTTACAACTCGCCAAAAAATGAAGAGCAACATCGAGGCAAATGAAAAGATCCAAACAAGATGAAAGAGACTCTACAGAGATACTCTTTGGCTTCCAAACTTTTGGTACAACCATAGTTTGATAATAATATTCATCTGAGCCCATAACTGTAACATGCCTGCATTTAAAGGTCCAAACCAAACAATCAGAACTCTCTCGTTTTCATGCAGCAACTGAACAAAACTAACTGAACTAAAATTGGTTTGCTTTCCACAAATCACCCCATGAAAGGATTACATATCATATTTTGTATTTGATTTAGTAAACGCCTTCGGTTGCAGAGAGTGGTTTCATTGGTGATGGAGGCAGAGGGAAGGAATTTGTGTTACCTGTACGTTAAATCTACAGGACCAGTAATCCATCCTCATACCCAAACTCTTGAGTTTTTGTTGACTTTATAAAGGAAGTGAGAAGAAATAAATTGCTGTACAACGACGACCTTCATCACTCAGCTTCGCTTCCTTCTTCTTCTTCTCTAAAGTGTTGTGCAAAGTATTCATCCAGTTGTCCCCAGTTTGGGATGCCTGATTCATTGGCATTGTCGGATGGTAACGACCGGATGCATTTGAGAATCAGCTCAATGTGAAGCTTCAGCCTGATTAAAACGAGACAAACGTTTACTACAGAACCTAAATTTGTTATTTTTTTTCTGCATGATAGAAAGTTACCTTTTCTTTGCCTCTGGAGAGCTTATCTCCAAGTTAGTAAGCGTTTGCGAGGTTTGTGTGTGGATAATTGAAATCACCTGCCTACAGGAATCATGAAAATGTATTATGGAGTATGATAAAAGAAAGTGACATTAGAAACCGACAGATTACTTCCTTCCTTGAGCATTTATAAGAAATAAACAGTAATGTGTTGTGTTATACCGCAAAGCTGAAGACATGTGAACGGGCACAAGAAAAAATGCAAAACCAGTAGAAAGTTATTGAGGTCTGCCAATCTCAGGTGTTTTTGCCATAGCACAAGATCAAGGCTCTAATTGGTCAGATAGTTTGTTTTTGTTAACTTGACTCTAATTCTAAGCAACTGATTGGCTACTATCCTAAAATAAGTAAATTCAAGTCCACATTACAATTTTATGCAGCCCTAAATGTCCTTTTACGAAAGTTGCATATATGCTCACCTGAAGATTGCTTGAACATCCGCTTCATGCAATGTCTCAGACAACACACGATGAAGGTAGCCAACTTCCTGTAAAATTTTACGCACATTAAAAACACTACAGTTAATATTTACAAGATTAGTGAATGTGAATAAATCACCCTCGTGAGCGGCCAAGCAAACTCTTTAGTTTGTTTGTTGGTGTCTGGCGGTCTGTTCCAGCCCTCAACAACTTTAGGCAGCCCATGAAGATGCGCCAACAGTCTTTCTCTCATTATCTGAACCAGTTTTGTGTATATTTCATCTCGATGAATCCTGTAATCCTGAGAATTGGCGAGAAGCAAAGTTAATGGAAACGGGCACTAAAAACGGCCATCCTAACACTTGTATTCTAGAAACCTAGAGATAACTAACGTGTCTGAACTTTTTTCCCAACTACTGTATATCCTTATCAGGTGTTCAACAACCTCCCAAACCTAACAACCTGTAAGAGTAAAGAGACTAAAGGCAGAAGGCAAAGAGAAAAACATACCTGAGAAACTTTATCAATCTCTACTGACAACAGTGGCTTTCTCGTCTCAGGAACTTTTGAAAGCAGAATACTTCTGGATTCTAGGACCACAAAAGAAAAAAAGCAGTCAGGCAGAAACCTACAGGAAAATGAGCTAGGGATGATTATAACATGTAATTCGGACATGTAGAAACACCCCAACAACCAAAATAACCATCATAAGAAAGCTCATATTTTGGACAAAAAAGTGAGGAAAGAAATGCTTCGATAACACAAAGTAAAAGACTATTACAGAGGAGTATCAAATGGTGTCAATACATTATTCATTCCGCCAAACACATTATGACTGCAACAATTAGAAAAAAATTATAAAATATCACCTACCAGAAATAATAGTGCAGGTGAAGTCGATTACTTGACTTGCAAGAGCCAAGTGCTTCGCTTTTATGGACTTCAAACCAGATACCTATAGCATAAAAATGGGCACTCAAACGGTCAATATTAATGCAGATTACATCTATTTTGCGTACATAAAAAACAAATTCCTTTGATGTCAAAAAAAGTTCAACGGCAAAAGAGTAGTAGGTGAGGTGTACATCTGGCTATGCTATGGCTCATAGGTTATTATTGGTTAGAAAACTCAATACAGCTAATAAATACTACTATTTTCTCCATTTAAAGCATATTCATACCTGCATAGCACCAGCACCCAGAACAAGATAGCATGTCCTAGTGTTGAAGAACCTCAACACTTCAACAACACGAAGAACAATTTCCGGGGACAAAGCTGGCAAAGAATTGTTCATATCAATGTATTCTGACAACATCTTGAGCAATATTAACCCACTGCAGAAATAAAAAGGTATTACATCAGCATAACTAAACTTCCAGCCGGGATTGCAGCTAGCATCAAGGAATATAAACCTAGCAAACGGGACAAATAGTTAAGAGAGTAGAAAAATATTCATCAATCAACAGCCGGCCATTCAGATTACTATAGAAAAAGACATATGTAACAAGAAAACTAACCAGTTTACCATGTGGTAACCAACTCCTTGATAGAAAAGTTTAGATTTTCCGTGCGCCTTCTGATTACTTTGATTATTCGCAACTGAAGAGACACCAGCCTTGCTTCTTTCAACAGACTCAGGCGAAACTGTGGATTTCACTTGTGCATCACTAACTGCAGGACCTTCACTAGATTCAGATTTTTCATTTCGCAATTCAGTATGTTGATCCCCAGTTCCTGAAGTGAGAGACCCATTGAGAGGGAGCGGATTTCTGTGGTATGTACTAATATCAGCATCATCATGTTTCCCAGATATCAACTCCGGGGATGGAAAAAGAGAACTGATTATGGATTGGAATTCTTCGGGAACATCTATCTCATCCCATGTTTCTTGATCAAGCACAGCTTTCAGTTTATTCATCTACGGTAGTACAAAATACAAAATAAGATTAGTGACCAGAATTCTTGATAGTGAAAGAAGTTAGATGGTCTAAGATTTACAGAATATGCTACTACGGGATGAAGTCAATATGGTTCAACACTACTTGGTTATCAACAGTAAATTACACGCTACTGCTAGACAAAGTACAGATCAGATGGATTGGGCATATTGCTCCTGGTATCACTTTTTCTGCCACTTTTTCACTACTTTTCTTTGTAAGCCATAAAACTAAACAAAAGCGTAGATGTGCTTGCTGTAAAAGGTAAACATGTATCTATACAGAGACTAACCCGAGCTTCATGCTGGCAAGTTACAAAGGCTATGGCTTGTGATTGTAGCGTCGCACGAATACTAAATCCCAATCGTCCACCCATCTGTTGAATTCCGTACAAATGTCACACAAGAATAAGAAATACTTTCTTACCTCTTATGTGAATAAAAGTTCCGAGCAAATACCTTCTCCGAAGCTGATACAAAATCTTGGGTGAGATCATAGATGCTCATAAACTCCTGCAATTTTAATTTTGGATGAAGATGAGCACGAACTCCTAGTAGCTTTGCCCACCTAGCATGAGTAACCTCACAAGCCGCAAAGACAGCTTCTGTGTTTTCTCTCAAGATATCGGCCCTATATAAATAAGAAAGAAAATGCCTAATCAACTCCAAGCTTAGAACAAAGGCTTGTGTTACAGAAAACTGCGAGACTTTAAAAGAATACGTTAGAAAACCTGAAGTTTCTTGACATGTTCATCAAGCTAGATGCATCGCTCGATTTTCCCTGCAACGGAGGGGCCTTTGAGGAAGCCTTACCCAATGGAGAAGACACTAATGACCCGCCTTTGAAACCTGTTTCCTGCACCGTTTCGGCTGCTACAGCACCAACAGCAATGGCAGCTGCAACTGAATCAGCTGCATAATGTCCATCAGTATTGCAGAGGATCCACTCAATTGCTTTTTTCACTTCCGAAGCCCTAACTAGATGTGCCTGCATTCACTAAATGAAATGAAATCATATTACATCTTAATCAATAATCTAACTACTTCAAAGAATGAAAGGTTCCAAACCTTTATAAGGTAGACGTATCAAAACCAAAAAAAAAGACATATGTGTAGCTTCCTATAATGCTTGTTTATACAATTAAAAGTCACATAATTGATGCATATATTACCTGAACGATCCTAAATATAGCAGTTAAAAGATTAACAAATGCCTCAGACGACAGAGTCCTCAACTTGCTCGCAAGAGATGTGCCGCCACCTGTATACGCACTAGGAATAAGCATGGATTCTGGAGAGATAAACTAGCACCAAAGTAGAATACATTATCCAAAGAACAGGATAAAAAGATCAATTTAATCCTTAAAATAAGGTTTCAGCCAACATTCTTCATTACTTGACCAAGTTTCATGTAAGTGACATCCCAATCGGGTCTCAGATCAAATTAGAGAACAAAATCAAAACAGACGATGAAAATAAACAGTGATATGGATAAAAGCATTTGCTAAACTTGATTTGGATGTGTATCAGAGAAATTTTACACGTCTCAAGTACTAAACTTATGTTTAGCTACGTTTTCATGAAAAACTTAGTCGATGACAATCTTAATACATAGTAAGAAGTCTCACCATCAACATCTACTGAGCGCTCCCCATGTGAAAAATCAGATTCGAGTGATCTTGCAACAAGAATTGGAAGCAGCTCGGCAACTACGTTCTTGATTGCATTTTTCATTTCGGATGTGAGTGCATCGCGGTACTCCCTCAAAATTGAGGGGAACTTGGCCTACGGAAAACAGTCCAACGAACAACACATGAGAACTGATACCAGACTAAAACTTAATGAGCACTACGAACCAACAATAATGACCAGAAACAGCATAAAGAATAAATTGAAACAATAAGGCATCGTCAACTTCAGTAGTAGAATATGTTAAAAAAACAATCAGGACCGGCCACTCACCGTTCTTAGCAATCCAATAACTAGAGGAAGAAGCCGATCACATAAGGTAGAGGTATCCTCTTCTTCTAGCTTAACCTGGAAAAGAGTAAGCCATATATTAATCGGCATGCTATACGTTATTTCAGTTCTTTTGCTGATTAATCTACCACTTCTCACAAGTTAGGATCCTCTATTAATTTTTTACACCAACAATTAAGCTCCAGGTAGTACAAAAAGAAGCGCCCATATTCATTAAAAATAATGCAACTGTATCAGAAGAGACTTGCTTCATCACTGGCCTTCCCGTTAGATGAAATGGGTCCCCGTACTTTTGCTGCAGATAAAATCAGTACATCTATTTCCCCAGTATTGTGTATTGAGATACGCATAAATTCTGATGTGAGAATACTACAAAAAAAATCAACAAGCCATCAGGCATCAGACACTAGAACAAATAAATAAATAAAAGGGAATAATAGAGGAAATCATAGGCAAATATAGAAGGTGAACTAAATCTTCACTAAACAGCACTACCAAAGAAAATCAATTTAATAGACACAAATGCCTACAGGTTGTACAATAATCTACACCTTCGAAGGTGACTAAATATGAATGAACCAACGTAAATTCTATTGCAAACCAGGATTCATCATAAGAAGGGAAATTCAGCCAGCAAGGCATTACCGCATGAGGAAACAAGTTGAGGGGGAATGTTAAAAGAGTTCAGAAGTTATGATAGATTACTCAAAGAATGCTACAATGCCTGGATGCATTCATAATAATCAAACTGCCCAAGCACCCGAAACATGAAAAGATTGACTTTACACTAAAAAACCGTGCCATTTGCAGTCTATAAACATTTTTCAAAATATCGACTGCCTTCACTATCTGAAAAATTCCAAGAGGTTCAACAGCAAAACTTAAAACATCACTTGAAAGGTACTTGGCACAGGTAACATGAAATTCGACCAAGTGTTCCCTATCCATCCACGAACTAAGAAACACTATATTAGCGTTAAACAAAAGCTCAAAAAAGTTAACGCTTCTCCTAGAAGAGCATTACAGGCAGACTGAATACGGCCTATTATAGTCAGTTATCACAACATGAAAAGAGACACACCTGTTTATGGAATCTATGGAACAAGTAACATGATCCCGCAAATGGCGGAAGCAGTGTAGACCAGTAAGCTCATCCCCAGCCTAAAAAGGATAGAAACGTATTATTTAAGCTTCTTATGAAAACTATTACTTCCTAAGCATCTAAAAGTATCCAACATCAATCAGAGATGGACTTACCAACAAGTTTTGGAGATCGTCAGTTATATCCAAAGCTCCAGCACAATCTGCGGACGCAACAAGCTGAACAATAAAGAATCAAACTTCCATCAAGAAAAAGAGGAAATACAAAAATGTAGCCAACTTGAAATTACTCTAAACGAATCAGTCCGAAGAATTACCAATTTGAGTGCAGAGAGAGCTTGGTTAACATACAAAATAAGCCTCAATTTACGTTGCAGCTCCAACATATTAATCCTAGTTGAGCTCAGCTCTTGAATCTGCCGAGCTGAATCCACCAAATTCCTGTCTAGGAGCCGAATAGTCTCTTTCAACTCGCGGATCCGACTACAACCCTCGACGATCTTCACATTCAAATCCTGTAACTCCCCTTGCGCCTCAAAGAACGAATCGGACCTCACTGAGATCTCCTTCACAAGATGCAGCTCCACAACATCAAGATACTGTGACAGCTTCTCCTGAAGGGCTAGATTCTCCGTCAGGCTCGAGAAAGGGCAAGCAGAACGAAATGTAGCTCCGTCCTCGAGGGCAAAGTCCTCCTTGAAGTAGAGTGAAGGAACCTCACGCAGGCACGCGGCTAAACCCGATACGTGGCTCTCCTGATCAAACCCGGAGCTCTCTTCCCTCGTGTGGTTCCTGATATCTTCAAACCTACCATGCGACTCAGAGATCGACGAGACGTAGCCATGGAAGTCGGATCTGGTCAGCTCCGAACCGGGTAGTTTCGTGGAAGCAACAGGCGCGAACTCAGACGGAGCTACAAACGTCGACGAAGACCACCAACCAACCCAAGATGCATCGGAACCGTAAACACCAGACTTCCCTCCATGCGGATTGTTAAGGATCGAAGAGAGACTCTGGCTACTTGCATCCGATATCGATTTGGTTAGCGATGAAGGAGAAGACGAAGACGAAGACGAAGAACGGCCAAGATCTAAGCTCGATCGGTTAGTGTTGCCAATGGACCTCTGCGAATCCATAAGAGCTCACGAAATCAAAATCATGAACCAAAACTGATTTTGTATCTCCAGAGAATTACAACACGTTGATCTAGGGGAATTTTGAATTTTCCAAAATGGGATTAGATCTTTGGGATTTTAAGAGAGTGGATCAAATCGAATTAATTTTCGTGTGAACAAAAAAAAAACAATGGTGGGAGCTGGATCTGGAGAGAAGTAAGAACGCAAGGACTTGTGGAGGACTGAGGAAGCCCTCTGGGTCGAGCGAGACTCGAGAGATGGTGCTGAGAGCACTGCGGTGGTTTCAGTCCGAAGATTCAATCAATCGACGGCGGATTAGGTATCCACGTCATCTACTCAAAAAGAGAGAAATGTTTGATGCATTTTTGTTTGATCCCATTTCGGCTTTTCACTTTTCAGTACTACTAAAACGAAATATTACAATTTACAAAATTTGTTATGATCCGATTTTGTATTTTTCATATATATTTTTTTTCATTTCACTGATCAAATTATAATTTTCATATGGAATTATTCGAATCAAGATTGTGTAGTAAATTTAAGCAAACTTTAATAGTAAAACCAAGCACTAGATTATTACTCAATACAAACGAATGATTACTTATATACTGATTCTTCATTATTAATATCATCAAATTCTTACACCTTCTCTTGTTGTGACAAAAGCTTTACTAGTGTTATCAGTGTCGGTATCAAATGGTCTCGTCTCTTGGCAGATACTTATCTCATTACGGTGCTGTTTCCACCTCAGTCGAATATCCTCCCTTTTAAATTCCGGTAGATTTTTCTAACCTGATAGCCTCTCCAACGAGCCTGCCCATTACCAGTCAACAACCGTTAGGAATCAAAGTAACAGAAAAAAACGAACTAACAACATTTCATGATTTAGCAAACATTTACCTGTATTAAAAGTATTCCCTGTTTAGTGATCAAATGTTGTTTTCTACACTTGTAGCCGCGGAAGTCCGTCTGAATTCGGATAGCAGCAGCATCATGAATAAAATCATCATTACAGGACTGACTTGGTTTTATGGAACCGTCACTGTAAGACCGTCTTGGTTTGCGTGTTTTAGGAGAAACCACGGACACTCCAAACTCCTTATCTCCAAACTCGTATGTTCGCTTCTTCTCCAAAGATCGAGCCTTGGAAACCTGATGAAACTGAGCTGCTGCCTGAGAAGGTTTACGAATAGAGGTCAGTGAGTCGCTTAGAGTTGAGCTCGGAGCGCCTAACTCTTTTCCTTCATTATGCTCTAGATTTCTGTAATTTTGATCAAGTTCCAAGCGAGAAGAAACTGAACCAAGATGAACCTGGAAAACGAAGGTAGCTTTAAATCATCATTCATATTTGGTTACTGTACTACCATAAAAGCATCATTTATGGAAGAAGAAGAAGCAAATGGTGAAAAACATTAGTTAATGAAGGGTCAGAAGCTATATGTAATACAAAGGGATAGGAACTACATCAATTTGAACTTTCTTCCAAGTGACACTAGAAGTCTACATACTTAGATGTATTTGCCAATGATAGTGTCAGATGTTTTACCTTAGCACGGTTTTGGACTGTAAAGACACTCTTTTCTCGTTTCCTTTTTCTTAAGCTCAGGATAACAGTTTCAATAACAACCTTCAATCGACATCTCTTATATGGTGGTGCCATATGCTCCACGCTGGGAATCTCCCCTTGATCCATGGACGAAGAAAGAAGTTTTACGCTAAGAGTAGTATCACTTGTTGCAGCAGCTGCATCAAGACTTGGAAGGCTCTTCAGATATGAACAGCCAGACAGCTTAAGCGTCATCATGGCTTTGAAGTTACTTATCCCTGGTGGCAGGTGCTGAAGTCTTTTACAATCCTCCAGATCTAATGTAACAAGTCTAGTGAGATCCTTAATTGACGACGGAATTTCTGTAATGGCTGTCCCAGCTAGATATAGCTCTTTCAGGTTTGGTGAAAAATCCTGAAGGTTCTCGAGCTCTGAGCAGCCAGATAGATTAAGAACTTCAAGAGATTCTAAATGAGCCATGGTAGGCATAATTCGCAAATGAGAACAGTCTTTCAGACTCAAGAAAGTAAGCTTGTGATGATGAAGAATAGATGAGTTAATTTTAACCAGACTCGTACATCCTTCCAGATCAATATGCTCGAGGCTCATCGCCTTTGAAAGCCTTGGGAATTTAGTCAACTGGCGTGAGTGACTCAGAATTATCCTCTTTAACTTCTCAAGATTCTGTTTACAAACAAGAACAACCAAAATAAGACATTAAGTACAAGCTAACCCCTCATGTATGCAGAGCAGATTGCACCTTTAATTGTCAAGACATACCTTAGTTCCTTTCCATAGTTTTGTCAAGTTGCTATAGGGCATGTTCAGTTCTACAAGATTTTTAGGATTGAAGTTCCGAGGTAAGGATCCCAAAGGATATCTTTCCCAATGAAGTAGTCGTAGCTCATCAGGCAAAGAGTGGAGGCCTTGAGGTAGACAAACCTTACAATGGTTTTCAGAAGTTGGACAGTGGAGCTTGAGAAATCTAAGTCTATACATCTTCTCAAATACATTAGGATTCAACTCAAATGTCAAGCCAGAAGCATCAAGAAATATGCCTTCAATAGCTTCTGTTCCCTGGAAAGATTGGCAAAAAAGTTCAGAAACATCAGCTTTTCTAAGTGAAGAAAGGAACACAAGCAGTAATCTAAAGTATCAATACAAGTAATAATTAAAAAAAAAAAAGACGTACTGAATTGTTTGTCAGCACATTAACAATATCACTAGGATCCCACAATCTGCTACGCTTGCCTGCCTCATTGTTTTCTTGACAAACAACAAATCGGCCTATGTCTTGGAAAATGTTGGGCATTTCTATCCTGTTGTCTACAAGACTAATGAGAGACTCATCTATGAGAGCATAGATCCCTAAATCCGTAAACAAACCACAACCATCAAGCATGTTTACCACATGATATTTCTTCTCCCCTCTGAAAAAACATGCTAGGTCCAAAAATATGTTCTTCTCGTTTTCATCTAGTCCGTTGAAACTTCTTCCAAATGCATCATAAATTTCGATTGGAGGATGTTGACGCAACCTTCTCAGATGCTCTTTCTCATTGTTGATATATTTCTTTTGTACAGACGAGCCCAAGACTCGCATAGCCAATGGAATGCCACTAGCGTAGTATACCAAATCTGAGATCAACGCTTTCTTTCCCTTCCCAGAAGCTCCAGTGGCATTCATAGAGCAAAGGCGAGAAGAATCAGACACAGATAGTTTTGGGATCTCGTAAAGCTCATTGGCTTTACACTGTATGAGAACTTGCCTATTCCTAGATGTTAAGATGATTGTATGTCCACCAGACAACCAGCCAAACCCTCCAAGCAAAACTTCTGCATCTCTAGCATTACTCACACCATCAATAATAACAAGAACACTTTTATCGAGCAACATATCCCTTGTAAAACTTGGTTTAGTGTCACATGCGTCTATGAAAACTTTTTCTTCTCCAAAGATTTTCCAGTAAAATTCATGACGCAAATGACTCAGCCCTTTTGCTTGACACATTAGATGAAAGTCTGGCAGAAAGTAGCACACGTCATATCTTTCAGCTTGTGTTCTATAAATTTCTCTCGTGATGGTAGTCTTCCCAATGCCAGCCATGCCCCAGATTCCAACAATCCGTGGGGCTGAGGTCTGAGGACAATCTAACAATGGCAAAATACTCTGTAAAAGAGGCCTGATTCCAACTAGGTTCATTCTAGTTTTAAAATTACGCAGACAGCAGACATCTCTAACGATACTCTTGGCAAGCATAACCTCATCCCTGCGCAGAAAAAAAAACATCAGAAATTGTAAGTACCCAAACAACATTCTTTTGATTACATGCTTGGACGGATAGTTGAATAGACAAATCATCAAAATGAATTCCTTTTCAGTTAAGTATATGATCTAGTGTGTACTTTGTTTAATGTTCACAGAGCAACAGAAACAGTCACCACACCATACATATATAGGGATGGCCTAGTGAGAGAAAAGAGAAAGAAACTTACCCCTTCATATACTCATATCTATTGAAGACAGTTAATTTGACCATAGCCTCCCTCCATTTCTGAGCTTGGGATGCCTGTACTTGATTCCCAAGGCGTGCTCTTTTAGAAGAGTCACCACTTACTTTAAAAAACACAGGAATAAGCGCAACTTTGTTTGCTTTTAAACTGTCCATCATTGCCAAAAAAACATCCAGGCACTCTGGGGAACGAGCATTGTTCATCGAGATAATCATAATACAAACGCTTGATCTGCGTAGCATTCCCGGATTCGCAGTGACTGTGGTCCTGCTTAGTTCATATCTACAAGGGGTGAAGCCACGCAGACGTAACTCGTTCAAGATGTAGCTGATAAAGTACGTCTCCTCTGACTCCTGGTCGTCCCCACAAGAAACGACCAAGATAGGGTTAATCTTTGGCAATCGTAGTTTTGTACTCGGAAGTACTGTGCTCGGAAGAGACTCTGTGAGAGCAAAGACATCGCGCGTACTGTTGTAGTCAATGAAGAACCTCCTCCTGTTTATAACGTGCCGTTGGAAGAAGACTAAGTCTCCTGCACATAGCTGCTTCTCCTGCACGTACTTACTCCAGCCTTTGGTCAAGGCGTAGCTTTGCCTGGTATTGAGGTATGAGTAGATGAACTTCCATTGCTTTCCTTTCTCATCCTCAGCTTGAAAGACGTACTCAGTATCTCCTGCAGCGGAACTGGAAAAGTAACTGGGAAAGTACTTCTCCAAGTCGTTGTCAATGACGAGGTAAGCTTCATCGGCGGTCGTCAAACATATTTTGAAGAGAAACTCCTTGTAGACGGGGTGCTGTCCCGTGAATTCAGAGATGAATTCCCTAGGAACGCTATTGTGACTGAGCCTCGTCTTGCCATATTTTTGTTCACTATTCTTTTCTTTCAAATACTCATCGAAGAATGATCTTACAATTTGACTACCCAAAGGATTTTCCTTAACGCTTCCTAAGATCTCTTCGGCGGCGGTGAGGTCACCAACGACGGCTTCGATTCTATTGGAGGGAAGGCGCCGGAGAAATTCAACGAAGTCGTCGGAGTTTGCGACTTCTGCGGAATTCTGAGGTTGGCTGTTGCTGAGTAATTCACAGAAAGCTTCCCAATCTTCGACGCCGACCTTTGTCTCTGAACCTGAACCTGAACCAGATGATCCTTCCATCGATTTCTATCGATGTGATCTGTTTCCTACAAAATGGCGATTTCCAATTTGGTTTCAGATGGGAGCCCGAAGCTCACTGTTCATATCAAGTCAACTCTTATCATTTTCACCCACCGATTTTATTGATATGTGTAGTTTAAAGCCACTTGAAATTTCAGTGGTTGAGAGATTTTGATATAGACCTCTTGAAACAAGAAGGCGTTTTTCTTCTTCTTCCATGGCTTCTACATCGGATCCTTCCCGCCGGCAGTACGACGTGTTTCTCAGTTTCCGAGGTGAAGACACGCGCCATTCCTTCACCTGCTACCTCCACGATTTTCTCCGCCGGAAAGGGATCGATGCTTTCATCGACGAGGAACTCTGGCGAGGCAACGATCTCTCAGGGCTTTTCGAAAGGATAGAGCAATCAAAGATCTCGATCGTCGTTTTCTCAGAGAATTACGCGAATTCCTCATGGTGCTTAGAGGAGCTCGCGAAGATCATGGAGTGTAAAAAGACCTTAGATCAGGTGGTTTTACCGATCTTCTACAAAGTTCCGACGTCTGACGTAAGGTACCAGACGGGGAGTTTTGGAGCTCCGTTCGAGAGATCTGAAGCGAATTTCCATGGATTTCAACACAGAATCCCGGCATGGAAGGAAGCCTTAAGAGCTGCTTCTGATATCGCCGGCTATGTTCTACCGGAGAAAAGGTATCTTAAGGATTTTGGTTTTGAGTTTTAGACTTTTAGTTGAATCCCGGTTTATCATTTGGTCATGCCTCGGTTTATCATTTGGTTATGCCTCGGTTTACTGCTTTGAAGCTTAACTTTATTCTTTATATAACACTTTCTTGATCACACTATCATCAAGTTTACAAGTCTGAAAAAAGTTCTTCAAAACCTGAACTCTTCTTGATATGTATGTAGGTAGTTTCATTGAACTTTCTCAGCAATTATAACTTTTCATTGACGATCTACATCGATTTGAAACCTTTTTACTGAAAAGAGTACTAAGTTATTACTGCTAAATTTTGAAGCCTCTTGATGTGTAAATTTTTTTCATGAAGATAGATCATTTACCCTTTTTCTCTCTTATTAAAGTGTATTCTAAACCTTAGCTTTGTAAATATGGTGCATTTGGCAGCCCGGAGTGCGACTTTGTCAACAAAATTGCCAAAGAAACGTTCAAGTTGCTAAACAAGATGTCACCATCTGAAATTCGAGGTTTTCCGGGGATTGAATCGCGTATGATAGAACTGGAAAAGTTAATGGGTTTTGAAGAGACAGGTACAGTGCGAACTGTTGGGGTTCTTGGGATGGCTGGAATTGGTAAGACCACTGTTGCAGACTGTGTGTATAAGCGAAACTACGGCCGCTTTGATGGTTATTGCTTTCTTGCAAATGTTCATAACGAATCCAAACTACATGGAGTAGATCACTTGCAGCAGAAACTCCTCTGTAAGTTACTAGATGAAGAAAATCTTGATGTTGGAGCTCCTGAAGGAGCACACGAAGCCTTGAAGGACCGTCTTCGGAACAAGAAACTCTTTATTGTGCTCGATGGTGTGACCAACGAAAAACAAATCAGACTTCTTATTGGGGGAGAAGGAAGTGAGCTGTACCGAGAAGGCACTCGGATTGTTGTAACAACAAGGGACAGGAAACTACTAGACAAGGTTGTGAATGAAACTTATGTGGTTCCGAGATTGAGCGGAAGAGAATCTCTAGAGCTTTTCTGCTTGAGTGCATTTTCTGGTAATCTCTGCGCCACACCAGAGCTCATGGATCTATCAAACAAGTTTGTGGATTACTCTAATGGGCATCCATTAGCTTTGAAGTTGTTAGGTTCTGATCTATGTCAAAGAGATAAGTTGTATTGGGTGAAGAAATTGGAGAAGTTGCAGAAAAGGCCAGACGGGAAGATTCAAGAAGTACTCAAAGTGAGTTATGAGGAACTATGCCTGGAAGAGAAGAGCATCTTTCTAGATGTTGCGTGTTTCTTCAGGTCGGAAAAGTTTGATTTCGTTACGAGTATTCTGAGCACTTGCCTTGTTGATGCGTGTAATGTGATAAATGATCTTGTTGATAAGTGTTTGGTGACCATTTCTGATAACCGGCTTGAGATGCATGATCTACTGCTGAAAATGGGGAAGGAAATTGGTTATGAAGCATCCATCAAAGAGGCAGGTTTACGCGGTCGTTTATGGGACCAAGAAGATATTTGTCGCGTTTTAAAGTATAAAACGGTGAGCCACAATGTTTCATTTGTTCTTATGAATGTGATTTTGTCTACTTTTTCTCTGCTTAACATTTTTACTTTTCCAGGGCACTGCTGAAATCAGAGGCATCTTCTTAGATATGTCTAATGTAGAAAGCATGAAGCTAAGTGCTGATATATTCACGGGAATGCCAAGTCTCAAGTTCCTGAAGTTCTACAATTCTCATTGTTCCAAGTGGTGTGAGAATGATTGTAGATTTCGTTTTCCCAAAGGTCTTGATTGCTTTCCAGACGAGCTGGTGTATCTCCACTGGCAAGGGTATCCTCTGGAGTATCTTCCATTGAACTTCAACCCGAAGAAACTCGTTGATCTTAATCTGCGTTATAGCAACATTGTGCAACTCTGGGAAGATGAGAAGGTATAACGTTAGCTGTAAAGTCTCCCATTTCATCATATATTGTAGTGTTATAATGTCTGTATGTAATTGTAAACTATTAATTGTTTTAATGCAGAACACAAGAGAGTTAAGATGGGTCGATCTCAGCTATTCAAAAGAGTTGCTGAATCTATATGGCTTGTTAGAAGCTAGTAAACTCGAGAGATTGAATCTTGAATGCTGCACAAGTTTAACCAAGTGTTCATCGATCCAGCAGATGGACAGTCTTGTTTCACTGAATCTCAGAGATTGCATAAACCTCAAGAGTCTTCCAAAGAGAATCAACTTGAAGTCCCTGAAGTTTCTTATCCTCAGTGGCTGTTCAAAACTGAAGAAATTCCCAACTATTTCAGAAAACATAGAGTCTCTATATTTGGATGGCACTGCAGTCAAAAGAGTTCCTGAATCCATAGAGAGTCTCCAGAAACTTTCCGTGTTAAATTTGAAGAAGTGTTGCAAGCTGATGAGTCTTCCTGACAACTTTTGCAAGCTGAAATCTCTGAAAGAACTGATTCTCTCTGGTTGTTCAAGGCTAGAGAGTTTTCCGGACATCAATGAGGACATGGGAAGCTTAGAGATTCTGCTCATGGATGATACCGCCATCAAACAAACTCCCATAAGAATGTGTATGAGTAATCTCAAGCTGTTTTCATTTGGTGGATCTAAAGTCCAAGATCTAACGTGTCTGGAATTGCTGCCTTTCTCTGGCTGCTCTCGTCTATCAGACATGTATCTCACAGATTGTAATCTGTACAAGTTGCCAGACAACTTTAGCTGCTTATCCTTGCTGCAGACGTTATGCTTGAGTAGAAACAATTTCGAGAATCTACCTGGAAGCATCAAGAAACTTCATCACCTCAAGTCTCTTTACTTGAAGCATTGTCAGAAGCTCGTTTCTCTTCCAGTGCTTCCATCAAATCTGCAGTACTTGGATGCTCATGGCTGTGTCTCACTCGAAACAGTAGCAAAACCCATGACGCTTCTTGTGGTAGCTGAAAGGACTCATTCTACTTTCGTGTTCACAGATTGCTTCAAGCTAAACAGAGATGCGCAAGAAAATATTGTGGCTCATACTCAACTAAAGAGTCAGATACTGGGGAATGGATCTCTTCAACGTAATCATAAGGTCTGTCCAATATCTCTGTTCACTCTGTTATGATTCCAGTGACATTTTCATTCACATCTCATTGCTTAAATGGTTTTTTTCTCATTTCAGGGACAAGTTTTGGAGCCTTTATCAGGTGTAAGTTTTCCAGGAAACGATTTGCCATTATGGTTCCGCCATCAGAGAATAGGATCTTCCCTGGAAACCCAACTGCCTCCACACTGGTGCGACGATAAATTCATTGGACTATCTCTCTGCGTAGTTGTCTCGTTCAGTGACTATGAAGATAAAACCAGCAGGCTCTCAGTAATATGCAAGTGCAAGTTCAGAAACGAAGACGGTGATTCCATTAGCTTTACTTGTAACCTTGGGGGGTGGAAAGAGCAGTGTGGATCATCTAGCCAAGAAGAAGAGCCAAGAAAACTTAGCTTTGATCATGTGTTCATCAGTTACAACAACTGTTTCCATGCCAAGAAAAGCCATGATCTCAACAGATGTTGCAATACCACCGCTTCGTTCAAATTCTTTGTTACCGATGGTGTTGCCAAAAGAAAGCTGGATTGCTGTGAGGTGGTGAAGTGTGGGATGAGCTTGTTGTACACACCGGATGAGAATGATTATAGGTTGCAGGGGTTACAGGAGAATAACCTCGAGGAAACGGTATATGGAGAAGAAACAGATGTAAATGAAACCGATGTGGATGAAGCTGTTGTGTCCAAGAGAGGCCGTTTCTGTGTACAAGAAGAAGAGATACTGAATGGGAAAAGGATAAAGGAAGAAATCTCTTTTGTTGATTATGAGTGTTCTGTTCTTCGTTACATGGAGCCAACAAAGTCTAATACCTGGAATAAGTAGATTATAGAAAGATTATTTCAAAATTCAGACAGAGATCGATCATGTTTCAGAGCTATATCTTAACTCTTATCTTTTAAGTGAATTTCAGAAACAGATTTGGTTAGCATTTGTACATTTTCAAATGGCTAATTTTAAGCAATTTTCAACAATTGAGAATTGAATCTCTGTTTACCAAACACAAACCAAAATTCTTCTTCAGAGATTTGAAGAAAGTTTGTTCCGCTGTTTCATCAGTACAACAATCTCAAAGTCTGGTTTTTCCTTTTTGTTCCGGGAGTGTTTTTATATGTAAAAGCCAAAGGTTGACTTGTAGATTCATTGAGCCTTGAATAAAGTTCATTCTTCATCTCGCATATGTTCACTTTATCCAGGTTTGGTGTATACTCTAAAGAGTTAAGAAAGTCAAATGCTTGAGTTGTAAAATACCAAAATATCCGCACTAAAAAATCATAATCAAAAAGTCAAAAAAGTGGACGCCAAACACACCACTAACAAAGTACATATTTGCTTCGAACCTTACCAATGTAGTAGACCATTGACCTAGATTATTAGTGTATAGTTCGTTAATTCACAAATATATTATGTTTAATATTCATTCATGATATTTAGGAGGGTTCACATTATATGTTAAAAAGTTACGCAACATGTCACATGATATATTTCCCACATATACAACAAAGGTAACCTCACATTAACTGAAGCCTCACGTTTCTTTCTTGGTCATTTTTAGACGTTACCAAGCCACTCAAAAAACTTTTTTATATTTTGAAAAACAACTTTATTGGACCCCTCAATCCACTTTATCATTTTACTTATATTGCAAGCTTATAATTGATTTCCGGAGATGGAAAATGGCAATTTGCTTTTTATGTCTCATCAACTAAACAAACGAAACCAACACAACAAAACAAGCCATTGTGAAGAGAAGAACAAGAAGAAGAATCAAAAGCTAAACAATGGCTCCACAAACCAAAGTCAAGAAACCTAATTCTCATTATAGCCTTTGCACTTTCCTCTTCTTCACCGTCCTCTTTACCATCCCGGTTCTCTTCCTCCTCCGCACATCCACGTGCTCCTCCTCCACCACCGCAATCTCTTTCTCCTCTGACGCAAACCAGCCACCATGGTCCGGTGACCTCCAAACCGCCCAATTTGCCTGGAACCGCCTTGCTTTCTCCTTAACCAGCCCTCCTCCCAAAAACCTAAAACTCGCCGTTTTCTCCCGGAAATGGCCCACCGGCCCCAATCCCGGCGGCATGGAACGCCACGCCTTCACTCTCTACACTGCTTTAGCCCGCCGTGGACACCGCGTCCACGTTTTCACCTCTCCCTTAGACCCTTCCCCTGAAACCAACAAAATCACCCCTGTTTCCGACCAAATCCAAAACCCTACAATCCATTCCCACGGCGACGCTGAGCCCGGAAAATGGCGGTACAACAAAGCATGGGAGCTTTACCAAGAAGAAAACCGGAAAGAACCTTTCGACGTGGTTCACTCCGAAAGCGTCTCTTTACCGCATTGGATCGCCCGAGAGGTTCCAAACCTAGCCGTCACATGGCACGGCATTGCGCTAGAGAGCTTACAATCAAGCATTTACCAAGACCTGATCCGTAAACCAGACGAACCAAGATCACAAGGTTTCAATGCAAGCCTATACGGTGCCGTGCTTCCCAAGATACTCGAGGAAATCAGATTCTTCCAGAACTACGCTCACCACATCGCAATCAGCGATAGCTGCGGAGAAATGCTAAGAGACGCTTACCAGATCCCGGAGAAAAGGGTTCATGTGATCCTTAACGGAGTCGACGAAAACGGTTTCGTGTCAGACAAGAAGCTACGTTCTCTGTTTAGGTCAAAATTAGGGCTAGCGGAAAACTCATCAGCGATTGTTTTAGGAGTCGCAGGGAGATTAGTCAGAGACAAGGGACATCCGATCCTCTACGAAGCTTTCGGGAACCTAATCGAAACGCACTCCAATGTTTACCTCGTGGTAGCTGGATCAGGGCCATGGGAGCAACGTTACAAGGAACTAGGCGAAAAAGTTACCATTTTGGGATCTTTAAACCCAACTGAGCTCAAGGGTTTCTACAACGGGATCGATTTGTTTGTAAACCCAACGCTTAGACCACAAGGTCTTGATTTGACGTTAATGGAAGCAATGTTGAGCGGTACACCGGTGATGGCGTCAAGGTACCCGAGCATAAAGAGGAGTATTGTGGTGAATGATGAGTTTGGGTTTATGTTTGCTCCGAACGTGGAGGCTTTGACGGCGGTTATGGAGGTTGCGGTGGCTGAAGGAGCGGAGAGGTTGGCTGAGAGAGGGAGAAAATGTAAAAAGTATGCGGCGGAGATGTTTACAGCGAGTAAGATGGCTTTGGCTTATGAGAGGCTTTTTCTTTGTATTAAAGATCAGAAGTTTTGTATCTATCCCTAAATCAGTACTTAGCTTATTACTTAAGTATCTTAATTCATCAACATTTTAACTTTCTGTGTGTTGGGAAAGTGAGAGTTTAGTAATGTAACCATTTTACATAATCTATAGTTAGACAAATTACTAAAACCCAAAAACAAATTTGAAAAACTGCTATTAGCTAGCATCAACCAAAATCCTTAAAATTCCATTAAAATGTCTGTTACAATTTAAATCCTAAATATACAAAAGCCATTGGGACGTTGAAGCAACTATCTAAGAGCCATCAACCAAGTTTGAACTAATCCGAGATTGTTCAAACCGTCGATAAGCTCTTCTAGTTCTAATAAACAGCACAAGACTCGAAGCTAGTCCAAGTACCGACAAGCATCCCCACCACACGAACGTCAAGTAATAGCAACCTCGTCCCATACAAACGACCGAGTCCGTCACCGTTTTGATCCCGTTGAAACCATGCGAGTCGTAGACCAACGCAGCCAAGAAACCATAGATCAACGATCCTATCGGTATGTTTGTAATCAAGATGTTGTGGTTGACTCCGACACTGTTCGGTCCAAAAAGCTCTGATGTGATGGAAACCGCTGCTGCGAATATAAACCCGGAGCTTAACCCGATCAACGCGGTTCCCGCTTGTAACGCCGACGCGTTTCCTGAAAACGCGAGCAAGAAAAGCGCGATTGGTGTTGGTAAAAGCGCGATTGCTAACCATCCTGTTCTTGCAAAATAAACCTTGCTGCACAAGTTACAAACATTCTCAATCCTCAATCAAATCAAACGAGAAGAGACTTTGACCTAAAACGATGAGGATCAATGAACTTACGCTCGGATATAATCCGGAGTTGCAGAAAGCAATCTTCCAAAGAATGAGAAAGAGGAATAAAGCGTGACAAGAGTTGTGGTGTTTGAGCTTTGTCCTAAAGACTGAGCAATCTGTCCGAGGTTGTTGCTGTACACAAGTCCGATGGTTCCACCGCAGAAATACGCGATGTAGTATAACCAGAAATCCGCTCTGCGTAAGAGCAGCCACAGAGGATGTTCAATTCCCAATACCTCAAGCTGGTCTCTTGTGATAAGCTTCTTGCAACAAGACTCATCAACATCTTCTTCCTCCGGAGCTATTATCGTCTTAACCGTGTTTTGCACGGCATCTTCGTTCATCAGTTGGTAGCTTTCTCGGTTGGCTTCATGTGCAAGCATCCCTTTATGCAACTCAAGCTCATCAGGGTGAACAAGAATGAAACCGGAGCCTTCTAGACGGAAACTAGTGTGGATATTGCGAGAATACCAATTCCGTGCGATGACTAAACCGGGAATGCATAAAGGGAAGATCAAGAGGATGATTGCTCCACCAAAGAGGAGACGAGCAGAGGTCAAACCAGAGGAGTTTGAGCCGAAGAGAAGGAGGTAAACGCCGTTTAAAGCGGCGAGGATGTTGAGCAGTAGGAACATGAGAGAGTCACGGCGGACTCCATCCGGTGGAAGAGGCTCAAAAGGCGGTTGGCGAAGGATGGGGATGATTGCGGTGAAAGAGACAATGAGCGGTATGAGAGCGTTTAAGAAAAGGTATAGCTCTGGAGAAGCTGGATTGATGGCGTTGTAAGCGAGAGTGTATAGAGCGGCGCTTACGCCGTTGAAGCTTACTGTGAGGGAGAGAGCAAGTGATCTGTTTGCAGGGAAGTTGCTTATGCAGAGCACAAAGCAGACTGTGTTGAACCAGCAGATACTTAGACCTGCGAGTAAGCAACAGAGAAACACCTGCACAGAAGCTAGCCAAACTTAATCAAAATTTCTCTAGAGACAGAAAAAAAAAAAAAAAGATTAAAGAAATACTGAATTTTTTTTGGTGGTTTTGATCAAAATCTTCACTCCAAAACCTTATATTTTTGTCTCCATTTAAATAAATTGGTCATAAAATTGACTTAATTAAGTGAAAGATAACATTCAACTTCTTTTTTTGTATTGATGTATCATTTATCTCAATCACAAAATCCTCTTATTCCCTACTTGTCAGAAAAAGACGTTTGAGAAAGAAAAAAAACCGGTTGTCATTTTTTTAGCATTTATATGATGCATCTTGAATATATATATATATTTAAATTTTTTCTTTTGACGTCATATTATCGTACATATAAATAAGAGAATAAATAATTGAAGATTTTCGAACCAGCCATCAAACAAGAGACCAAGCCGAATAGGCCAAAAAGAAGAATTGCTGGACCAACAAATTTTGTGGAAGTTCCAAATATTATGTATTTACCAAGAAAAAAAAAAGCACAAATCGACAAAGAAAAGAAAATTTGAACTACCTACCAATCTACCAATCAATAGTCACCCAATATAATCTGTGATTCAAACTCTTTTTTTTTGTCTCAGTTGTGACAAAATGTAACGATCAATTTACTAAGTCATTTTAAGTAAAAAGAAGACCTAACTAAATTTTCCAAAAATACTACTTTTGATTAGAGAAAAACCAATTTCATAATTTTATTATATTAAGAAAGAAAACATAATTCAACCAAATACGTTACTACACCTGAAACTTCACAACTAGTTACAATCCTGACACCTACTTGTTCTTATACAAATAATTAAATTGCAAGACAATTTCAAGTTTTAACATACATAGCTGTTCTTAACAGAAATAAATACAAAAAAATGCACCAAATTCTAAAAAAAATAGGAATCAGTTTTATATTTATCAAGCATTAAGCCATCGAGTAAACTAATTTTGGCCGACCAAATTTTGAAGTTGAGGACACAATTATACCGACCCTTAACCGTTATAAACTCAAAATTACAATATTATTTTTTGGGTTCTTGGATCACATTTCCATTTCTCGACATTGAAGATAACTTGTAGAGTTGTAGATTATAGTTTATACTACTTTATACCAATCTATAGATTTTTTCTTCTTTTTTTTCAAGACTTTTGTTTATGGACTTAAAGCAGTTAAAGTAGAAAAGAAGAGTAAAGTTACCATAATATAAGGCAAAGAGATTAAATTAGTGATGACGAGCCACTGAACTCCATAACCGACGAATCCCATTAACGCCGCCGCGAAAAGCACCGTCCAAAGCGGGAAGTACATGAGCGCAAGCCCCGACGACCACCCGAAGACCTTCCCGAGATCGGAAGCGACGGCGAGGTAGTTAAGCTGCACTTGTGAAATCCCTAGAACCGATTTCAAATCTGACGAATAAGCCGAGAAATCGAAATTCGTCCCGGTGAAAGCTTGAATCCAAATCGTCGCCACCAGAATCATCCATTTCCGAGATTGTCCCGCCATATTCTTTTCGCCGGCGTTGGCTACTGAGATTTGATGCACAGAGATTTTGGTTCTTTTTCTCCTCCTGTTTTGCGCTTTTTTTGTTTTGTTCTGTTTTGTATGGTAGAGAGACTTCGAGGCGTTTGTGTGAGTGAGCTTTTCTCTTTACTGTGTTTACATTAACAAAAAGAAAAACAATTCTCTTGTTGACAAAAAAAAGAAAATCAAAAGAATCTCTTATTTACGTGGCAACCTTTTTTCCCTATGAACATTTATTTTTATGGTCATTGGTCACATGTTGCAGCAGACGAGTGTAATAAAAAATTATAACAGATAATTTACCTAAAATATAAGATATGATTAATTTTTAAAAGTTTCAAAGACAAAACGGTATCTTTTGGTGTTGATTAGAGAAAGAAAAAAAAAAAAAGATTTGACAAATATTAATGATTGGAGATAGCAGTAAGATATGTTAATGATATTGTACTTAAAATTAGTAAATTGGTATTGTCTTGTTTATATGGCCTTTGTATGTTATACATATGATGTTAAAGCATATGGAACAAAATGACACCTATTTTTTAGGGGGTGACATCTTTTATTCAAATAAATGTTAGCCAATAAATATGATTTAAATGTTTTTCAACCAAAACTGGTGCCTTTAATGATTGGATTTTAATTTTTATTAATTACTCCAAAATATGATGTGACATGTATATGATTTAGTATTAAACAAACAAGTACAAAACCTAAATATCACAACAACAAAATTAAATTGTATCATCTCCTCGTAAAATGTCTCTATGTAGTGTTACTGCTACAATTTATTAGACAGTATGGTGCCCTGCAGAGTTGCAGCTGTAACGGTGCTATGCAGGCATGCAGCATCTGAGGTTACAGCTTAATAGCTTACGTGCTAACTATTGATCGATGTTTTGTGTCATGTCTACTTAGTCTTAGATTACCATCGAGTATGTTCTACGTTTATCATATTATATGCAATCATGAGGAAATATTACTATCATACTAAGGATCTTATTAATCTTAGAGTGCAGCAACTGATAGGTAGTAGCTTATGAAAAAACATGTTAGAATTATACAATATACATACAATCCATACGAATGTTACCATAATCGGTGTTTTCACGTGAATCATAAGCTAAAGGTTTTATTCCAACAAACAGTCAGGGACGTTACTTATTTATTTAAATTAAAGTGACAATAATTAACTTGTGACTGGGCCATGTCACATCATATAAAGTTAATGCTTTCTATCGTGAAACTAACCCTAACTGGTGATGATTTGAGGAATTGTGAAGAATGTGTCTGAATTTTCACCCAAAAAAATAGTCATTTGGAGAAATGGTGGATTGTAAAGTATAGACAAAATTATCCACCATCTTATCCGATCAGCTCCGGATATTCGGATTTTTGGAGTGACTGAAACCGAATCTTAATATTAAATAATATTGAGTTTAATCTAAAATAAACTTTGAGATATATATTTTTAAAGAATTACAGGAAAATCAAACAATAGTTGAAACTTGTGTTTTATGCTTTCTACCCGTTCAAAAATATGGGCCAAAACATTTGCAGCTTCAAAGCCCAATTGTTATGTGTATATCGAATTCCATATTATGGTCATCACTCGCTACCATGGGCTTTATTAAACAGAGGCCCATTTTGGTCGATCCCGTTCGTGTCTCCCAAGTCTGAACCCTGGGTTTTTGCCCAGTCGCCTCCTCCTTGGCCAGAATCTCGGTCTCCTCTGCCCCGTGAACAACTCTCTCGGTGTCTCTTTCACATGGCGTGGCTCAATACCATCTTCAATTCTTCTTCGACATTGATCAATGGCGGCTCTTCTGTATTTCCCTAAAATCTCTTCAGAAGTGACCTCCTCACATTTTCTCTCTCTTTCACCTATGGATTTGAGGAGACTCTCTCGCGCCAGCTACTTCTTCTTCACGCGCCGCTTGAAATCCACATCACACGCCCGGAAAAGCTTCCACACGAGCCCGTACCTGCAACAGCAGCTTCATCGGCCGGGTAAATCGGAAGAAGCATCCTCTGATCGGCATTTGCGCGAACGTTTATCTGCGGCTTTGTCAAGGAGATCTCTAGATTACGAGCAGTGTAAACAAATCATCACCATTTTATCGCCTCACGAATTCGATAGGTTGTTTCCTGACTTTCGATCCAAAGTTAATCCCAAGACGGCTTTGGACTTTTTCCGCTTAGCTTCTGATTCGTTTAGCTTCTCCTTCAGCCTCCGTTCTTATTGTTTATTGATAGGTTCGTTGCTTGACGCGAATCTGGCGTCGCCTGCTAGGGTAGTTCTGATTCGTTTGATCAATGGGAACGTTCCGGTTTTGCCTTCTGCTAACGATTCGAGAGATGGTAGATTTGCGATTGCAGATGCAATGGTGAGTCTGAGTTTGTGCTTTGATCAAGAAATCAGAAGCAAAATGTCAGATTTGTTGATTGGAGTTTACTGCACAGAGTTGAATCTTGCTGGTTGTTATTTAGCTCTTGATGTATTCACTCTTCTTGCAAGCAAGGGTATGTTTCCTTCGAAGACGACCTGCAACATTTTGCTGACTTCTCTAGTGAGAGCCAAGGAGTTTCAAAAGTGCTGCGAAGCTTTCGAAGTTTTTTGCAAAGTTGTTTCTCCTGATGTCTACTTGTTCACTACAGTGATTAATGCGTTTTGCAAGAGTGGGAAAGTCGATGAGGCCATTGAGTTGTTCTCGAAGATGGAGGAAGCTGGTGTTGCGCCAAACGTTGTTACTTACAATAATGTCATTGATGGGCTTGGGATGAGTGGGAGGTACGATGAGGCATTTATGTTTAAAGAAAAGATGTTGGAGAAAGGTGTGGAGCCAACTCTCATCACTTATAGTATTCTTGTCAAGGGTTTGACCAAGGCGAAGAGGATTGGTGATGCTTATTGTGTCTTGAAGGAGATGACAGGGAAAGGGTTTCCTCCTAACGTTATTGTATATAATAATTTGATTGATTGTTTTATCGAGGCTGGAAGTTTGAGCAAAGCTATTGAGGTAAAGGATGACATGGTTTCGAAGGGGTTGTCTCTCACATCGTCGACGTATAATACTCTCATAAAGGGATATTGCAAGAGTGGTCAAGCAGATACTGCAGAGCGTCTCCTGAAGGAAATGCTGTCGATGGGTTCAACTGTAAATCAGGGCTCTTTTTCGTCTGTAATTTGCTTGTTGTGCAGTCATCGGATGTTTGACTCAGCAATTCGTTTTGTTGGAGAGATGCTACTGAGGAACATGAGTCCTGGTGGTGGATTACGTACTACGTTGATATCTGGTCTCTGTAAGCATGGGAAACACTCAGAGGCAGTAGGACTTTGGTTTAAACTTCTAAGTAAAGGTTTTGTAGTTGACACGAAGACTTCGAATGCTTTGCTTCATGGACTCTGCGAAGCAGGGAAGCTGGAGGAAGCTTTTAGGATTCAGAAAGAGATATTAGGGCGTGATTTGGTTATGGATATAGTTTCTTATAACACATTGATTGCTGGATGTTGCAGAGAGAGGAAACTGGAAGAAGCTTTTATCTTCATGGATGAAATGGTTAAGAAAGGACTTAAGCCCGACAATTATACTTACAGCATATTGATCCGTGGGCTGTTTGATATGAATAAAGTCGAGGAGGCGATACAGTTTTGGGGTAACTGTAAACGGAATGGTATGGTTCCAGATGTTTATACATATTCAGTGATGATAGATGGATGCTGTAAAGCTGAAAGAGCTGAAGAGGGCCAGAGATTGTTTGATGAGATGATAAGCAAGAACGTGAAGCCAAATACGGTGGTTTACAATCATTTAATTGGAGCATACTGTAGAAGCGGGAGGCTATCAATGGCCTCGGAACTCCGGGAAGATATGAGGCACAAAGGCATTTCACCTAATTCTGCTACATATACTTCACTAATAAAGGGTATGTCAATCATAAGCCGTGTTGAGGAGGCAAAACTTCTCTTCGAGGAGATGAGGGAGGAGGGTTTGGAACCGAACGTCTTTCATTATACAGCACTTATTGATGGATATGGTAAATTGGGTCAGATGATCAAAGCTGAATGTCTTTGGCGTGAGATGCATACGAAGAACATACACCCAAACAAGATTACCTATACCGTGATGATTGGGGGGTATGCCAGAGACGGGAATTTAACAGAAGCTTCTAGGCTTTTAAATGAGATGAGGGAAAAAGGAATTGTTCCAGATTCTATCACGTATAAAGAATTTGTATATGGATATCTTAAGCAGGGAGGTGTTCTGCAAGCTTTTGAAGGGTCTGATGAAGAAAATTATGCAGCAATCATTGAAGGATGGAAAAAAACTCATACCATAGGTGATGAATAAAGTATATGAAAAAGGTTTGTATTCTGATTCTCAGTTTTCCTATTAGTTGCTCTGATTGCTACAGTTTATCAAAATAAATTGTTCTGATTTGTATAGTTGTTCATCCTGATGGCTTGTACTTGCAGTTGGAACATTGAGATCCAGTGGTGTTCTCAGTTTTTGATGGTTCTATTCACGCTCGGGATTTGCATATTCTTGTTAGAGGAATGCATTAGCATGGAGTCGCTTGGTAAGTGCATATGGTCCATTGCATCTTTCAAAGTAGTTTAGTTTGTTCGACCTGATTCTCCAGCCACATTCATTTAACAGCTTCAGTCTGCTTCAATTTAGGGAGAAACGTTGTTTCGTTTGGCATTACAGGATATATATATATATATATATATATATATATGGGTTTATCATTTACAAGTTCACATGGCTAGTGTTCCTCAGGTCTGAGAATTGAGTGCCACAGAATCAAAGCCTAAGTGATAGATTCTGGATCAGGGCAAGCACTTCAGACAGCAGTCCTGAAAAGATTTATACAGGTACGATAATGTATACACGGCTTTGTGCCTTATGTATGTTGCAGCTTAATACCTATGCTTCAAGTTTAATGACTCAATACCAATCATGTAGAGACCACTGAACTTCTTTGATCAGTTTTTGTTTATTTTAAAAAATATATATTTGATACTGCTATCTGAGTCTCAAGTACTTACCCTTTATCTTACACCCGTTTTTACAGATTCAAGGAAATACTCACATCATGGACTCCATTAAAAGCTTAGGCATGGACATCCACGGCAGCTATAGTACATAGCATAAGCACGAGACTGGAGCAAATGGCTTATCTTTTCCAAGTCACAATATAAATGTAGGTACATTTTCGAACTCCACTTGAGAATTCTTCCTCTATTACTCTCTGTTTGTTTGAAAGTGATTCTCTCTTGTGTTTCAGAGAGCTTGAAGCCGGTGCAGTGCTCATAGGAATAGTTTAGAGCTAACGCTAGGCTGATACGACTGGAACCAGAAAAATTTCTCAAGATGTGCAGATTTTTTGCCTATCGATCGTTATGGGAAGGCGGGATTTTCAAACCGTATCAACTAATTCAACAGCATTCACTGATATAGAAAAATGTCCAATGGAGATAATCCTGTTTTTTTCTTCTTTGATACAATTTCTTAATTCATTTTTTCTTCCTCTTACAGAGGTGAAAGGTATTATTTTAAATGTACATAAAAATAGTAGAAAGAAAACAAAAATTAGTTTTCCTACTTCCACTGTTCGTGTTTTTTTGTTTTAATATTATAATACTGATCCTAAACAGATTAGTAGTCTCATCTATTTAACTTATAGATCGTTTTTTGCTCATATATTCTGAAAGGGTCCGATATTTTGAAAATTTTCAATACTAAATCTGGTTTAAATGGATTAATTATTGACTTAACCCTACACATAGTCGGTTTTTAAGATGATGAAAGCTAAGACTTAAAGGGTCGTGCTTGGATACATCATACATGAATAAGAAACACAGTACTCACGATCACATGTTGCTTGTCCGTTGATTCATTATCCAAGAAACTGTATCATGGTCGAATATTTTGCCTTTATAGTATTAGTACATTCGGGAAAAAAATACTTAGGATCGGAATCGGATAATGTGTACTTGTACACACTGCAAGACCTTTAAATATCATCGAGTTTTGCGATTAGATTTGAGTAATTTTAGTATTTTGAGACTAGATTACCTGAAAAGCTGGGATCTCTGAAACATCGCAATTCACAAAGAACACCGCCTTTTAGTGAAAAGAACAAGGAAACATATAGATACCAAACAATTTGCACGTGGGTATGGACCATTCTTACTCTCTACACCAAACACCATTTGATTCCGCAACTAAAAAATAGTCCGTATCCAAGTTCCATAGATTCTGGGTTCTTCTTTTATCTCACATTTATTTTCTCAGAAAAATAATGTGTGGATGAAATTTATTTTAGATTCCATATTTTAATAAGGTATTAGAAATTTTTGTGAAGTGAAAGAGGTAAAGTCACTTGTTAATGCAAGTACATTTCATTTTCATCCAGCTTGCATGTCCCCTTTTTTAATTTTACCAATCCAGATCCAGCAATGTAGACCACATGACACGATAATCTACAGTCTACAAAGAGAATGTGTACATGTATTATGTATATTGACTATGTATGTAGTATATATGCATAGTAATGTATGGTGCCGACCGTGCCGTTTAGCATTGGATTATCAAATACGTCCGTACAGTACGGGCATGCAAATTGAATACTGTATAGTTTGAAAACAAGTGTCTTCACTTCTTACTTCTAACTCAAACAAAGTAATTTCCCCAAGCCGTTAGATATAAAGTAAGATAAAACAATCAATTTAACAAACAGAAACTGGTTTTATAGTTTGGTTAATTTTAATTTTTTCTTTTAAGATTAAGAAAAAAGTATAATCAAACCTGAAACGAGAAAAGCATGAACCAATCCAAAATCCATATTGATTAAGCATATCCAAATCAGAGTTAGACCAAGTGTGAGAGTAATCCAAGAATCTATAGTCACTGTTCACATTTCGATCTAGATCTGGTAATTAATATTAAAATTGCTTCATAATATATATGCCACATACATATGAATATGAACATATACGTACGGGTGACTAATTGTTTCACGATCAGAAGAAAGTGACCTATGATTAGAGTATTTTCTTCTAGGTATAAGGTACGTATTGCCTTTTAATTGTTAGGCAATATACAACGAAAGATTGCGAAAGATCAAGTTGCCACTTTATTAATATTGGACGGTTACACTAACTAATACTATTACACTTTTAGTTTCCATCCGTTTAAGATGTTACATGTTAAAAAGATGAAGCTTTTGGTCTAAAGTTAGGAAAACTTACACTTATACGTACCAAACTTTTAACAGTACCTATACATTACATAGTGTATGTATAGATGTGTGCATATAAATATGTTAAGAAAGGAGTGAAGAGCAATTCACAGACCAACCACTTCATATACAATATACCAATCACTCTCATAGTCTCATGGCTACTAAATTCACCATCCTCTCGCAAGTCAACCGCCCTAAAACCTCGACTTTAACCCGAAAAGCTCCAAGATCCACCCGAAACAAGCCCCATCAATCCAAATCCACAAGCGAAAACATGTTGAACAACGTTTTTGCTGACAAAACGCGAACAGAAATCTATCACAACAACCTAAACTCACACTCTCTAACGGATTCACTACTTCCTGTTGAAGATCCGTCGGTAAAGGAAGAGGAGACGAGTCAACAAGAACAGTGGAAAATGTCGAACTGCAACCGCAAAGACGGTAAGTTCATAAGCGATGCTAATTATGGAGACTTGAGACGTGATGTTGCTCGATTAAGCTTGTTGTGGTACATGAAATGTTCCATAAGCTATATATTAAGGAGGGCAAGAGCGTTTTACAATGAGTTTTGTTGCGATACTCATGTTCAGAGTAGCACTACGTTTGTGGTCGATCCATATTTTTCTGTTCCGGTTTTACCGGTCAATAATTAATTAGCATCTCCAAGTCTACGTACGTAACTAAAAGTTTTATTTTAGTTATAACTAGTCAAATATTTCATTAGCATTGTTGTGTTGTACGTCCACATATGTGTTAAAAATTAAAACTAAAAAGCCGTCAAATTTATGTAATTAATGTTGTATTGTAAAAAAAATGTAATTATGTTGTGTTTATTATTTTTTTTAATGAATTACTTGTTGTCATGTGTTGTATTTCTACACATACGTAGAGAAGTATTGAAATTAAATTATTAGAGCAATATATATGAATATATCGGAATATCATCATACATTTTTTTGTCAAAGAATATCATTATACTTTTGTTCCCCCAATTATTAGTTTGGACCTCTCTATAAGATTGGAATTTACTGTGAGTTATCAAAAAACCAAAAACATTATATTTTTGTAAATTATATAAATATATTACTTTTGTGAATGACAAATTGAAATAGACCTTTTAACAACAAAATGAGATGCTATAGACTTTAAACATGTATGTCGTATAAATTATTTTTTAAGAAAAAATATTTTTTTATAAGATATATAATTTTAAATAGGAAATAAGAAAAACTTATGGTGAGTTTATACATTATTCCCACAATACATTACATTAAGATTCATAAATAAATAATATCGACCAGAATCATTAATCGATTAACAAATACATGGACTTCAAAACTAAAATACTACATAGTTTCCCGAGTATATTCCACTAGTGACTAGTTGTTAGCTTAAAAACAAGCTCCAAAATTGGTGTTGGTACTGTTTTGTGCTAAAATTAATTATATTTCTCCTTTATTTTTTCTTTAAAGAGATCGTTTGAAGAACTCCAACAAATAAAGAGTACATGAAGCCAGAGCACAAAAGAGAACACACACGTACGCGCGGGAAGCACAGAGGCAGAAAACAGCAACCATAACCATGAGAGAGAGAGAGAGAGAGAGAGAGAGAGAGAGAGTACTATTGTACATTGAGTCTGTATTAATTTATGTACGTGTGAATAGAATTACAACTGTTCATGCATTGCAGAATCACATGCATAACGTTGTATATGAAACATTAAATTCTCGAGGACCACACAATACATTGGCTGCCTTTTATACACAAATGGTCCTGATCTACACTAACTCATAAATGTTGCTGCACCGTTATATATGGTAACTTATGTTGACTCTTACCTGTCCCATTCAGTACGAAATTACATGTTCTTTCGTTACTTCTAGAGACTATATATGATGATGACGTTGATAATAAAACTTGTAAAAAACTGATAATGATGACCCCAAGGATCATACATATGATCATTGATCACCAGAGGTTAGCTAGTAAGTAGTGATACTGATATCATAAATGATGATTAGTCTTTGTGATGTAACACTGAAAAATCTTGTATTTCAACAAAGAGTATACCTCTTGTTATGTATGTATAAGCATTTGATGGACTTGTGAGATGGGGAATGAAATGAAAAATATTTACAAAACAAGACTTAAATCCTAAAGCCCCAATTGGTCTCAAATTGATTCATATCTTTCCAAAACAGGGCTCACCAGTCACCAGCCCATTTTCGAATAATTTTTCTGGAAGTATTATCATTATTAGGTGTTAGTTCAAATTCAATGTTCTTTTCCTGCAATATCATGAAGTTCTTCGAACCAAATTTTGTGACGAAATTTTGATGTACAGTTCGGAAAAATGAAAGAAAATTTTACAGCAACCGATCGGACAACTGAAGCTGCTATTATATAGTAATCATACGTGTCAGTAAGACTATATAAATCTATGATTAGTATCTCGCAAGAGCTCCTTCGCTGTCAAATCTTTAAAATGTTTGATAATGCTTTTCAACATAATCTAATAGTAAAATAATGTTAGATCTCCTTAAGCCGCATAATCATCCAACACGGGTGACCTATATATTTCCGTAAACATGGATTAATACCGATAAGTGCCAGAAATATTTTTTTAAGTATGTATATAACTTGTCCTTATGTCAAAAAGTATCTATGATTAAAATTGTACTCTATATTTGGTATAGTTATACTTTTAAATTTAACTTTTGTAAACACCTGAATCCCAGAGGCAACAACACTTTTAGTTGTCTAGAATCTTTGGTGACACTAAGATCTTCCATTGTGAATTAAACCGATCTAGTTGAATAATGGGCCAAGTGGGGAAAATAATCAAAGTTGTACTGCAAATCGTCGGATCATATAATATAACTAATCATGTGATTAGCTTAACTGGCTTAACATAATCATGTTAGTTGATATAGTGTGTTTCTTGGAACAACCCACATGTAATGTTCCTATATACTCACTGGTTGAATTGTACAAGTTGCAGACATCTTTAAAACTAAAGTTAGTGTTTTCGTCCTCATATAATTAGTCTTTTGTTTCCTATCCCTAACTTGTGATTTATATATACTACACTTCCACAACTTACAAAATTATCAGCTTCATCGTTTGTCTTCCTTTGTTCTTTTAGCGCAGTCGTTTTTTTCTTTCTCTCTTTCTCTTCCTAATTAAACTAAGGTAAAATTCGCACTAAATTAGCAAACAGTAGAATGCAGTTCAGATCGATGCTTATAATACATGCGAAAATTGATATGGTGACGTAATATCTTCATATGCAAAAAGCGTTGTGGTAGCATGTTTGGTTATGTTTCAATTATATTTAACAGAATGTTTACTATTTGTAGATGTTCAGTTTCGTATATAATCATATAGACAAGAGGTGATGGACCATGTTATTTTCTGATTCGATTAAACATGCAGATGGATAATCAATCAATTCATTAGAGGTAGATAAATAACGACCAATCGCTGTTGAGCATGGACCAATCTCCTATAAGAATTTATTTTTGTACATATACCCAATCAATTCACAAAACTTGTTCAATTTGTTTCGGTTAAAAATTATTAAATTAACGATAAAATATTGGTGTACAGTTGGCCAGCTAATATATTTTCTTAAATGCGAACATGTTCTTGTTCATATTAATACTGCTTTTCAGCATATTTATCTTATGCTATCTGCATTTCTTTCCATGTTAACTTGACTATCTAATCTAAATTTCTAATATGTTGTTGAATCTATCATAAATAGTAGTACTTTATGAAACTTAAACCAACTGCAAGTTGTTGCAAGTGTGTAACACATTTCCAACTTGTAAAGGTGATATAATACTATAAAACATTTTTTTAAAGCAAAACTATATCGCTCTATGGTGGATTTATAACAATATCATTATGAGCATCATTAACATTGACTAATATTATCTCATCAACCATATAGTGTTACATAAACCAATAAATCATTTAGGTGGAACGGAAGAGAGTAGTAAACTATGAGAACAACTTTATTCGTTATAATATCCCAATTAAGCTCAAATAAATCTAATTTGCTCATGATGTGATCTTCCTGGACATATGATCTTCTGATCACGACAACATATCAGCCTCTATTTCGCAGCCTCTATTTCACATTTCCTCGAATTTCTTAATGAACAAACAACTTTCTCATTTTACTAAATCTTTTATTAGGCTATAATATTATTTAGAATCAAAATGTTAGTGAATATTAATTAAGTTTAAGTACATAATGCATAAAAATCATCTCAATCAACGTATTTCATCAGTTAAATGATAAGCTAATTTGAAATTCTCAATATAGTTTCACAAACACCTTTTGAGTATATATGAAACGATCAAAATTTAGGTTTGGGGTAAATCAAATCTAAACCTAGCAATAAGCTTGCATCAAATGATAGAAATCACATGAAACGATCCCAGACATCAAACCCAACTTTCCAATCCTCATATTTTACAAAGGCTCGACTAAATGGACTACTTACACATGGTTATGAGAATCGTAAGTGCAAAGTAAATTTGCTTTAGCAAAACACAATTTCATTTAACCCGTGCATGAGCACAAAATTAGCTACTCCAATCTTCAAAACCGATATCCACAATTATTTTGTTCACAGTTACGTTTTCATTACGACTTGTTATATTGATGTGAACATATAACGGAGGATACTAATTCAATTTTGGATTCCACTAGTGTCGTGGATTGGGGACTTATCTTGAAATGAGTCCTCATGAAGTCATGATCAACTAGATGAAGACCCAATTAAAATGGTTGGACACACTTTTCCATCTCACTGTCAATGTTAACTTCAATGTGACGTATTTAAATTCTTTTGTTCATTGATTGGTTATAAAAGATTATAAGCGGACAAGAAATAATATATTATACAAAAAAAATTTCTTCGATGAAAATTTGAAAATCACGAACCAGCTAAGTTATATACAAGTTCTCTGTGACTATCCTTTTCACCAAGAAAAAACAACTTATATTGTTATATGGACAATATGTATCATACTGAAAATTATAATTATCCTATAAATCGCATTGGCTTATTGCATCATCGTATTTTTTCCTCTAGTTTGATTTTTTCTGTTAGGCATTTTAAAATTGTAGAAACAAGGTATATAGTCACAAATTAATATAAACTTATAGGTTAATTAATTTACTTTTTACTATATTATCTGCGACGGTTATTTTTTTGGAAATCTATATACTTTTGTTGGTTAAGACTTAACACTTTCTCTCAAAATGTTATTTGATCACCGTAGTATAGCTAACGTAGGTGAGCTAACCCTGAAAAAAACAAACCTGTAAAATTGAAGTCATATTTTAGAAAATTTATACGCAACTGAAGTCAAATTTTGGAAAATTCGATTTTACTAGTTGAGTTTTCCAAAACACTTGTTGACTGTTATCCCAATTTTGTATTTTTCATATGTAGTATATTTTCACAATATGAAACTGTAAAATTGACTGAAATATATTTCAGTCGTGTTATAAGATTGTTGGCTTTTCAGCTTCGTTCAACTTTTCCCATCGTTATTTAACGCCTAATTTCATATTATCAAGTGGAAGTTAATTACACGAACCGGTTGTGAGCGGTGGGGATGATACTAAAACTTG